TGGGAGAAGCTGGCTTGGAACCAAGATGATTCCACTGTCTGGGGGAATATATGCATTCTGGTCAGCTGTGATGGGCTGTGCCAGGCCATGGTAAGTTATCATGCTGTAGCCATGTGTGTGTGTAAGCCTAAAGGGATTAGGGCACAGGTAGCCTGGCACTCACTCTACAAAAGAAAGCATCTCCCCAAAGAGAGACAAAGGTCATCCAGCAGGATGTCACCTGTCTCTCCTGCCAGGATTACAGTGAGAGCCAGTAACCTGCTCAGATCAGGTACATCAGCAGAGCAGGACATCAATCACTGACACCAGCTCTCAGACAGCTTGTTTATTTAAGCAAAGCCTGTATGCAGAATGTTCCCATTGGCAAAGATTTCCTGAGTCTTTGCCCTTCTTTGCCCTTTGTTGTCTGTTGTTGTTTCCATTTCATAAGACAACAGTTTCCACCTGTCCCAGCCAGTGATATTTGTTCTTTAAAAGCATTTCCTTTTTCAGCATTTTGCCTTTGCCTTATCTAACTTGTATGAGCTGGACTGCTCCTGCCCTGCTTTAATCTCTGGTCCACAGAAACCCTAGAGAGACATTTAACAGTGCCAGACAAATGAAGATTCAGCAGAACACAGCACTCTACTGAAATATTGAACTTTCTGTCACATTTTCAAATGCTTGCTTTTTATAACTATTGTAACATTAGAGAGACATATCTTAACACCTTGAGCCTTGTATACAGCAGATGGAAATAAAGGGTGTTGCCTAAAAAAACTCCAAGGCAAATCACAGAATCATGGAATGGCTTGGGTTGAAAGGGACCTTACAGATCATCTAGTTCCAATCCCTAAAATGAAGTGGATAGGATTTTTTCTTCTCCTCTTTCCTCAGTTGTTGAGGTAAGTCACTGCTATCTGCTAAGAGGCATTTGACTACTCAAACTGCTGTTAAAATGAGGGTCAGAACAAGGACACTTGGAGCTGTTATGCCCCTTCTTATACACATTTTTTAGTTCTTTGATTTCTGTAGTTCTAAGTTTACAACTGGACACAGTGCTTACAGACAGCAGTCAGAGATCTACCACTCATCATTGTCTCCTGTATCTCAGAACAGTCCATCACAGAGCCTGTGCAGGCTGTTGTTAGATCCAAGTAAAGATATTTCTGAGTTTATGAGAGAGACATCTTTAATCTGTGATTACCAGCATTTGGCTGCAGACTTGTCAGCTGGCTTTGCTCAGACTCCTTAGTGAGGCCCAGCAATGGCAGTGACTGCCATCATATAGTGCAGTGGGAAAGGTTTTTAAGCCCTAATTTATATTTCACATAAGTGTCTCTCTTTCCTGTGCTTGCTGCTAATGGACCACCATTATGTGACTGGAAATGTCAATTCATGCTCTCTGCAGGAGCTGGGCTGTCTCCCAGTCAGTGCCTCAGGCCTGACTAGCATTTTGCTGAAATTCCCCTAAGAGACAACAGGATGGTTTTATTTTCATTAAGAGATAGGATTGTCCTGAGAACCATAATAACAAAATAAACACTATTGTGTATATTTATTATCTGCAGCTAGCCACCTGGGGAACACTAACAAGGCTGCGTTTGCAAAAAGTGTTTGTTTAAATAGAGCAGCATGAAAATTCACAGGAGGATTGCACAGCTGCCTGCTCTGCAGCCTGCAGCGCTGGCTCACAGAGCCTGTGGCTCCAGGCAGTGACACTCACTCGGGATGCTACGGGAGCTCCCAGCCAGGCTCGCAGTCAGCAGGAACTTCCACACCGCTCCCAGGCCAGGAGCCAGTGTCCCTGCTGGCGGTGACCGTGTGCTCCGTGTCCCTCGGGGCTCTCTTCTGACAGAGCCGGGGCTGGGGCACCCTGAACCGCCGTGTGAGGAAACCGCTCCAGCGGAGCAGCGCTGCGGGCACAGCAGGCTCAGGCTCCTCACTGCCCCTGCCCTGCTCTGCTCCGGTGCAAATGCCTCCGTCTGCTGTGGCAGGAACACCAAACAAAGCTAGAGGGTTATCATTCATTCTTTGCACAGTTCAACCTGTAGGGGCTTGCACCGTGATTTTGCTTGAAAAAATGACTGGCTTTAGGTGGATGCTAAGGCTTTTGTGTGTGTAACAAGGACCCGACCCTGTTACACCAAAACCTGGGGGATGCTTTTAATTGATTTCAAAGGGACATAGCAGATACTGTACATTCATCATTCATTTTTCCTCAATCCAGGTAAAAGCTCATTAATTTTGGTTAAAAAAAAAAAAAGAATGCCAGACTCCTACCTTGCCCCCTTACTGTACCTCACCCCAGTGGTGCAGAGTAAGGCAAAATAAATAGAACTTGTCCACTTATACTTATGACAACATGGAGATTCCAGTGTAGATTCCTAAACAGGTATGTGTGACTTTTTCCTTTTATTTATCAGGACATCCTTGGCTCTGGTGGGGCTAGTTTATGAAAGCAGCTTGGCTGTGTTCAGTTTTCTAGAGTAATCAGTTCCTCACAGGATCAGGATGTTCAAAAACTGTGAAAATACATATGATGTGGATTTCACATGCCTCATTTGGATGTTTCTATTTATTTTGTCTTTTGAATATTTTTCTCTTGCATTTGTGCATGTTAACTTCACAGTTTTGTTCAGTGGAGCTCCAATTCTGCAGGTCCTCTCCGAATCATAACTCACATTGTTCAAATAAGAATGGCTTTCTAAGGCAAATCTAATCAGTGCTTCTCTTGCGAACAAAAGCAAATGAGCTTTTCTAAGCTTGGCAATTCAGTCCAATTATTTCACAGATCTTTGTTCATTTAATTCCTCTGAAGTGGAACAATCAGAAGAAACAGGGCAGAGCTACAATACAAACAGGAAATTATGGTTTCTCAATTTGAAGAAAATGAGATTTTATAACACATTCCCCTATTTATTTAGTTGTTTATTAAGCCTTTCTCTTTTGTCATGCATCCCGGCAGCGCTTCACTGCAGAGCACAGAGGTCTTGAGAGAACCATCGGAGTCATGTTAGAGCTCCTCAAAATGGAGCTGTGTAGACAAAGCCACAGGTACTGTAAATAAGCTCAACTCCATTGATTACCTGGGACCTATATCAGTTTAGAGCAACTGAGAACTTGCAGTTTACTGCAGTGAAAGGATGGTTTTTTCACTCCTTGGGTAACATAATTGTATAGAATCATAAAATATCCTGAGCTGGAAGGGACACACAAGGAGCACTGAAGCCCAGCTGTGCTCGAACTCCAGAACTAAACTTGGAAAGTAAATTTCATGGAAATTATGGATACATTGAAATGAAGCGATATTTGCTCCCTGAATAAGCATAAACTCCCTGAATAAGTTTTAATTTATACCTAACAATTCAGAAAATGGAAAAGGAAACCAGAATTTTTATTCCTGTCATCTTCAATTCCTAGGCAACTGGTTTAGAGGTACTGTGAAGATGTATTACAGCTTTAACACACAGTCTTTTCTCCAGAATTTCTTGCAGCAGTACCACTGAATTCAATGACAAAATTTGGACAGTGATGCCATTCTGGGTGTGGACATTCATTTTTGTTGATTCAGCCTGATCCCCTTACTGTCCATATCTGGGACCTTCTGGAAGTCTCCACAGCTTTTTCCTGTGTTTCATTCTCAGGCTTCCTTCACATAGCAACCAGAACATAAGGGCAAGATGTACAACCAGACCTTGTCCAAGGAGGAAGCCAGGACCTGCAGGGGCACGTATCTGCATGGAACACCTGGGAAGTGCAACCAGTGCTTGAGCCTTTGGAGGGGGAACAGCAGCCTGGCACTTGGTGCACATATGGCTGGTTAGCTGCGGTCCCAGGGCTTCCAAAATGCTGCCTGGAGAACTCCTAAGGGGTCAGCCAGCGGGAAAGGATGTGGAAAAGGATGCTCTTCAAATGCTTTCTGCCTTCTGCTTTTCTGCCTAGGGTTTCTACCTTGATCCTTAAAAACCCTGTTGCTCTGAAGACTAATGTGACAGCTATAGGAGACAGACACCTTAAGATTCTGACGGGGTTTAAAGAGTTTTAGCCATGGTCTTTTCCTCTCCTCAGTCCTTTTTGCGTGACGTGGTTCATCTTTCTTGATAAGCGTAATAATAAGCCGAGCACTTAGAATGCTTTTCTGATGTCCCGTTGTGTTCAATCTAGCTCAACTGACACGCAGCAAAGTGCAGCAGCCTTTCAGTTAGGAATGACATGGCTTCTGCTGACATTTCCCAGCTGAAGAATAATTTTATGAATCATACACACTCTTTGTCTCCAGCTCTTCTGAACCCTGTGAAAATCAGAATCAGAACCGAACAGATGGAGTTTGGGAAAGTGTGAAAGCCTTGAGGGAGCATCAGCACAGGAAAATGAGGGTCAGCATCCTCAAGGAGGTCAGGGAGCGAGGGCCAGAGAGCTGAAGAAGAAACCTATTCACTGGTACCGCGAGGGAGAGGTGTCGGCCCCAGCAGCAGCGCTGGGAGCGGCTGTGGGGCTCCATCCATCCCCTCGAGGTTCCCCTCGGGCAGGACGCGCAGGGACGGCGGAGCCGGAGCCTCGGGAAATCCGCTCCCCGACGGCTGCCGAGAGGGACGCGCTTGGAGCTGGCAGCGGCACGTCCCACCCGCCCTGCTGAGCATTCCGCTGCCTCCGGCCCCTCCGCCGGCGGCAGATGAAGGAGCCGCGGGCGGTGTGTGGAGGGAGGGCGGCGGGGAGGCGGCTCTGCCTGCCGGCCCCGAGCTCTGCTGCCGGGAGCGCCGCCGAGCCTCCCGCTCCGCACGGCTCTGCCGGCGGCGCGGCCCGCGGCGGCTCTGAGCGCCAGGAGGCGGATGGCGGCAGCCGGACCCTGCCCGGCCCAGGGGCGCTGGGGCCGCGGCTCCCGCCCCGGCGAGCAGGGGTGAGGGCCGGCCCGGCACGGCACGGCACAGCACGGCCCCGCCCCGCCCGGACACAGCGGCTGCCGCGGGCAGCGGGGCGTGTGGCCGCCCTCACGGCCCCGCCGCTTGTGGCGTCGCCGCCCGGGGCAGCGCATCCCGCTCCGCCGGCGGCCCCGGGCCGGCCCTGCCCTGCCCTGCCCGCGCCGCGCTCCCAACTTTCCTCGGCGTGGCACAAAATGTGCCGGGGAGCCGCCGAGCCCCTTTGACGTCTTGATCCTCTCCGAGAACTTAACAGGATCGCAAAGCCCTTCGAGCGGCTTTTCCCGGTGAGCCGGGCTTAGCGCTGGGGCTGCGGCCGTAATCCGCCCGCGCCGCGCGGAGGGGCGGCCCGGCGGGCCTGCCCTGCCCCGCCGCCCCCGCCGGGCCGCGCCGGGCCGGGCCGGGCCGGGCGGGCGGCGCTGCCGCGGCTCCCGGCGCGGCCGGAGCGCTCCGGGCCGGCCCAGGGAGCGCTGCCCGCAGGGAGAGCGCCCGGGCCCGCATCCAGGCAGGCGGACGGACGGACGGACGGAGCGAGCTCCAGAGTTCGGATGCTGCGGAGGAGAGCGTGGGCAGGTGAGTCTGAAGCAGGAGGCAGTAATAAGCCTTCTGTCACGCCTGTGAGAGTGGCATCATGTCCTGCACCGGACTTCAATTCCAAGCCTTAGCTCAAGCTCAAAAGCTTGAAATGAAACGTTTGTTTATTTATTTAATTTTTAAAAAAAGCGTTAATTTGATTAATTGATGCAGAGATCTGTGTACTTAAAATTAAATTGGATTCAGGACACAAATCTGAGCAGACGTGGGGCTGAGGGGACTTACTCTACTCCTCTTGACTGACACTTAATTTTACTAGCTTGATCCATGTGTCTCTTAACTTTTCCACTGTCCGGCGCCTGTGGTGTAAGCATGAGGCTGTCAAACCCAGTATGAAAAATGCTAGCAAATACTACAAGCAGTGAAAAGGAATAATTTTCCAGTGATTCCTGGTGCTTTCCATAAATTGACCTTGGTTCTAGAAATATGACATCTTTTGCAAAAGTCCTGTACTGTAATCCAGGCCATAGTCTGCCTAAGAATGTAGAAGATACAGTAATAACTATAATCAGTGTATGTCTGTAATGCAAGGTCCCCTCATATGCCAGGAGGAAAAGTCTAAAAAGATAAGGAAAAGTGACATGAACATTAGTTTAGATCTCTGAAGAAATGATGTTCAATGTAAATGTTGGTACCTGTTGATCTACCTGTTTTAACTATATTTTGTTTTCCAGATTCATAGTTGCTGCATTCAAAGCAAATAGTTAAAGGATTGTCATATTTAAAATCTGTAATTTTCATTTTTCCATCTGAGTAAAACTACATCTGCACTTTCAGATGCTACAGATATTGAAATAGCGTAACTGTGTGTCTTCAGTCAGCACAGTCTTTGGTTTTTTTCCTTCTAGTATTTTTCATGTTGTTTTCTTTGAGTATGCATGCTAAAACCATCTGATTACAAAAACACATGTTGCAAATGAAAACGGGACTGTCGGGATGTTGAATCAGAAGGGTAATCATCGTAAACAAGTGCTGAATGACTTGAGGGAAGAACACATCAGCTTTAAAAAATTGTACATCATCCTTCTGTATCAGCATGTCTCAGCTTTGCCTTCTGTGTATCCCAGCCTTTGTCATCCAATTTGCGCCCAAGCTGTCATTTCGGTTCAGCACGTTGTCCGGCAGCCTTTTCCAACGTTGCCATCTCTTTTCATTAGCATCTCTTAAATCCTCTTCGGTAGGATGCCTCCTTACGGTTTGTGAAACGTGACACGATTTACCCCTCGTGTTTCCCTCCCCCAGCCAAATGGGATGGCTCCGATGGTTCGCATAACGCGGGCAGGGAGTGAATTTAAATGGTAACAGTTACACGTATGCACACTTGCAAACATACACATTTATCTTACAGGCACACATTCAGGACTGTAAACCTGCTGTTCTCATGCTATGTTCACTTTTAAGAGTTAACCTTGATACATGAATGCACTGACAGGAGACGTTGGCAGAACCAGTGAATTTTAGGCAGTGGCTCCAGAAGCCTTGCACAGAGCTTATTTGCTGTATAGAAACATGGATACCTGCCCCATGTTAACCCATACTGGCAGCAAAAACATGATGTGACTTGCTTGTCCAGTCAGCTGTAATTTTTAATTTGCTGTGTTTAAATTTACAATATTAAATTCAATATTCACAGCTAGTTTCTCTTGAAAAGTTTCCAATCTAAAAAAGAATTCATCTGCAGAAAATGGTCTCAGAAAACTTCAGTAAATTTTAGAAAATTGAACTATATTGCTAATAGTTCATAGTTACAGAAGGGAAACTTGGTCCAAATAATTCAATTTATTTAAATGATTATTTTGGTACTAAAAGGTGCCAGAGACTCTGCCATCAAATAGATCAAAGGTAATCGTGCATTTCATTGTAAAACTATAAATTATACATACATGAATAATGCAATGCTTTATGAAGTGCATGCACATCTAAAGTACCTGTGAAGGTAGAGAGTGTTTGACATCCTTGGTTGGTCCTGAGGCTACTGGGCTATGCATATAAATTATGTGCATTCTCAGGAGATGTCAGTGCTCATAGACTGTAGAAAATGTAATATGATGTAGCAGAGAGTAATAAATTTTGCAAAGTGTGCTTTTAAAAGAGGCCCTAGAATTTAAGAATTGTTGATTTAAACTGTAATGAATTCATGAGGGTAAGTTGGTACTGCTGATTGTTTTTTCAGCTCCCTTAGCTTGATCTCATAGCCTTCATGCAAAGCTGATTTCCATATGAGTGTACCAGAGTCCCATGTGCAGGTGAATTTGCAAATCTCCAAATCATTGAAGCAAAGGTTATGCCTTGTCTTCAAACCATGTGTTTATTTAAAAGTTCCAGTGCCCAGTCTTTGATGTCTGCTTGTTGCCATTAGTGGTTGCATCATTGGAGCTGCAGCCTGTCACACAGAACACACACAAGATGCAAAATGCACAGCTGAGCTACAACTATTAGCAAGTGATATAACAAGGATCATGTAGGCGGAGGTCAAATCCCAGAATAAATCCCAAAGACTTATCAGGGTTGAACCTGAGAGGCTGTGTGAGGATTTGGAACATGTCTTAACTAAAATGATGTTAGCGATCTTATGCAGCTTATCACTACTTCTACACCAATAAATAAATTGCTGAAAGCTTCAAGAAAACAGCATTTTAAAAATTACACAACCACATAGGATGCATTATAAAGTCATATATAAAGTAATCTTTTACTTTTTGGTGGTGATACATATTTCTCCACAAAAAGCTCTTTTTTGAATTCTGCCCTATTTCTGTAGTCCTTTAAACAAATAAGCATTAAGAATACTAAGTAGTGGTATAAATAGCTCGATCTGTCATTATTATTTGATAAACAACTACTTTTACTTTGTATCAGGTGTATTAATTCTTGGTTGGTTAACAATATTGAATTAAGGTAGGTTGGGTTGGCAGATTCTGTCCCAAAAACGAACTGCTAGAGTAGCCCAAACATGAATTCTCAGTGCTCTTGAGAGGGAGATGACAGTAATTCAAAGATCCTTCACAGATACATGACAGGCTGCAGAGCTCACTTTGATGGCTTAGTGGATAGCTGTCAACTTCCTAAATTTGCTATAATTTGTTATAATTTGTAATATTAAAGTGTGTGTCTGTGTGTTGGTTTTTTTTTTTTCCTGCTCAGAAGGTGCAAAATTGTCTGAAACCCAGGCCACAAAGCTGCTCAGAAGTCTTGCCTGTGTCCAGATTGCAGTTGGTGGTGAAAATAGATACTCCTGCTGCCATAGGTGTTCTGGAGTGCTGAAAACCCATGAGAAAGCTATTTGTAGCCCATAATCTACTGGTAGAAGGCTCTGGAAAAAAGAAAATTGTTTTTTTCTCGCTTAATTTGAAGCAGGCTTGAAATGGTTTTTCATTTTTGAGGTGCAGCTGCTCAGCACAATGCGATTTGCTGCAAACAGGTGAATCAATTCAAGAAAGAGGGAAGTTATGGCTGTGAATTGGGTGCCACTCCTTTTGGCCTGGAGTTAGAAGTCCAGTTATTCACAATCCCAGTTTGGTTTCAGTCATTTCACATATGTAGCTTCCTTCTTAGTGCCTTGTTCCTACTTACCTGCATTTCTGCATTCCTACTTCAGGAAATCCACTGGATGGCAGAGCTCCTAAAATTTAGACACTCCAGTCTTTGTAGCTCTAGTTTTAGGTCTTTAATGATGTAGTTCTAAAGAGACAAGTAAAACCTGATTTTCAAAATTAGGAAATACTTACATGAATCTGAAATTTTCATATGTTCCTTGAACTCATATTTGTTGCCAAACAACTGGCTGTTTGACACAAAAGCTCAGTTGCTGTTGAATCCAAAAGGAAGAGGATAAAAGAACCTGACCATTTACATTTCAAGTAGGGAGTGCTATCATAATGTATGCAATTTATTACATTTTTAATGGGATAACTGCAGCCTCCCATTTCCCAGCCCCTGTGCTGCTGGGTAGGGTGGAGGAGTTGGGAATGTAGGGGTAAAGTTGAATCTGGGGAAAATGAGTGGTAGAGTGTTTTGTTTCCCACCATCCAACTCTATTTTAATTTGCATTAAATTGAGTTTTCTCCAGTTTGAGCCCATTTTGCCTGTGATGACAATTGATCTTCCAATGTCCTTTTTCTTCTGTTTTTTCTCTTGACCCATGATGAGCTTTCTCATCTTGCTTTCTCCCGCTGGGCTGCTGAGGAGGGGAGGTGCAGTAGCCGCTGTCTGGGCATCTGGCAGCCAGCCAAGGCCAACCCACCACTGAGCTCTGCTCACTTCTTAAAACTACCTTATGAGAACCAGTGTTTAGTGGCAGTTTTGGGATTGCAGGTCCCAGATGGTTGGAGCTGTCTCTCTGTGGCCCAGCAGAAGGTGTTTGTGGAGCCTTCTGACTCTTTAGGACTTTCCTGCTGGTTCTCCTGTTAGGCTGCTCTGTAGTTAATTACTTGCCATTATTTTGGATCCAGTGCTGAAATGTCAATCTTCTCCTTAGACTATTAAAAACATTTATCATTAGGGTTCTTAGAGGCTTGGAAGGAACAAATATTTCATCTTCATCAGATAGTTAGTAATTTGTCAGAACTTTATGGACTTTATGCAGTGCCAAACCATATTGCTTCAGGAGGTCTCAGCACCTGCACTGTACCCAAATTACCTCACTGTTTATTTCTATCAGTCCTGTGTTCAGTCCCTCTCTACCACAGCTGAGCACATGTAACACACTTTCATCCACTCTTCCTAGCTCCTTCCAAAAATATATTAATGTATTTTATTGCTTAAGAGTAGAGTTGTATTTCTGTGAAAATGTTCTCCCCTCCTTTCCTCCAGTATAGTGCAGAGTAAGAGCTCAGACCACACTGTATATTAAACATGAATTTTACAGCTGAAATGATTGTAAGGGATCTGAAATGAGCTGAAATTTTACTTACATACTTCTATTTTATAACTTTTTAGTCTTCACCTTTTAGGGTGCACAGGCCTCATTTTCCTTTCTCTCCCTTTTCCAGGTCTTTAATCATTCTTGCCATGCTGTCATTTTGCTTTATCTTTCTGATTAAGAAAAGGACTTGGAGTATTCCAGATAACTCTGCACTGTTGTTTCATGGAGCAGTTTTAGTGGGTTTTGTGTCATTAACATGTTCTGTGTGTACATTGCCTGTTGTTGTGTCAGCAAGCCTGCCCTGCAGTGAGCACGCTGTTTAAGTGAGCTGTACCTATGTCCTAAGTTCATAAATTGGTTTGGGTTGGAAGGGACCATAAGAACCATGTAGTTCCAGCTCCTCTTCCAGCAGACCCGGTTGCTCAAAGCCTTGTCCAGCCTGGCCTTGGGCACGTGCAGGGGTGGGGCATCCACAGCTTCTCCAGGCAACGTGGTCCAGTGTTTCAATGCCATCATAGTGAAGAATTTCTTCCTAATATTTAATCCAAATCTACCCTTTCAGGTTCCCTTTCTGGGGGCATATGGTTCATTTGGAAGCATGTAGGGCAGTATTTTGCATGCTTTTCACCTGTATTCTTGGGTTTCCATTTGCCTGTGTTGCACATCGCTTATCATCAAATTGAGAAGTTGCTTAATTGATGTTGGCCACCTGCACTGCTGAGGTTCCCTGCACTCCTTTTGTTTCTCTTGCCTATACAATTTTTTGCCATGCTGAGATCTTACTGTATCTCTACTTCATCTTTCCATCAGTATCATTAACAACAGGTTTTCCTACAGAGCCCTGAGGAATACTATTATTGACTTCTGCAGTGGTGAAGGTGACTGTTTAGTCCTGTTCTTGCTTTCTGTCTTCTTGGTTTTTTAAATCCAAAATAGTGTTTGGCTTCATATGCTATTGCTGTTTTTTTTTTCCCTTTTTTAGTGGCATAGCTTTTGAAAGTCTGAATAAGGTTTCCTGTATTCAGTGCTCCACTGGCATACTCAAGCTTTTCAGAAGGTTTGGAATATCTAATTCCAGTACCTACTGAAAGTGTTTAATTCCAGATTAGTAATATTCAGTTTCAGCCATTTCAGTTTTGAGTGGAAAGAAATACTGTACTTCATGTTTCTTAACCAGACTTTTGGGAACTGATGCACAGATGCATCTGGAAATCCATGTGCCACACCTACAGCATTTGAAACATAGAAAAAACATTGTTCACTCACCTCCAGTTTCAGAAGCAATGTGTCTTTTCAGTGAGGGAATCCGTGGTGTTGGTTGCAAATGATCTACATCACCCCAAGACTTCAGAAGGGTTTCATTACCTCATGCTTTCATTGTTTTAACAGTTTCATTTTTTTATCAGTGTTGCTTACTTTGTTGGAGGTTATAAAACCAGGTAACCCTTATTTTTAAGAGCTGCTGTAGGTAGGCATCAATCCAATTGTGAATCACCAGAACTGATAAGTGCAACTGTTAGTGTTAGTCAAGAACTTCACTCAGTGCTAAATTTGCTCGTAAATTACAACTTCAGAAAAAAAGGCTACTGCTTTGTTACTTATGAATAATTCTTCCCACTATCAAGCTTCTAAAGCTCTGAGTTATGTTTTTAACATAAATTATCTGCACTTTAGAAGTTAATTCTTCAGAGTGAACATTCCAATCTGAGAGTGGGTTGAAAGAACACAATTTAAAAAATATCAGTGTGTAATAAAAATGCCCATTTTTATCCAGTAAAACTTCAGTTAATCAGCATGAACAAGGTTCAGTTTAAGGTGAGACACAGACATTGGCTGATTTAAACTAAGGCAAAATTAATGACAAAAAATTTTGAATTTTAAGTGATGCCCAAGGCCATTTCTAGAGTAATTTCATTATTTCTGGATGAAAAGAAATCCACTTTAAAATACATTAAATAATTTAAAAAGCTGCGTATTATTTTCTTTCATTGTCTGGGAATTGAGTGGAGGGTAAGTCAGGTATCTGTCTTTCAAGAAAGTGGGTGCATAATGTTTTAACCATGGGTATTGAGCTTTGCTTCAGGAATAATTCAGGTCACAAAGTTTCTGAAAGATCTGTATTTCATTTTGTGTCGAAGGTAGATCTTGTGTGGTCAGTGAGACAGAGGATTACAGGTAAAAAATGGACACGACCTAGTGTGAGGGAGTTGATTGATTCTGAGAGAATTTCATTCTAATCGTATTCCAAACAAAAAAGGTTCCTGAATGAAGTTTCTAAACGTTTTTTTTTTTCCTTTCTTAAAAATTCAAATCTTTCACTGAAAGTCTTTCAGTCCTTCATTTGTAAGACACTTGTCTTGAGTCTTAAAACTCATTTTTTATGTAGTAGATGTGGTACGAATTTCAAAAGGCATTAAACATCAAATCTGGAAAGGAATTCAGACAAATTTTTTAGAACTTGTAGGAGATGAGCTGCTAAATATCTTAACAGAATGCTTTGAAGCATTGTAATAAAAGCCCCTAGTGTGTGTGTTTAGTGCAGAGTTTTAAAAATATAGAATTATAACATGACTTACATTAAACTGAGGGATAAATGTAATTAATTATCTGCTTGGTTAATATGGATTTTTGGCATAAAAGTCTGAATCATAAAATAGATAAAATTAACACAGGTGAATCAATGTGAAGTGGAATGGGTTGTCCTAGCACATGTATTACCTGGCTTTTTTTGGTTGACTTTCTCACTAAAGTTCTTTTAATGAGATTTTAAATGCAACTTCATTATGGATAATAGGTATGACAGTGTTGGTAGTTCATAAAGCCCAGAGACTAAAAGAATATGGTGTCATGTAACACTTTTTCTTTGGTCATGATGAATCTTTGATAACACTTTTTTTTCTGTCTACTGCAAATAAATCAAGAAACACGCCATATGTGTGTGTAAATATCACTGTTCTTCAAATGGTTGAAATTACTTTTTGCTGTTCCACTGTTTTAATAAAGAACTCTTTTTTGAGTACTGAGCACATTCCTTTTGAAGCCTTCATAATTTTTTTCCCATTTCAGTTGTCATTTAGATGTTGATATGTAAAGCAAAATGGCAAAAATCAACACCCAGCACTCCTACCCTGGTGTACACAGCCTGTCTGTCAGAACTTCTGATGAAGATATTGAAAGGATTGAAAATGGCTATATCAGGTAATATTTTCCTTTCATCACAGTCAAGAGGACAGATTGCTGCATAGTTTGTGGAACTCCTGTAGCTCTGGGAATGGGAGCTAGAAATATGGGAATATTGTGTTGTGATATTGTTGGCCCAGTGCACTTTACAGACTTTACTGCATCTATCTAAAGTAGAGAGGAGACAGACACAGAGAGGTTGTCATGGTTTGCAGTTTTGGAACCAGGAGCTGTAACACCTCAGGAAAAAAAGCCCATTTTCACATCAGTGGGAATTACACTATCTCATTAAAGAGAAACCTCTTTCTCAAGTCACCACACAGATAGCACGCAGGGTCTGAGCTTCCGACAGGGTATGTAGGATTTGGTGAAGAAAAAGATCCTTTGAGCACCATGCAGTGAGAAGCCTTGGTTTTTTTTAAGCAGCCTCTGCAAATTGCCTAGTTCCTGTATTAGGAAAAATCTGTACTGTATAAAGAGTATCAGCTTTTTTGTACTGGATTTTCAGTGTGTCTCACTGTAGAGAGGAAATGTAATAGAGGAAATTTACATTCACCTTTCCCTAGTTTTGTTAGTTTTAAAGTGGCTGTTTGAAATGTGCCAGTGAGCTTGCACTTACCTATTGCACAGTACCAGTCATTCCTCTAGACTGGGCAAAGCCTGCTGGGCCTGCAGAAAGATGCCTGTTGATCCATAGCATCTCTGAAGGCTGGAAAATATTTTCTGCTTTTGGTTTGTTATGGCCAACCAGCTCCTCTGTGTGGATCTTTTCAGGCTGGCTCTTGCTGTTCAAATGCACACCCAGACTAGAGCACCCACAATCTTGATGGGCTGATGGGACTCCCTGCATTATGGGGAGTTTTGGATTGCATGTCCCTAGTAGCTGCTATAGATGCTCTGTTTGAACTGGCCTTTTTTTCTTCTTGCTTTGCTTAACATGATACCTTCTGTCACATAGATGTACCTACAGCAGTGAAAATGGATCTGATTTGTTCTGCAGAGTTAAGGCTTGCTTGCTGTTGTTGCACTACCCCATGGCCTCCTTAGGGAGATTTAAGAGCCCTGTCCCTTTCTCTCCATTAACAGTGATGTGTTAGAAAAAGTGAAAACACAGATTGAAATGAACCTCTTCCTTTCCTTTTTTTTTAATGTCCTATTTTAGTGGATGTCAGTGATTGGCAGCTGACAGAATGGAATTGCTGGCTGGGATGCGAGAGTAGGGTTATAAAGGTTTATATGTAGAATTAAATCCCTGCAGTCATCTGCAATTTCAGAGGCAATGACTTTGACAGCTAGAGGGACTGAAATATGAATTGCACTTCATCATCATGGTGATGGTCTTGAAGACGCATTTTTTGAAAGGAAAGTTTGATATTAGCAGCATTAATTGCAGGACTTCATAGATGGGTAAGAAGATCCAATCTTGTTCTGTAAAAGAAATATCATATTTAAGATTTTTTGATTTTTGAAATGAGTGCTGCTAAGTATATACAATATCTTTATAGTGCTGTTAATTTTTTTTTAATTCAGATTTGCTTTAGAATATGTCTGTACCAAAAGAGAGTAACCATCCAGGATTTTAGGTTTTCTGTACCTTACATCAAAATACACAACTATAGATATTGGGAAAAAAGCACATTTGCTAGAGTAACAGCATTTATTCTTTGCCTTTACCTTACTCCAGTTCCTATTTGCTATAGTTCAACATACCAATTAAACACATTACTTAGTTCTTAATAAAGTCAGTGGGTGTTAAATTTATGCTTAATGCTAAGGAGGTGCTTAAGCACTTTTCTGATGTGAAATGAGGTGTTACCAAGAAAAAGCATTCACTGCAACAGTTAAAAGAAAGCTGCTACTGATCTTTAAAATGCTGTGCTCATTTATGCTGCAGTGATTCATGTACCCATATTCTTACTCTGTAGTGTGTTATAAAGTTGGTTCATTTTGTTAAAACAAAAATAAAGAAACCTCAAAAAATAACAAATAAATCTCCATTTTTAAAACCCAGCCTCTGTATAGAAACAGCTCAAATTGGAGAGGCAGCACATTAGCTTATAGACACACAGGCTGGCCATCTAAAGTTGAAAGTAGGATTCAGCTGTGCCCTGTAGACATCTGGATTTCAGTGTCTTTATGTGAGCTGTTGCCTACATTCCTGCTGTCCTGAGTGGAGATGTCGTCAGTACTGATGGTCAGCAGCACCCAGGGAACTGCTCAGCTTACCCTCAAATTCAGTAACTCTTCAGGCTCCTTTGGCTCTCTTGATAATGAGAGGTATTTAGTTGCCTGAAATAGACATCTAATGCTATTTGAGATACTATAGAGTATTTGAAGTGTTTAGCTGGTGCTAGCAGATGTGAGGAGGGACCTGTGTGCTCTGGAGAAGTCCAATAAGGTATTCTGAAGTGTTACAAATTGTACCAGACTCTATTCTGAAGTAGCTGAATCAAGCCCTGAGATGGCCATTGGCTATAATGGGAATTTAGATACTTCTTAGGTACTGCCATTAACAATATTAGAATTTATTCTAAGATCACACAAAATGTATATTACTCAGTAAATGGGAATCAAATACTTAAACCAACCATGGTAGTGCAGTCTAAAACACTAACTAGTCCTGTATCCTTTCTTCAGCAGGTCTGTAGGCAGTTTCTCCAGGAAACACTAAAAAAGATTCTCTCAGCATTCAGCTGAAGAGAGTTCTTGGGCTGAATGTGGGCTCTGTGAACCTGGTAATCTGTGATGAATGTCTGTTCCATGAGTTTATTCATTGTCCCTTAGAAGGATGTTAACTTTGACAACCACAATATTCTCAACATTGGCAGCATAAACTGGGTTCTAATTTTTTTTCAGTGTTACGTGGTGTTTTGTTATTGGAAGAGAAGTAGAAAACAGTTAACAAGTTGAGAATTCTGGGATCGTCAGGATCTACTTTAGCATTGTTCTTTGGGTAGAAATAATAAAGTTTTTATTCTTTGTTAGTTTCTCAGCTGTGGGTGCACATAAAATTGATATGTTGATTATCCTTTTGTGGGCATTCAGAATGTTGCTGCCAGCTCCTATGAAGATACTGCAAGTATCATTTTAGTCAGTGTTTTCTTGGCAATACAGATTAACAGACCCATGTGAGAGTTCTTGTTTCCATTACAAAGGGGGGGAAAAGTGATTCTTAATGGATGTAGAAAAGTCTTGTAAAAGTGAATACTAAAGACTGAAAAACACAGAGAAAACCAGGGAGTACTATAAAAAAAATCTGGAGTGAACCTTCATTAAGTCCAGCTTCCAATGAAATCAATTTCAAAACTCTATTACTAGAAGACAAGGCTAAAATTTAATCTGTTTTTCCTCAAATGCTAATTTTTTAAGTGCTAATAAGTTGTCCTTAGCTTCTGAGCTTGCTGGAATGTATGGCAGAACCTCCAGTGACTTCAGTTCATATTGGATGGTTTCAGAAGAATTAGAGCACAGGCTTAGCAATAAGGTTATCAAATATATGCTGTATTACTAGGGAGAGGACAATTTGCTGGACTGTTTCCTGATGCAGTGGTGGAGAGAGCCAGATGGGGGAACGTCTCGTGAAGGCTGCATGGAATTCCATTTAAAAAAAAAATTGTTTTTGCAGAACCCATTCACTACTTGAGGATGCATCTTCAGAACTGCAGGGAGTCATTTCTGTGGAGGGAGGACATGTACCTGAGCCCCAGGCGAGCTCCTTCACTGGCAGGGGAGCAATGGCAAGGTAACATACTAACTAATAGAATTTCCAGTATTAAGTTCAATTTGCTGGAAGGGCCTGGTTGCAATTTGGAGGCAAAGAAAGAAGAGCCATCGCTTTCCAAAGAAAATGGATGGAGTCTAGCTGAAGAATGTCTATAAGAAGTAACAGAAGTTGCATTTGACCTTGATTTGGAGCCCTAGTCAGCAAAATTGAAGCCGACCATTGTCTTAAGTTGTTTGTTAGTGAGACTTAAATATAAGCTGAAGTGGAGCTTCAAAACTTTATTTTGTCTGCTTTGTGTCTGAGACTACAGGGTTCTGCCTTCAGATACCATTGTTCCATGCAACACAGACCACAGTCACTTTAAGCACAGTGTATTACTATTTAAATGACTAGGGTCATTTAAATAGTATTGTTCACACCTCTTCATTTTGGATAGTGGAGAATAAACTCAGATTTTTAGTCTTCAGATAATGACACCACTAGATGTAGATGACTAAGTCTGCAAGAAGTTGAGTTTTGATGAGAAATGATTATTGGTGTGTGTTTTGTGTAAACATTATGCACATGAATATATGAATTAGTACTGAGAAGTTCCTTTTCAATCTTTGTTTATAATTTCTTTACCCTTTTCCAGGATAGATTGAATTACATTTGTGTGTAGCTACAGTTATGTATGCTCTGAATATACAGGGAAGTTTGTGATGTACTGTAAACACGAATGCCTAGCAATTTAAATATTAGGGTAACACAGCATGACTCTTAAATGGAAATTCCCAAGGATCTAAGACAACTGTTTCTGATGTACTTCACTGAGTATCTCACTTTGAGATGTAAAGGCCTCCACTCAGCAAGAATATTCTGTTGCTCCTGCAGTGGGGATACAGTAGAATAGGAACTGATGTGTGAGGTATTTTCCTGATCCACTGCAGAAGGTGATCTATGAAGTTGTGGTGAGTGACTGGGTTCACACAGTTATTCCATCAAGTTTAATTTCATCACAGGTGGAGATGTGGAGAAAAATCCTGGGCTGGTGTTAGTGGGGATGTTTTGAGCCACCTCATGTTTCTGTCTGGTTCAGTCCATTTTGTGTGTGTGTTCCATGCAGGCTGTCCCGGTTTGTCTTATCTGTAAGGTCATGGGCCACAAGACACTCGCAGCGTGAAGACCAGAGGCCTGACTCTTTCCTGGAACGGATCAGGGGCCCTGAGCTCGTAGAGGTGTCCACCAGGCAAAGCAACATCCGCTCCTTCCTGGGCGCCCGTGAGCGGCCCGGGGCAGCAAACAGGTAAGAAGATGTGTTTATACTTCAAGTGAAGATGACTGAGGTTATCATGCTTTCTTGGTAATTGGGATGTAAGTTGTATTTTAAGAAGAGAGTAAGGAGCTTATCATGGGAGATAAACTGAGTATCTAATGCTGCCCAGGAATCTTCACATAACTGAAGTATTGCACTTTCAACAGACTTTCTCTTTCCTCAAACACAGTGTGATCAAGATCTTGAAGTAAAGGATTTTGATCATGCTGCTTCAGGCAAAATGATGTCTCAGAACAGGAATTTATCATACGTAACTTGATGTTGCTAAACTGCTCTCTACTGAGGAGAATGCAGTTTATATTTCAAGAATCTAAGGTGTTTCTACTTCTGACTTTTCAGGATCTTAATGTGCATTATCTGTAAGTGTTAGGAAACTCTAAAGAAGCAGTTGTGCAAAATGTGTAATTGCTTTGTTAAATCTACTCAGAAGTCCATCTGATAACTTTACAGAAAGTTTCTGTTTCAGAAATGACAAAATCATTTGGATGCTGACTTCACTTATTAACATGTATGTGGTCTTGGGTATGGAAGGCATATTCAGTCTTATTTTTTTTCCAGTACAATGAAAGAGAAACCTTTATGTGTTTATAGTTCTTTGACGTGATGAATTATTATTACTGTATAAATATATTATATGGTGTTTTTAAATTTAACTCCAGCTAAAATGGGAAAATGAAATACCAAGACAAAAGCTGGCTTTCTGTTTGGCATTAGGCTTTGAAGCAGAGACATTCTTTTTTTTTTCATAATTAAAGACTTGTAGGTAATCAAGTAATTAGTTTCAAAAATCTCAGCAAGCAATTAAGATTAAAGCAAAAACCTTTGAAGGTCTGTGCATTACACAGGTTACTGTGATTTGTTGTAGTCCAGCACAGTCTTATTATCTTCACTTGATCTGCTTCTTAGAAATTCATCTCAAGAGCACATTTTATTGAATTAGCCAGACTATTGCCTGATTTCTCAGGTGCCTGGATCAGTAGCAGCTGCAGATGGGAAGTAATTAGAGAGAACAACATTGATCATGGGCCAACAAACCTCTGCATAAGGCTATTTGAAATTAATTTAAGGGCACCTATCATTGCCTTCTCAGTTTTATGCTGTTGCTGGTTGACAGTAACTCTCAGTTGTTGGATCATGAAGGCTTAATTCTGCAGCAGTGGATAGGTATGCTCATTACTTATCCACAAGCCTTGACACTGCATCTGTGAAGAGGACTTGAAAGGATTGAAGAAAGCTTAAAATAGTAGCCCAATGAGTACAGGGCTAAAAATAGTGAGGTGCATCTTGCCATGCACTAATACGCCTAAGAACAGGCTTCAGACATCAGATGTGGTCACAAATGTGTATGCCAGGCACATGACAGAAAGGAACTGGTGCCTGGAAGCAGTTATGCAAAGGGGTTTATCACAACAGTCAAAATTGACCTTGCTAATCTTGTCAGTGCATATGTGGGAAGCTCGTGAGTCCGTCTGTCATGTCGGTAGACACGCGTGTGAAATGCCAGCAGCCTTTACTTGCACTCTTTAATATGTTTTATTTAACTTGCTTGCAGTCACTGGCCCTTGGCCAGGTTCAATGTCAACTTTAGCAACAACACCAATGAAGAGTAAGTACTGTTAACTTCCAAAGACCTTTCTACTACCATCACCTTCTCTTTTTCCCTATCCAGCCTAGTTACACTTGTAGCATGAACTCGTTAGTTCTTGCTAAGCCTTTCCTAAGAGTATAGTTTTATTATAGAGAAAGGTCTCATTTTCTTAGTATGAAAAGCATCCTTTGTGCTCCCTGTGAACTTCTTTTTGTCTGAAGTTACCCCTTCCTCTCGAGGAGTGAATTTGACTAAGCATTTAGTCCCTACCTTCTGTAGTTCAGCTGGCTGATTGTACTGCATTACCAATTAATGCATTCATTTTTCAGTTTTTAAATGAGATTCGTGTGTAAATTTTCTAACAGTGGTTTTCCTCTTTTAACACACTGGTCCCTTTTTGCAAATCAAGTGCCCCAAAAATTTTAGGTTGTCAAATGAGAAGTGGATACAGAGGAGGTTACCAAAATCCATTTATATGTCCACCTTTTAAAAATGTGTTTCAGTTCAGCAGGTACTCTTGTTTTAGAGAGAGTGACAGGCACCATAATAAGACTGGTATTGCCACAGAATGTCAGACAGAAGCTGTCCTTTGGAGTTTATTTTATATAATTGATAAGCTATTTCACAGTGTTACACCAAAGAGAAATTTATTAAGCAATGCAAAGAGCTCCTCTAATTTAAAATCACCCAACATCAGTGTTTGTTGCTTGTCTTAGACCACAGCAATCTGAAGACATATCTGCTCTTTAGTATCTAGCAGCAGATCTGAGTTCATGCATAATAGTTGGATTCTTTTCATTGCTTTCCAGATGAAACCAAAAAATATAAAAGTAATCAGTACACCTTCTGATTGTATCAGAAATACTTGTAGAAAACTCTAGGGGATTTTTTTCCCCTTCAAATAATTCTATCATAGGATAATTTAAACTGTATTTTTTTTATATGATGCTGCAAAACCTTTGTGCACATAGCTGAAGAAGAGATCTTCCTGCTCCTAAAGCAACTTTTCAGTTTGGTTTGTGTTACTTTTATTCAAAAGGAAAATCTGTGTGCAGTGAGCAGTGACAAAAATATGCAGACTTTTATTTAGACTGATATAAAAGAAGTGCTATAAGCTTGGAGCCAAGCCTGCTAGATGGAGCCCAAAGGACTGGTTAGGACAGAAATACTTCTGCCTTACTGTGTTTCTGACAATGACTCAGGTACCTTGGGCAAAACTTTCATCCTTTCACTGTTTCATTATTTTTAAATGAAGACAAGACCTGTCTGTCTACCTGCCCGACAGTCTGAAACATACTTGATCTGCAAAGTACTTAGATGAGAAATGCAAATATTTGAGTCAAAGACTCAAAGATTGATTCAAAGACAATGACAGTGTTTTTATAAGGGCTGATGAAGTAGATTTCTAAGCCTACAGCTGCACACAGCTTAGAAACAGCATGGATGCTGCTGCATTGGGGTCAAAGAGGACAGACACAAACTGTTGTATTAGTTACTGGATTCCAGTTTACTCAGTGTTACTGGTAAAGAAAAAGAAATGTGGACTTTTCATTATGTTAAAGCCCTAAGTGTGCCATGTCTTGAGGAACTGTACATGATGCTTTCACGTCTTTGATTATGGCAAACCTTTTCCTCTGAGTGACTTCCAATCAGACTGCAAGTAGATGTGAGTATGAGAAATTGGGAATTACCACAACAGAAAAATAAACAGAGGCAACATGAATGGAAGAAACTCATTTACGAAAGGTACCTGTAGTTGACACATGAGTTTGTAGGAGATCTCAGGCCAGAGAAAAATAAGTGTTGGCATTAGACGCTCTGTGAAATAAAATTTTTTCACTTTTTAACAAATAAAACACAAACATAGAAGGGAGTTGGAATTGTCAAAATATTCCCTCCAAAGTTCACCACCACTGAGACTTTTTGACTGATTTTCAATCTCAGCCTACTTTTCCCTGCATAATAAGATTCACAAATGTACATGTGGCCCTACCCTTTGAAAATTCTGCTTACTGGTAGCTCTTCCATTCTGGTAAGAATGCCAGGCATTTGAAGTATCGAGGAGCTATGTTAATGCTAACAACAGCAACTGTGCATTTGCCTTTAGATCAGACATCATGCATGGTAATCTGAAATGAAATCTTGACATGTTTTTTAAACAGGAAGGAGTTTTGGGGGCAGATTGGAAAATGAATCAGTAAAGTTCTGGACAGTCAGTCCAGAGAAATAAATTTTTGAGAAGCAGTTCCCACTGCTATGTAGGAATCAACCTTGGTAAATGAAAATCTGTTTCTTGCATTTGAGATGCAAGTAGAAGTAGAAGATCAGTCAAGCCAAAGGTTTTTTTCTTCTCCAGTTCTCCTCCCTTTACTGTGTAATTTTGAAGGTGTCAGTGGTGTTGGTCAGTTTGGTAGGTATTTCCTTGGATGTGGCAAAGTGTAGGATCTCAGCGTTTTTTAGCAAATGAGTCTTGGCTTTTCCAAAGTGCACTGTGGTGGTGCATCATTGTAGAAATGTCTAAGTGTAAGAACTGGAGCAGGTGCTCACTGCTCATTGGTGAAAGCTGCTACTATCATAAATTGGTGGCTGTCATCTCCTTTGGAGTGCTTCTTTCTCCTTGTATCAAGCACTTCCTAGATGTGACTGCCATCCACAGCACAGCCCTTTCTGGCCTGAGCAATATGAGCAGGCGTGCACGGGAAGCACAAGTCCTGTAAGCAGCACTATTACATACTCTGTCCTTGCTGTGGGATGTTGCTGTCATTAAACTCATTTGTCCTTTCCTGACACCAGTGCAAAGGGAGACTCAGACCCAGTCTCAGCAGTTCAGAGGCGAAAACAGAGCTCCCATGGGAGCAGGAATCCATGGATTTCATTCAAACCAGACGTTATGTGTGGGGTGTGTTTTTATCCACACGCTGTAGTGTAAGGACACTTAGGCTTTTCTGTCCAAGGGGGACATTTTCTGCTTCAGGGATTAGAAACGTTCAAATAAAAAAGAAGGAGATCTCAGATGATGGATTTTCTTCTTGTGCAAATGAGCACCATTCTTAACAACACATGATATTATTCTTGACCAAGCATGTAGCAAATCTAGCTTTAAGATTAATTATTGTCAGAATTTCGAGAAAGATGTTAACTTCCTATAGGTTTGAAAAGTATTTGTGGGCCTGTCTGCCTAAGTGAATGTATTTCAAGACTCTTCTGTTCAGACAAACCGAAGAATGGGGCAATTAAAATCCAGAGGTGATTAATTAATTAAAATTTTGCTAGTTTTAAAGAACTATGAGTGGAGATTCATCCTTATTTTTATAATTACTATGAAAGCTTCAGACAGTCATGTTGAGGTTTTGGCTGTGCAAAGAATGTTGACAGTTTGTTAAGCCATTTCATATTCTGTCATCATTTTATAGGTTTCTTTTTAAGTGGCTGGTTCTTAAGAGTCAATCAAACTGAAAGCATTTACTTAAAATCAGCCTGGTACGCTGATGTCTGAAAAGGTCAAGAAGGTATGGGTGACTAATGCAGAGAATCAGCCAGCTGGTTACCTGATGTGATCGTGTGGTGGTGTCAGGGTGAGAGATCTTAGCCTGAGAATCCTTTTTTCCAGTTGGATCCCTGCCCTACTCTGTCCCGAGTTCAGAATAGTTTCCCAACCCTCCACCCTCTCCCTTAACTGCTCAGTATTGCCAATACTGCTAAGCCTTGTATTATGTTGTACAGCAAAAAGGAAGAAAAGAAAGAGGTTAAAGAGGAGAAAAAAGAGGAAAAGAAAGAGGAAAAGAAAGATGAAAAGAAAGAGGAAAAGAAAGATGACAAAAAAGATGACAAAAAAGATGATAAAAAAAAGGAAGAGTAAGTATAAAGAATGAATGTGTGATTGTAACGCCTCCTACACTACAAAACATGGTATAGCATTTCATTGTAACATTTTACAGTTGTTCTGTAGACTGCAGATTCTTAGCCTGTTAAATCTTTAATACATTTTTCCCTTTGAGAAGTTTTCACCTGCTCAGCAAAGTTCTTGTTTCTTGAAGACCTGTGTTTAGATCTTTCAGAAAAAGCTTCCTATGTCGCTAAAAGGGAATTGAGTTACCTCTGGTCACTTTGAGTTGAAGATCACTTTTCAATTATGGCAACACTTTAGGACAGCAGCCTTCTTTGCAGAGCTGCACAGACTTTTCATTGTTTCAGAATTTCCATAACGATTCAGAGCAGATGAACCAAAAGTCTGGTTCATCTTACCATGTAGAAACGTCTTACATGAAGAAAATTAAAGGTTTGCTAATAAGCTTACTTATTTCACTGACTAGTTATTTAATTACTTAATATGGTGCAGTTCATTGCTAGTGATCACTAAAATTTGCTTCTATTGGTTAGGGGATGGTGTATTTCTCCAGCAAAATAAGGTAATTTGAATGCTTTTGACAGAAATGGGTCCCATTCTTGCATTGTTCCCCTAAAGCTGACCCAAATATATCATAATTTACTGTTACCAGTGATTCAAAGTAACAATGATGGTAGACAAAAAGAGAATGCATTTGAATGCATTTCACAGTTAAAGAATATGTTACGGTAAATACTGTAGGTTATATATATGTATATGATGGCACCTGCTATATAGACATGAGGGCATTCCAAATGGAATCTGATTGATCTCAAGATCTTTATTAACGCTTTTAATTTTTTTTCCAATTAACAAAGCCTTTGTTCTAAACACTGTCTTGGCTTTAATTACTAGGTAGTAAAAGCATGAGCTTTGGAGTAGCCTAGAGTGTTTTAAAACATCTTGTCAGAGAAAATTACTGTTTTAATGTCTAGAAGGTAGTATACTCTGACATATAATGACCATATTTCATGGTCACCAGTTTTGAGGTGGTGACCAGTTTTCTAGAAGAAATAGTTTAAAACCAGTAGTGAAGATGGAAAAGTAAATACTTTTTAGATTGAAGCTGCTTCCTTTTCTCGCATTGCCTGGATGTTCAGCCGACAGCAATGGCAATGCCAGAAATACACACAGATTTGAAATAAATTATCATTACATTTTAATATATTTGCTTTCTTGGAGATTAGGAAAAGCCCCACAAATACATATTCAGGCATTGCCTGGTCACATATTCTGCACATGATTATACAGTCCACAGATCACAATTTTACTGTTGAAATAATTTTGCAGTTGTGGACCTCAAATCCATTGGTGTATATTTCCTCTGATTACAAACCTAATTGCTTTCTATTCCATATCGACTTTTCTCATGCTGGAGGTGGGCATTTCTGAGCATACCCTGTGCCATTAGCCATACTGTTGTTCAAATCTTTATATTTCAGGCCTGTATGCTTCCCTTAGCATCACTTCCTTGTTGTACGGCCTAAGGAGCCAGGGCTGTGGATGTGTGAAATTTGCCTTTGACAAAGACATGCTTCAGCTCTAGTCACACACACTGTATGTGCATATGCACACAGAGTTTCTTACTTGTACAGACATGCTTTACTTGTTCAAATGCATGCTTATACAGTCATTTTCATAATAGACTTTTCTAAAAATCAATAAGTAGCCTGCAAAGGAAGGCTCTTTCTCTAGCAATGAAATGTAACCTAATTGGAGCAATAATGAAAAGCATTTAACAAGTAAACTTTTTTTCAGTGTGGGGCTTAATACAGAAGGCTGTGGGTTTCAGTCTGAGAGATACGAATGTCTGTGTTTTTCTTTCCACTTTTACTTACTTTTTGCAAAGTTGTGTGAACAAAGAAATAGAGCTTGTCAGATGGGATGCCTGGTATCTCATCTGCACTGTCTGCGTGGATACTTTCCCTTCTCAGGCAGCTGTGAGTTCATGGTGAAGTGAGCAGCCTCAAGAAGAGGGAAATCCAGCAGGTTGCTTGCTTACATTTCCAATGTAAATCTGCATGTTTTACTTTCCAGGCAGAAAAAGGAGGTCTTTGTGATAGATCCTTCGAGCAATCTGTACTACAACTGGCTGACTGTAATTGCAGCACCCGTGTTCTATAACTGGTGTATGCTAGTGTGCAGGTATGGATTTAAGTTAAGAACAATTTAACAGTTCAATCATTATGTTTCCTATGTAAATCACCCTCTTATCTCCCTGCAGTATCTTTTGAGTGACTTGCCTAGAAGGTCTACAGTTCATAGGCCCTTAGAGATGTATGATATGTGTACCACTGGGAATAGATTGCCGGTGTTTCTTTTTTTTCTCTTTTTGTCTAAAAGCAGGTGGATGTAACTTGCAGTGAGTGTCCTGATGAGCGCTGGTGTGGCCTTTGTGTGCCACCTGCCGGCTGGCAGCTGAGCTGTGTCCTGGCCACTGCATCCCTAAGCACTGTCAGGGATGAGGGCTTCTCAGCACACAAGGGAGAGCAGAAAGGAGGGATGTGGGCAGTGGTGGGGCCTCTTAAATTCATATAATGCTTTTGGATGCTCGAAGGACAGAAAGATATAACTCAAGTATTTATTTTCCACGGCAGAATGTAGAAATCAGTTTCAGTGAAAGTGATGGATAGCTGTAGAAATGGTTTCCTTACACTGTGTAAGATGGTAGGGAGAGATGAGGTTGGCTTGCCACTGAGAAACACATATTTTATTTGGGAATTATCTACATGGTGATGTGTATCCCGTGAAATCTGATGCACTTTCAATTGTAGGGATATGCGTAATCCTCCATAAGTGCACTTGTGTGGCATTTATTTGTTTGAGTTTTATTCCTGTCTAGAACACTTTTGAATTCTGAAAGATCCTGGAGTCTGTTTGGACATAACTCTAGTGTGCAGATGTCTGGACATGGAGATATGTTGTAATATTTCTGTTCCAGGAATGTGCACTAACATGCTGCTAGGGCATGTAATACAAGTACTCTGCTGATGCAGTTGGCCTAATTTATTTTTTTTTTAAACTTTCTTTCTTCAGAGCCTGCTTTGATGAGCTACAAATGGACCACATTAAAATGTGGCTGTTCTTGGATTATCTCTCTGATATTGTCTATGTTATTGACATGTTTGTCAGGTTCAGAACAGGTGAGTCTTTCTGGGATTTTACAGTCTTTCAAATACTGCATGTATATAAAGAATGGAAACAAAAATTCCCCTGTGGGGTATGACCACTCTAATATCCTGTGAGAGTGCAACAGTGGGGGCTTTCGGAACATGAAGTGTCTGATCAGCTTGGATTTTTTAAGACCATACATTCCAACACTTGATCTTCACTTGTCTCTAAATTCAGTTCTGTCAGTAATAGGTGTGCCAGATGCTGAGTGCACAGCCACTGTAACAGACTGTGTGGGGAAGGACAATAGGGCACTTGGGGCAGGAAACCAAATGCACCCCACAAGTGCTGCTTTTGTAACCAAGCTGTGCAGCATCCTGGTCAGAAGTGGTTATTGAGTTGGTCAAGTGCTAGACCTGGCACCTGTCTCAGCCTTCAGTCTGTGGTCCTGTGCCTGGAATGGCAGTGTGGCCCCTCTGCCACCATCTGTGTTTCCTGCATCCTCTACGAGGTCCTGGCAGGGTTTCCCACTGCCTGGTGATGGGATAGGGTTAACCCAGGAACCTCTGCTTAGCTCCTGCTATCCTGGACAGAAATGTGAGCCCAGAGGATCTGTGAGGGCTGTGCCATGCTATGTGTGAAGTGGTTCTCTTCAGCTTCTTGTCCCTGTTTCTGTAATCCAGGCAGGCTGAGATCCCAGCCTTAAAAGTGATATCTGTTTTAAACTGAGCAAGGTCATAATGTAGGCCTAAGCAATGACATACAGTGATCTGTGTCACCAAGTTACTGAATAGTCCTCAATGCACTTTGGTGCTTGCACTTTGGTCCATGCCAGAGAGCCCCCAGTGTCTGGGGACAGCTAGGAGGACAGCAGAGGTTGGGTGTTGTTCATGGTGGTGTTTTTGGAGGGGCCTAGAAGAGCTTACATGTGAATAGAAGCTGTCACAGTAGCTGGTCTTAGGCCACAAAACATCTTCTGTCTCATTTTCTTCACTGGTGTAGACACAGCTTCAATATGTCCCTTGAAAGGGTCCAAAACAACACTGATTTAAAAAATGAGAGTAATTTTAGATCTTTAATTTTAACATCTTATCCATTTTTACCTATTTATTTATTTAAAGTTGTGTTGACAGCTTGATGTTAATTATGACCTGTGACAAGTTGTAAACATAATTACAAGATTGGCTAAAAATGCTGTCATGTGGGAAGCACACAACCCATGGGAAGCCAAGTTCTTAAACTTAGCAAGTACCTTGTTCAACAGGAAAGTCAGTTTCAGGTACCAGCCGAAATCATAAGTGTGCTGTGTTTGGGGCAGGATGGGGAGGGGTGTTCATCCTCTTTGTGTAGTTAAAATGTCAATTGTGCCAACTAAATTTACCTCCTGCAGTTACATCTGTTAATGTAATGGGAAAGAACAGAGCAGAAATTAGGCATGTCCAGGCAAAGCAAATTATAAATTTCCATGGGCTGTCCTGATAATGATTATATGGCTGTTAAAGCCTGACTGGAATTTGAATTTTCAGGCCTGGCTTGCAGCTGCAGAATTTCTGGAGCTGTCTCCCAAATGCTTCAGTAAGGTGTCTGCTGTAGTTCCAGGCACTCTAAGAAAGAAGTTGCTTCTTTTAGGTGGCAAAATCTTTGTCAACTCTCTTAACAGTTCCTCCTGGCTCTGCCTTTGCCTGCTGCCTTTTCATGTGAGTCCGCAAAGTCCATCTGTCCTGGGGACAGAGGTCCTGGAAGCCTGTGGAGAAGAGTGAGACTTTCTGCTGTCTGAGGGCAGGGTGTGCCTTTGAACTGAGATCTAGGTAGTCCCACGACTACTCTGATCAGCAGCTTCTCCATGGTGCATTTCTGTCTAGCTGCAGGGCCAGTTGGACTGCATTTCACCTATTTGATGACTGTGCACTGTGAAACAGAAAAGATTCTTGTCTCAGCAGCTGGTTGTGTTTAGCATACCCTGTGTTCTAATGCTTTCAAAAGATTTAAGATTTTAGTTCCATAAGGTAACAAAAAGCCAAGAGATTTTATCTCCTTTCAGGGGGAAGGTGTTTTCAAAGTTTTTCTTCATAACTGTGTATCAGAAATTGATCAGTCTGGCCAGCTTTTCTGTTTAGTTGTACAACTAAAGGGTGTATGTGACCAGCTTTGTCAGCAGTGCTCTGGGAGGCAACACGTGTGGCAGAGGAACTACTTCCATTTGTAGTCACGTCAGCTTGCAGATCCAAAGCCAGATACACACAAATAGATGTGGCATTTACAGATGAACCACACATTCAGAAATACCATGCTGTGTAGGGCATAAAGAAATGCAGCTTGGTGTTCCTCAGCAGAGGCTTCCCTGAGAAAGCTAAGGGGCCTTGTAGATTGCTAAGGGGTTAAACGTAAAATGTGATAATCCATGATTCACTGGGAATGTTTTAGTTTCTTCTCAGGGGACATTTTCTCCTGAGTGACCCAATGGGCTGACAGTTGGATATTTCCATTGCAATTGCAGCGTAAGTTGTTCCTTGTGGAACATTTTTAATGCCCTCAGAGGCACAAAAGAGCACTGTGGCTGTACTCTCTGCAGCAAAACTCTCATGGCAGTTTATAGCTATTTGTAAATTTTTAAAATCTAATACTTTTCAAAGTCTTTGGAATGAAGAACTATTGATGTGCGAAAGGCTGCTTAGCAGCTCTCTCACTAGAAACACAAAATGCTGACCAAGGAAAATCATATCAGTTTTAACATTGGACACAAGAGGAAAAACATGACCTAGGGAGGGGGGGTAACTGTATTTCTTTATCTCAAGGATATCTATATTGTTTGGGAAAAGCTTCCAACAATCTATTATACCTACTTATTCTTAGTATTTATTTTAAAATATTCCACTCCTATTTTATACACACTTGCTTTAACTTTAGTTATGACTCATGCCAGTGATTAATGAAAAATTAGATACTTGAATATCCCTCTTTTTTTCGCAAAGATACTTAAAAAAGATACAGCTGTCACAGAAAAGAGTGGAAAGCCTCAGGGAGCACTGTGGTGATAATAGAGTCATTGTTCTTAGTCATTATATACCAGCTTTGAAACTTGATTGAAATATTTAAATATGCAATTAAATGACCTCAAATCTGTAAGCATAACAGTACAATTTTAACATTCTTAGGCCTGAAATGTAAGTTACTCACTACTGTTGATGGTATTTTTATTCTAACAAGTAAAATCTTTTTATTCTCTGAAGGCTTCCTTGAACAAGGCTTGCTAGTTCAGGATGAGAAGAAATTACGAGAACATTACACCAAAACTGTGCAGTTCAAACTAGACGTGCTGTCTCTTGTGCCAACAGACCTGGCATATTTCAAGCTTGGTTTGAACTACCCTGAGCTGCGATTTAACCGCTTGCTGAGGATCGCTCGGCTCTTTGAGTTTTTTGACCGTACCGAGACCAGGACAAATTATCCAAACATGTTCCGTATTGGCAATCTGGTGTTATACATCCTTATCATCATCCACTGGAACGCGTGCATATACTTTGCGATATCGAAGGTGATTGGGTTTGGGACTGACACCTGGGTGTATCCCAACGTGTCCGTTCCGGAGTACGCGCGCCTGTCCAGGAAATACATTTACAGTCTGTACTGGTCGACGCTCACGCTGACAACCATTGGAGAAACGCCGCCCCCGGTGAAGGACGAGGAGTATCTCTTTGTCGTCATCGACTTCCTGGTGGGCGTGCTCATCTTTGCCACCATTGTTGGTAACGTCGGCTCCATGATTTCCAACATGAATGCTTCCAGGGCAGAGTTCCAGGCCAAAGTGGATTCCATTAAACAGTACATGCAGTTCCGAAAAGTGACTAAGGATTTGGAAGCCAGGGTTATTAAGTGGTTTGATTACCTCTGGACCAACAAGAAAACAGTAGATGAGAAGGAAGTTCTCAAAAATCTGCCTGACAAGTTGAAGGCTGAAATTGCCATCAATGTCCATTTGGACACACTGAGGAAAGTGCGTATATTCCAGGATTGTGAAGCTGGACTTCTCATTGAGCTGGTGCTGAAACTGAAACCTACGGTCTTCAGTCCTGGTGACTACATTTGCAAAAAAGGAGATATTGGAAGAGAAATGTACATTATTAAAGAGGGAAAATTGGCTGTGGTGGCGGATGATGGCATAACCCAATTTGTAGTCCTAAGCGATGGCAGCTACTTTGGTGAAATCAGCATCCTAAACATCAAAGGTAGCAAATCTGGCAACAGGAGGACAGCCAACATTAGGAGTATTGGTTATTCTGATTTGTTCTGCTTGTCTAAGGATGATTTAATGGAAGCCCTCACAGAATATCCAGAAGCCAAAAAGGCTCTGGAAGAGAAAGGACGTCAAATTCTGATGAAAGACAATTTAATAGACGAGGAGGCAGCAAAAGCGGGAGCTGACCCAAAAGACTTGGAAGAAAAAATAGGACGACTTGAAGTAGCTCTGGATACGCTGCAGACTAGGTTTGCGAGGCTCATGGCAGAATACACTGCATCTCAACAAAAGGTGAAACAGAGACTTGCCAGAGTAGAAACCCGAGTGAAAAAATATGGTAGTGGCAGCTTATCAGTTGCAGAAGCAGAGACTGAAAAACCTGAGGAGAAAAAGCAGTAATGGGGTACTTATATTTCCTCATTTATTGGAGAAAGGTGAAGCACTGAAAGCCATAAATGTATGTAAATATGTGTGTGCATACATAGACATAATTATTTTTATATGAACTCAAGAGAATGGTTTTTAGCATTTTTAACTGAAGCAGTATTTTCTTGTAAATAGAACACTGTCACCTTTTTCTTGGGGGGAGATTTGGTCCAGCACTTGGTACTTTTTTGTACTGAGAGCGGGTTTCTTACAAGTCATGCTCAGAATGTCTGTTGTGTTTGGTACCTGTAGGTCTTGACACATTGTCTCTTCCTGCGCATTGTGCGTTAAGAAGGCGTTGTACTTGAAGTAGATGAGATTAATTTTTCTCCTTTTTAAGAGCTTAAAAAATGTTTATAGGGTACCCTGCTCTAACTTGCTACTTTAGTAGCTGATTAAATGCATGGATGGATGCCTGGGTTTCTCAAAATTGTTGTTCTTTCACAGTCTGTGCAAACAGCTGGACGACAGCTAAGCAGTGTCAGGTACCTGGCCATTGCAGTGCACCCTGCATGTGTCTGAAATAGCTGTGTGTTTGGATCCTTTAGTCTGATTCTCTCTAATGAGCTGGGCTCTGCACAAAGGACCATGCTGACAGAGTAGCAGTGCTCATTCACGTCCCTTCTGGCAGGCTCTGTGACAGCCTTTGGTGCTCTGCAACTGCTTCACCAAGGGAGAGAGTGCGGTATCCTCCCTTCTTGTTTTTTTGGCTGAGTTTCAGCTGCACTGGTAAAACCCTCACTTGGAAAGGAGTCCCCCTGAAAATCACTGGTGGACGGGTAATAAGGTTTCACTGAACCTGCGAGGAGAAAAGTGGGTCCTAGTGTGTGCAGCTCCCCTATGTAGGGTGCTGAGTGAACTCCCTGGCAAGTGGGTGGTCCTGAGGAAGGCTACTGAGAAATCCCACGGGCTGGCAGGGCAGGCTGTCACTGCCTGCCAGGCAGCTTGCTCCCACAACAGGTTTTCTGCAAGGCAGGGATAACAAGCCCTGTGTTCCAGAGTAATTCTGGTCACTTATGCCTATGTTTTCCTTCTTTTTATTTCTTCTGAGGATATCTACTCCGTCCCCTTTGCTGTTTATGGCCATCTTTTCTCCAAAGTAATTGTCACACTACCATGTTTCTATTAGGGACAATGCAGAAGATGTTAGCTTTCATTTTTTGCTGTACAGTATTTTGCTGTCATGCAATTTTCCCTATGTTACTTTCATCCACCTGTATCTCACTGGCTTTTGAAAGGTATGGAGTAGCAGAGGCTGTTCAGCATGTATGGCATGGGATCCTCCAGTGGCATTAGGTATTACTATGGGCGATGTTCTGACTTTAGTTGTTTTCAGGCCTGACTTATGATGGCATCTGGGACTGATGTCTTGTTGGAAAATTGGTGAGAAACCCACTGAGAAGAGGGTGGTTTGACTGGGTGACAGTGGAATGAAAAGAGACAGTTTTGCTAAATGAGTACAACTGCTAAGAGTAAGTCCTTGTCTCCAGGCAAGCAGCTGTTCCCTTCTATTGACACTTCTGAGCCTGGTGAGGGAGACAAATCTGTCAGTGATGAAGGAATGAAGCTTTGCCAGCAATACTGGCAAAGGGACAACTGGGTGGTAATGGCCACACTTGGCCCTTATCTAAACTCCTGTTATCGTTAGTATAAAAGCCAACTGTCCTTATGGATCTTCCCTAGATTTGGCTTAACCTCTATTATCAAAATATCCACTGATTGTAATAAGTGGTTTGGAAAGTAGTCAAGATCTGTTTGTGGCCAGTGGCACTCAGGAGTTGCTCCATCAGCTGAATCTTGTCCTTATTTTCTTTAAGGGCTTGAGAGAAATGGGGAGCTCCGAGAGGCTGGTTTTGGCAGGGGTGTAGTGCCCTTGGTCCCACCCAGAGGCAGGCACGGCTGAGGTGCAGCTGGGCTCACTGCAGGGTACCCCTGTGAGCACAGACTGTGCCATCACAGGCTGCTCAACTTGCAACTTCCACCTTGTGACAGAGCCGGGTACCACACTCACCTTGGCTGACATTCACTGCTGTGTGACTCAAACCCACTGTATCTGGTAGGGGTTTCATGCATATTGACATGTTCTCCATCAGTCGTCATTCTCTGTAAATACCTAACTATCTACCCAACATAGCACAGTTGTTCCAGCCCACTAGGTATATGTGAGTAAAACTGTTTAAAGTACTCTTTATACCAAATTCATACCTGTTTAAAAACCCTAAAAAACACAGGACTGCATCTTTACCTGATGGATCAGAACAGCCTAATCTATCAGTTAAATACATGTTTGTTCTTCCCTTTCCATGCCTCTTGAACTGGTTTTCATACACCAGAAAAGAGTATTTTGATGCTATTGGCTTCAGTCACTTTGAAACATACAGCTTCTGGCATGAAGAAATCACATCCTTTGGTGTCTTTTATCTCTGTAAGATTTTTTTTCCTCTTCTTTAATGTGGCTACAGCATGTACATTAAAATATTTTGAGTAATGTTCAAGCAACTCTGTGTTTTCTCTTACCCATCTCCCTCTAGATTTTAGTGTTTCATGACAGACTTTGATCATGTCACCATTACAAGGCCTGGAAAATTGTTAGCTGGAACAGAGATCTGAAGTGACAGAAAACTAAGTGGGAATGGTGGTCTCCCCTCACAGCAGGGCACCTGGCACACAGCTTTGGTCCTGGGCCCAGTTTTGACATCATCCCTGTGTTTGCAGATACCACACAGGCACAAGAGTCTGACCATTATGGCACTGCCCAAGGGTGCCAGGTCCCATGGGGCACAGAGCCTGCCAGGCTCTTCATGCTGCTGCCACCTGTCTCCTGTCTGCCCCTTCCCAGCTCCAGGCAGGGTGGCACAGCAGGGTCAGTGGCCTGTCTAGCAGAAATAAGTGTGTGCAGCTTTCTGCTACTCGCACACAGGTCACCTTCCAAAAATTGCCTGGCACAGACAGGGCTGGGCTTGTTCTTCAACCCTGCCACAAGAGAAAGCAAAGCACAGGGCAGTGTTTGCAGAGCATTTGACCACAGGCCCTGACTCTAGAAAGAAGTTTAATGGCCACAGCGCTCACTTTACATGGGCCTAAGCAGGTAGCCAGTGGCTGACACTGCTGCTCCAAACTGCCTGTGCTGAGTGAGACACCAGATGGGCAAAGTCTGAGAGGTTTGAACATCTGCTCCACATGCAGGAGAGGAGAGGTGGTGGAGTGGCACACCATGCTCCAGCTGCTGCTCAGAGTGAGCTTTTCCAGGGAAAGGGCCTCAAGCCTTCTCAGACTCTGTACCCTGACAGCAAATGATTTCAGCCTTGCTCCTCTCTTAAGTTCTGTCAGTGCTCTCCCCATCCTTTTACCATCATCCCCTATTATTTTACTTTACAGATTTACAGCAGAAAACTGTCCTGGCAAATTCAATGAACTGGACTTCAGAAGCAGCATTGACAGCAAAACAGCTCATGTATTTGTACAGCTGAGGGTTTGGGTTTCCTTTACAGTGCAGCTTTTTCTTCAGAAACAGCCCAGGGAAGGTACAGTCATGTTTTTAAAACTCTTTTCTCCAAGGCGTCGGCTTTAGAGTTTCCTGCCAAATATTTATTAATGTACAATATGAGGGCTCTACTTTACGTTAGAAACCCAAGTGTTCATTGTCCTTGCCCCTGCAAAAGCATTAGCGCTTTCTCTGAGTTGGTCCCTGTGTTGGTGGCTTTGGAAGACACTCGTGTCTGTATCACTGCTGACACCAAGGAGGAGACATCCACAGGCCAAACCTTGGCCAGGCTGTCCAGTGAGGTGACACACGTGGACTAAAGGAGAGCTACTCTTCACCTTCAAGATTTGCAAGATGACAGCATTTGCACTTGGCTTCAAGATCCCCCTGCTCTTCTGTTGTTTCCAACCTGGAACAAAGAGAATGAATCAAACCCTGTTCTACATAATTCAGCATTTCCAAAAACACCTTGTGTATCCCTCAGAGCAAAACAAATTATAATCACTAAATGGATCTGTCAAGTGTACAGACAGAGTGCAAGGTTTCAGTTGTGGCAGCTTTCCTGAGGGAAGCCATCCATCTGGGATTCCCCTCTACTCTCCAGTCCCATTCATAGCCCAGAGCATGAGAAGGGTGCCTGAGGGGGGAAAACCACACAAGCTCTGAGGAACAAGCTCTAGGGCTGAAGATGGTCAGGCATTTTGTTTCTGAAATTCAGATTTTGCAATCATTTCCAGCTCACGAGGGCTGAGGCTTGCTGCTGCCAGCTGCTCTTGCAGCTTCACTGCGGCAAATACAGTTCTGCTGTTCTGTGTTCACAATCCTCCCTCTTCCTTCCACGCCCTCGGAGCAAAGGGAGGAGGGAAAGCTTGCACTCTTCAAGCAGTTATTTAAGGAAGAACACAAACATTAGCTTTATTCCAGAACCAGCAGCAGTTCTCACAGATTTCCTTCATCAGAAGCTGGGAGATCCCCTGGGCTCCTGCAAGGAGAGTGCAGGTTGCAGTGCCAATGGCTCAGCTTCCATGGGCCGTCTTCCCAAGAGGCTGAGGACACTGGTCAGCTCTAACAGAGATCTCTTATTTGTACAGGTAAATCAGGGGTAGAGTACTAAAACCAGAAGTGCAGAAGCATGGAAGGAATTTACTAATGGATGCTATTGCATTTTTATTTCCTTAGCATTTGTGGTGCCTGGTACCAGCCTTTCTGTAAGAGGGCAACTGAAGAACACCACTAACAGAAAATCAAGGCAAGCAAGGCTGTATTGTAGAGCAATGGGCAGCTTGATGAATTTCTTAGCTTTTTGTTTGTTTTAATATGTAATTTCTTTAGCTTTCTAACAAGTTAAAAACCCCACACCATTCTGTTCTTAACTGTCAACAGTTACATCCCCTCATTGCCCTGGAAGGGGAACCAGCCCAAAGCGGTCACACCCAAGCAGCCCCTTCAGGTGAGTAGCATGGCAAGAACCCATGGGGCACTACTTGCCTTTCCAGAGATGGAGACAGAGAAGCACAAAACCATTTTTTTTGTGTAGCATGCTGCCAGGTCTGATAAATCAAACCAACTGTGCTGTAAAGATCTACTCTTTTTAGGAGAACCAGTTGGCAGTTCCTTATCAAAGTACAAATATTTTACTTGCAGAATAGTGCAGATAATTAATCCAGCTTCTTGCAGTGGGATTCCCACTGTTTTCAGATTACTTGCAGATTTAGGCTGTTTAAAGCAAGTCGTCAGAGGTCCAATGCTTGGCACAGGAAAGCCTCTCACAGCAGCAGCTTTGGGTACAATCAGTGAAGAAATGATCCAGAGGTGGGAATTTTAAGTTCTGACTATTGAAAACCCAATGTCTTATCTCCTTGCAATAAAAGCTGCCTCTAACTATACTTGCATCAAGGTTAGGAAAAAAGCTTATGTCTAGCAGGACAAAGCTACAGAGCTTTTCTAGCAAAGCAGCTCATGCCTTTCCAAACACAGTGGTTGCCTCCACAGCTCATTTAGCCTGTCAGCCACAGCCAGGCTTCTCATGCATGGTTCAGCCTGAGCACTGACAGCACAGGAGAGCTCATGGCTTAAGGCAGATTGACAAAGGAGCTGTCCCAGACATAATCACTTTCAATTCAGGGCTTCAAGGCTGGCAGTTTCATTGCCATAACCTGACTGCACCAACTGTGAGCACTGACAGCCCAAGAAGGGTAAATGTGGTGAGGAAGAAGAGGCGCAAAAGAGCTATGCAGCACCTCCAGGCAGCTGGTGGCAGTTCAAAACCACAGCCATCCCGGAGCAGGGGTGACAGATGTGCTGGGCAAGGGAGACACCCTAAACTGCTCAGTTTCCTGCCACCAGGAAAGGGAGGTTGGTACAGGAGGGATGCTGCAATCTGGAGCCAGAGAGAAAAAGCAGACAGGGAAGCCCCTGTAGAGTTTTCTAAACTGACTTACACTTTGGTGGGCAGAAGGGGCCCAAGCCAGACCAATGGGTGACAGGAATGACTCCAGAAGGGCATGTTCCCCCTCCCCAGCCACTGCCAGTGCCGAGGGCAAACCTGTTGTGCAGCATAGCAGAGCTGCCTACTCCATACAGGGTTTAGTCCTACGCAGCTTCACTCTCACTTGGGCAGGGCAAAGGGAATATTTCAGAGCAAACTCAGGAGGTGCTGAGACCAATTGATGCTGCCATCAGCCACTAGGAGACCCCTGAGGCTGTAATCATTCTCAGGATCCAAGATTCCCAGAGGAAAGGTAAAAAAACCCAGAGTATGGCTGCTGGAGGCTTCCACCTTGCAGATGTTGGGAAGAAACTGCTGTTTTTACCACCCACAGCCCTGCAGCAGTGATGGACCTTAGGCTTAAAGGCAGCAGGCAAATCATTGCCACCAACTGCCCCAAGGGTCACTGCTGGGCTGCAGCAGTGTCCAAAAGCGCTGGCTCCAGGCCAGCCCTTGTTCTGCAGAAGCCAAGAGCACAAAAGAGAAACAAAGGACTAATCCATCCTCTGAAGGTGGCAACAGAGGGCAGGGGTGGTCCCAGAAAGAGCGTCCCAAACTCAGGAAACCTTTCCTAAGGCTTAAACACAAAGAAATCCTCTTCTCCAAAATCAAAGCTAGCGTGCAAACTGTTTGGGATGACAAAACTTCTTGTCCAAGTTGCTGCAGGTCTGGAGCAGGATTGCTTCTGAAAAGCCTGAGGATGTTGTCTGGAACAACTCCTGGCACAGGAGCAATGCTCTTACGCAGGCTGGCTGCTGGCTACTACAGCTCGGGCAGAAAGCAAAGGCTGGGCTCCAGCCCTTACACCAAATGAGCCAGACAAGAATTTTGTTAGAAAGGATATAGTCTTGGGGATTTCAGTTTGGGAATAAGACACTCTCCACAGAGATTAAAGGTGTAAAAAAACCAGTGCAAGAGCAACCCTTATCAGATGCTCACAAAGAGGTCTGTGTTGTGCTTTTAAAGGAAAATACCCATTTTGGAGAAATAATGTCATTTGTTTTATTTCAGGTGGCTTGATACAAAATTCATAGTATTCTTCATGCATAGATAACAAAACCTAAAAATCAGTGTGCATGGCACAAGGGAGATTTTTCTTTTGAGGGTGTTTTGAGAACACCCTTTCATCTAGAAAACATTATTTTGCCAAGTTCCCAATTTTTATTAAAATCAGTTATATTAGGAAATAAAACCCCTTCAATTGTAACATATTGGCTTACCTGATCTTTATCTCTTGCTGCTCAAACACAGAGCACTTGCAAAGGGAAATACTAAATCAAAGGTAGCAAGACATGATGTATGGCAGCTCAGCCTGGGACAGGGAAGTTCAGCTAGTTGCCATTTCATGGCCACTTGCTTCTGAGCACTGTTACTCTCTCTGCTGTCCCATACAGGTCTGGAAGCAGAAGGCTGCAATGGGAAGACAGTTTTAGAAGACTTTCTCTGTACACGACCTCAGTGGCACAGCAGATCCACCAGAGCCTTTGGTGATTTTAAGAAAGGCTTCATGTCAGCTTTGCATGTAGCAGTTGAGCCACAAATCTCTGCAGTTTTTATCTTCACTTGACATTGGTCGGTCCAAGCTGTGAGCCAAGGCCACAGGAGCAGCAGGATCCCTGCACATGCAGTTGTTTGCAGTTGAGCTGTACTGCCTGTCCTTTGAAGGGCAGAAGTCTAACTCTGGCAACTGGCTGACTTTCACAGTCAGCTCTGGTCTCAGTTTTTAAGTCTCAAAACCATGCACCCAACAAAATAATGTAGGAGTTCCTAATGCAATCTTTTGTCCTAAAATAGAATAATGATTCCCCACCCTCCACTTGCATCTCCAGTGCCTTTGTCTCTTAAGACATTTCCCCACACAGAAATCCCAGCAGGATCTATATTGAGCACACGAGCACACGAGGCAAACACAAGCACACGAGGCAAACTTCAGCTATTTATCAGAATCACTCCATGATGTATCCTACAAATACAGCAGAGCAGAAAAAAACCCTACACTTGTATATCTGCAATTAAAACCGCTTCCCACACACTTTTTAATTGATTAATGAAGAAGAGCAATAAAACTAACAGCTGAAGACATCTTCAGATGGAGCACTAGAGAAAAATACTATGACACTTCATGGGTTTTCCAAATGAATTCATGTGGGTGAGAAATTACCTAGACTAATGCCAGTATCAACTCTTATTTCCAAAGCAGCATCCCTTCCATGATTCAGTATAAATATGAATTTTTAAAAACTAATTTTATTAAGTCCCCAGTGGTCTTATGAATTTTATGACAATTTAATTGAACTTTCAACTATGAACAAGAACTGTAACTTAGCACAAACCCTTGTGACTGAGACTAAGCATAATAAATTCAGCTTGTTAGGAAAGACTTGATTGTGAATAGCTTAACTTGAAAGGAATTCCTGCTCCATCTCGCATGCTGAAATTATTTTCTGCATAGTAAATAAAGCACAGGTCATACATTCCACCAAATTCATATTCATCATAAAAACTCTTGAGGCAACCAGGAAATTCTTAATCCTCTTGTGAGAATAAAAATTTACGTGGAGGTAAATGGTTACAACAGTGCAACGGAAACACCTTAAAGCTGATGATGTGGGGATTGTCTTCTTCCAGAACATCAGCAGCATGGAAACCCATGTCCAATTCCCTGCTTCACAGAGCAGAAGCCCAGGCAGGCACCTGGGCAGCTCAAACTGCAGCTTCCAGGAGGCTAAGCCCACTAGGTCCATCACACCTCTGTGGTGTCAGATGGGACAGGAAGCTCCTGCTTCAGCAGTGAAGCCACTGTTGGATGAGAGGCATGGACTGACTACTGCAACACAGAATTCCTTGGAGCCCTGGGCTCATTTCAGCATCAGCTTTCCTCAGAATGCAGGGTTGGAGGGGGTCCCCTTGGCTGCCACCATCCTGTCTCACGCTGCTGCCTGCCAAATGGAAAACAAGCCCAGTGAGAAGCACAAAACACTATTCCTTAGTTAACTGAACTAGGCTCACTGCTGACAGCTGTTCCTGAAATTGTTTTGGCAAGAAGCAAAAGCTTTGATCTTTTCAAAGGTGATGCTCTGTTTACGCAGCATTATGTGCTAACATACCTCCAGAGCTAAACAAAACCATTTCTCCCTGCTAATTAAATCTGGAACAGTGCCACATTAAGATGATTCTTTTCAGGGCATTACTTCTCTTGCACTACCACCATTTTTGAAGCATGTGACGGTACAATACACAGAAGCCTGATGGCCTCTTTGCACTGAGGTTGGAAACATTCAGGCAGTCTGTTAGGGTGCAGAAGGAGATACTTGAAGAGGTATTTTTCATTGGTCAAATGAGGCAATGCTGAGATGTCCGAAATATTTTCTTGTCAACATATTGAAGACACCCTGTGAAGAGAACACCACCACACTGGCATCAGACTACTGCCTTGGAAGATGAATTGTCTGTCTCATTGAAGAGAGGTATTTCCATGACACATAAGTACACTTAAGTCTCCAAGTTTTATAGACCTTAACTTTGCTAGATACTGTGAAAGACATTCCAAGTGTGCCAGAAGCCCAGAAAAAAAACTCCAAACCAAAAAACCCAACTTAAAATAGCATTTTCCCCTTCAATCAGAACACCAGTTGAAACTTCTGTAGGACAGGAATGCAGCCTGCAGCTATTAGACTTCAAGATTTATTTATTTTAAACCTTATCAACTGGTGCTGCTGAACAACTAGTGCACCTACACCAGCCCTAAGAAGATACGGTTTCAATACAGTGGTATTTGGGGGGAGGCAGTATATATTTACATGACAAATCAGTCAAATATTAAGTACTTATATCTTACCTGAAAATGATTCCTTGAAAAACAACTTATGATTTTGAAAGCTAATGCCATTATGCATTATTTTAATCTTAATGCTAAAGGAAAACAGAAAGAGCATATTTACAATGTCAACAATTGAGTTAAGAGTACTTTGTATTGCTATCCAGTTATGCTGTCTGCACAGCTTTTAGACCTATATAAAAAATGCCAACATGAATCACATATACCTGTCATCTGGGTGCAACCACAAACCAACAGCTGAATTAGTGTAGGATGAGTTACAGGGATAGAGCTTAACACATTAGACTGTGAACATAGTACATACCACACAGCAGTATCATGATGTGTTTTTGCTTGTAGTGAATAACCTTAAGGCACTCAGCAAATGTTCTTACCACCTACAGTAAGAGCTGCTCCAAACTTGAAGGGCTCAGCAGGCACTGTTGTCAACCACTACACTGAGAGGTAGGGTATCTTGTGTTTTCCTCCTTTGGGACATATAAAAAGGTGGACATACAAGAGGGCAGGCCTTAAGGGCCACCTCAGAGATCAAAGGCCAGAAGACAGACAGCATTTTTCCCTCCCCAGCATGTTTCAGTCCCGTGTGTCCAGGCCATCTGGCATTGGCTTGAATTTGAGAGGGGAACATCACTACAGTTCACTTGTGGAGAGCTTTCTGTACCTGCAACCCTCAAATTATGCAGTACTACAACAATGTCTAATCAAACCATTTAATATCTAATTTATCAAAGTAAGAAACTTCTTTTCTTTTTCACTGAACCATGGTGAAAAAAGGTCATTGCTTTATTCAGCATCATAGTTACATAACAGTTGTCTGTTTCTATTACTAGAAAGAATTTATTAAAATAGTCCTGAAAGACATCTTTTCTTTTTCCAATGATTTCAAAACTAAGCCTTTTAATGCCAATTCCACACAGTCACGGGTTTGATTGGTAGTAGCCAGTAATAGCAATTGTCAAGGCACAAGCTCAGCTCTGCACACCTGCTGCAGCTTGTATTGGAAAAGAGATATGCCAGTTACATCTGCACTTACAAAATGCAGAATCCCTTCATTGTATATTGCAACAGGAGAAATTAACATTAAACACAGACTAAGAAAGGTAAAGGATTTATTTCTGATACGATTTGTAGAGTTAAATTAAAAACCTACTGAATACTTTATGCAGTAGATGAACATAACCTTAGTACTTACTTTCTAACAGTTTATTTAATGGTTGGAAGTGTACAACATGAAGTAGGCCTCACGTTTAATATTGTTCAATTTTGCTTATTAGATGAGATTAAAACACAGTAGCCATCCCTTTAGACTATGGTGCAACACTGATCATGTGCCTTGATAGGTAGGAAAAATGATTCATTAAATAAATGATGATGACATAACACATAGGGAAGACTTTGGATTGTCTATTTTAAATGTCAACATAATAGGCAATTAAGAATAGAACTTCATTTTAAGTGCACTTCCACATGCTTTGTTTATAATATAGCAAAAACTTCCTATCTTTTTTCCAGACACTTCACTCCCTATTCTAAAGCTGTTCAGTTGAAAATGCACTTTCCCCAGTAAACTTCTTTTTTTTTTAAAAGTAACTAAAATTTCTACCCTTTCATATGCTAAGAAATGTTTCCTAATTAAAAACACAGTTTATTACAAGACATGTGAAGACAACATATAGTGAAATGAATTTTAATTGTTGTGCTGTGACTAAAGTAAAGTTCTCAAGGCTGCAATTTAACATTCCAAGTTCTCCCTTCCATCTTTATTGATTCTTAAGATTTTGCACAGAAACTCTTTGGGGGCTAGAACAGCAGTAATTGCATCACACTGTTTTTCAAGACTTCAAGTTTCAAAAGCAAACTCTTCAAAAAGTACAGTTCTTGATTTGATTAGATACAGGGACAAAAATATAGCACATACTTGAAGGTTACATGGTCTACAAATGATGGCAATATTTTCCTTGGGAGAGTACAGTTTGTTTTCTTGTAAATACTCAAAAAGGCTCAACTTCAAGCAGTAATAAACACAAGCAAAAGTGATTTAACCCTTAAAATAAATATTCAGGAAAACCTCTCTGTACATACAAGTGAAAGAATATGTAACACTTTCACGCTAAAAGAAAAAATAAAGATTTTGTTCATATAAGCAGCTGAAATCTGCTGTTCCAGCCCAATGTCCCCAGTAAAGAAGGGAGGCACAAACACAGGTGACTACTGTAGCTCACTATCTTATGGCCTTTTTGGACAGGGACATCATCACCATCATTTTTTAATCCCTTTTGTTATACTTATTACAGCATGCCAAATCCTTTGGCATACGTGATGGCCTTCAATAATCTTTCTTTAAGCTTTTCTTTGCTTGAGTATTCCGGAAGCAAAAGTACATTAAAGCATGTGTGAGATGTAGGTAACCTGTGGGACAAAAAATACAAGAATTCAGATCTTGGAACATGCAAAAGAAATACTATTTTACAAGTCCAAAAATAATGAATCTGAAGAAAATAAAATTTTCTTATAGATTCAACTTTCAGATTTAACTAGGTCAATAATTTAAAAGCACAGAATTCACTTCCAAGCAAAATGTAGGGTTTTTTTTTTTCTTTACCTCTCTGTATCTGGGCCATTTTTGGCTATGATCATCTTTAACTTTCCAAGTCCTCCCACAGGGGCTCTGTCTGTGCCTGTTGTAAACTGTAAGAATAGTCTTTTCTGTTCATCTGTAAATGAATGGACAATTTCCCAGAATTCCCTATCAAAGAAGAAATTAAAAAGTAAATAAACTGTAAACTTTCCTTGGTATAAATAAGAATTTCAAAAGTAATTGAGCTTTGAAGGTGTAATAATTCTAATCAGTCTTAACATCAAATTTATAAGCTGCATTCATAAACCAAAACTCTCAGAATGTATTTACCAATAAATGAGATTCAGAAATAGAAATCAGAAATATTAGTAAACACTGCAGCTTAACTGTCTTTAAACATTAAATTGGCTGGGTTCTGCAGCTATTTTATTATTCTTATTTCCTAAGGAAATATACTTACTCAACAATGCTTATACCATATCCTCTTCTCTAATGACAATACTTAAGGAAAGTGAAATTACACATAAGACATTTGCATCTCTAGTACTACAAAAATAATAAATCTTACAATATTAAAATCATTAGGAAGAAACAAGCAGATGAAGTGCTTTTTATATTTACAGAATTAGAAAAAATTACCTAATAATAAGAGAGTCTCTTGTATAGCCACCATCATATTCTGTAGTTTCTTCTAGTGCTTGAAAATCTAAATTCTGTAAGAAGATGATATTTTTAAAGATGACCACTAATTATATACTCAGGATCAAAAAAAGCTCCACTGTCTAGTGTATATTCAAAATTCTTACCCTACTTCCACAAATAAGTAATTCAATTTCCTCCGGTCTAAATAAATATTTCAAAGGAGATTCATTGGTCACCATGTGGAATCCTCTCCGAAAGGCCTTGAACTGCTTTTCTACTGATTTATTGAGTATATAGTCAGCATACAGATTGACAAATTCCTGCAAGGAAATAAACCCCAAAAAGCTTAGTGCTTCAACACATGCCACTTGAAGTACCTCCCAAAACCTAAGACCCCAAAATACATATAATTCTGTAATTCTGTGCAAATTATCTGAGCTCAGCTTTTATTCAGCAACACAAAAGAACAAGTCTCAAATACTGCTCAAACACATCTAACGTCCCACCCAGAAGCTACATATTCATGCATCAATGCTTTCTTTAACAGAAGCCTTTTCTGTTCACAACCACGCCGTGTGCTATGGCAATTTTAAAAGTCTTTTAAACTTAAAAATTATAAGTGAGACCAAACCTTCATAGGCTTCTACATAATTCTAAATACAGTATATCAAAGAACTCCAGATTCTCTTTAAAAAGCTGAGTGTACCTTTCTGTTTTCATTTGTAATAGGAATTTTATCACCGTTTTCCTTTAAATCATGCATCATTGGATTGCCAAAGAGGTCCGTGTGAGATATTTGAAACGTTATCATCATATCATCTTCCACACTTCCTTCATACTCCAGTAAGTCTCTCAAACTCTGATACAGAACCTAACAGAATAAGAAATACATGTCTGTCAAAAATAAGCTTTGATAGATTCCACTGACTAATACAAGAAGACATGAAACCACCAGCCTCAAAAAAGGGTTGTTATATTCTATGACACAAGACATCTAAAAATCTCCCATAGCAATCTAAATAATTATTTATTAAGCTCAGTATCTATAAAGAGAACCAACAGAAGATATTAAGATAAAAAAGAAACATGGCAATCAGTGATAACTCCCTTAGAAGAGCCTTTTAGTACCTACCTGTCTTCCAAAATGCAATGGTCAAACCTGCAGTTTAAGAGCTTTTAATAGCATCTTCTTAAGTTTTTTGAATCTGTCTTTACTTTAGGCATCCAGAATATGTTACGCTAGTAAGTGGAACATTTTTGAGTTAAAAATCAAAGAAACCCCTGTATTTTATGTCAGATAAAATTCAGACAGTAGGCTTTTATCTTATACTTCTTATTTAAAACAGAAGCCAACTAGGAAGTAATCCTGAAGCAATACAGATGGGGCAGTCTTTAACATAAGACATTTATAAAGCAAAAAAAAAAAAAAAAAAAAAAAAAAAAAAAAATCACAAGTTTGATCAGAATTCACCAAGTGGAATCTGAAATTATCTGTATGAGTTTGCTCTATTCAAAGAGGCATCCAGCTTTCCTTCCTGCTATGCCTTAGGAAAAGCCCAAGACTCTCCTGGAAACCAAAGCCTATGCAGCAAAGGGATAATTATTTGGCTGCAATAGAGGCATAGAGGCTAAAGAACACAAAGTGAAGGTGGAAGTGACAACTGTGTGCAACTGTATTTTTATAGTGAAGTAGAAAAACTAAATTTCCCCCCAGTGTTTAAGCTGAAACATGAAAGTTAACATGTAAGTCTCAACCTCTCACTGTGTGTGAATCTGTGTGTTATTGATTCTCCCACAGAACCTTTAAAAAGGACCTTGCACTGAAAAATCACTGGACTTGGAACCATTGATGGTGAGGGCTGGCAAACATCCTATTCTCCATGCTCTTACAGCATTAGAAAAAGCATTGGGAGGCTTGACTACTGTGAATTTCATCTGGGGTTTGAGAAGCTCTGAAGTGTTTAAATCATATGAGAATACAAAAGGTTAAAAATAGATTATTTAAAAGAAATCAGCATAGGTGCTAGAGGAGAAACATAAGAGCAGGGGAGAAAAATTAGGAAATGCCCTGACTGCCCTGTTCCATAGAAATACATTCACATTTTTTTGGTCACAAAAAGTTGTGAGTACATAATAAAAATTAGAGGAAACTCAGGGCACTATTTCTCACCATTTGACCAGAAACTGGTCGAATCTGGCATGCTGTTGTACATAGCCACCCAAAACAGACCAGATAATGTATTTTTTTATTAAAAATGCCTCATTTTCAAATATGAAAGCCAAATTCTTTTTAGACAGTATCATTTCGCTAATCTTTATTGAAAAGATGAAGATTTTGTATAACTGCATATAAAAGAGAAGTGTCCCATTGTTTGAAAGAAAATGAAGCTTGCTAACAACTCCTACCAGCAACATGAGGGGAAGCCACTGGTGATCCCTGATTGCAGGAGGAGCAGGGCCAAGACATCCTGCACACACACCTGTGTGCTCTACCTAATAAAGTACATGTACAGCTCAGTGCTTGTACAGCCACGGGCTGGGAATGGGTGTGTGAAGATAGACACTGATCACTGCTCTCACAGGATATTCATTAACTATAGGGATATTCATAAATTGCCTCATCTGTCTCTTGCTTTTAGACAAAAGCCAGGGAGAACATCACACCTTTGCATGTTTACTCTTTCTTGCACTTGTTTTTGGTAGAAATCTACTTCTACTAAAAGCTATGAGCAGCCCAATTTTACAAGTCTCTTTGGGAAGAGACATGCTTGCTCATGCTTAATAATTCTTAGTAACATTTGGGAGTTTATGTAGCAAAAAAATTAAAGCTTGATTGATACTGAGCCCTGTTCATTGATGTTACAATTTTGCCTTCTCCAAACCAAATGTAGCAAGTTTTCTCACTTATGAATTTATTTCAACAAACACAGGCTCTTAACACAAATCACTGGTTATTTCATTTCTGACAGTGATCTTGTGTTTATTTGAAATATAGATTAACTTATTGCATGGAAAATGCACTATTTAACTCGAAGAACAAGAACTTACAGGATGAGAGTCTGCCAGATCACGGAAAGTTCCTTTTTTGCCCATTAGCTTCCTGTAGACAACCATGGGGAAATGTACATCCAGTATACAGTTGTTGTAGATAGCCAGTCCCAGTACTATGCCGATCAGGGTAAACTGACCCTCAGTTTCAAAAGAGGACGGATTAAACCAAAACAGTTTTGTAGACTCATCATATGTGAACATCCCTGTAAAAAAAAAAAAAAAAAAAAAGAAAAAAAAAAAAAAGAGATGAATTATGGTTACAATTGAATAAAAATGGCACATAAAACATACCATTATAAACCCATTTGCACGAGCCTTTAAGACATGTTAAACTTAACATTATACTGAATTGAATAGCAAAGAGAAACTACTTAGGGTGACTGGAGCTGCTCTAAACACTGTTACTCACATAACCACTAAAGGTGTGCAAGAGAACTGTGATACAATATCCTGCAACACTCAATGAAGCTGCATGTACACAAGCTTTCATTCCTTCCTCTTACTGAGGAACCAGCAGCACACTGATAACAGTGATGGTGACTTTAAGAAATACAGCAGTACAAGAAAAGAACACAGTCAAAAACATGTGGATGAAACAATCCTGAAGGACTCTAATTACCAAAAACTGACAGCCTTTCCTCAAAAGCCAGTTCCAGCAAAGGAACAGGACTAGATGCCGCCCTACTACATAAATAGAAGCTGTGATGATGGAGCAGGGATTGACCATCGCCCATGATTTCAGAGTTTGATGCCCAACAGATTTGTTTGCTTGTTTCAAGGACCATTGTTACTGCAGCTATTAAACACATCTTAACTTGAGAGAAAAATAGACCATGGCCTCAAAGAAGGGGTTGCAATTTTAAATGCTTGTCACTGTCTAAAGGGAGTGGTTTTTCTTCTCTCATTCAGTTCACTATTTCAGGAGACCAATTTCCTGCCCAGCTCATGAGCTGAGCAATGAAGACTTCAACAAACAGCTGAACTGGCACATGCCAGAAGCTGCAGGGAGAAAATGTGAAGACATATGACAGGCAGAGCTCCTCATCCTTTTGGCTGTAGCAAGACACGAGATAGCTCTTGTTTATGAAACTGGGGTGTACAGGCTATAAATTATTTATATATTATTTATAATATTATTTATATATAAATTAAATCCACAGTAAAATCAATTGCTTACCTGACAAGATACTGAAGCAAGATAAATGCAAACCCCATAGACTTAAGGTGAGAGAGAGATCACCCTGGACAGGTACAGTCCCAATCACCTGTTGCTTGTACAGGTGTCACGATTTTCTGGCAGAGCCTAAGAAAAATTGCTGCAGTCTCCTTATTCTCAACATACTATGTCAGATCCATGTGAAGAATATCAACTACATTTGCCACAAGGATTTATCTTGTCAGCTCTTAAAAAATATGCTTGTTTACAATCTGTGCAGATGTACAAACTGATTTCAAAGCCACATGAACACAAAATTACTCTAAAGACTGAAAATACCATCTTCAGCCAAGAGATAAAAACTCTTTCCTCATTCCATGTAAGCCAACAAACTGCAAGCTCATTCAGACTCTGGCTATTCCCCAGAATGGATTACGTATCTCAGTAAGTGACTAGGGATGGGTCAGCCATTAGGGGAGCACACAAATAACAGGCTGACCCATCAGATAAGGCAACTGGAAATCAGAAATGGATGAGGCAACTCATCCATTATCAGGCATAATATAGGCCAAACATATAGAATCCTGTATGCCATTTTCTGAACTGACTGAAGTAACTTCTGGATTACTGGTATGTAAAGCAGTGACTTGAGCTTTTTGGAATATGATGGAAAAGTAAATTGTCAAAACAACTCCAGCAAATGTCTAATAATGAACCATCAACAGTTTACTCAGATACGCTTCTGGAAACGCTTTAAGGTGTAATACAATATTTTACTCCCTTACCAAAATTAAGATTACAGTACATTAAAATCATAATGAAACACCAGAAAAAAAGTGGAATCTGCAAGAAGGGGAAAACAATTGCCCTTCAAGTTATATGAAGTTATCATTTCTTCCCCTTTACCATGGAATACCTTTACCAGTATTTCTTCTGAGTTATTCCCTCCTTTGAGTGAAACCTTAAGGTAGTTTAATATCGAAATACTCCAAAAGTCAAAGAAACTATAATAACAATATACAGCTCTCGAAATATACCTATTGAAGAACAGACATTTTAAATTCCACTTAAAGGATCTCCTTTGCTTTCTCAGGTAAAGAAAGCATTTATAAATCAGCAAAAGTCATATGTAGTATATCTAGTGCATACATGAACTGCTATAATGCAATGCATATATATACATATATGCATATATATATATACACATATATATACATATATTACACACACACACTGAATGCAAGCTACATTTTCTGCTTTTACACATTTATGCCAAAAGCCACTAAAAAGCTTTCTCCCCCTCCAGAGTTACTATGAATACAAAATATGTACATACTTTTTAACATTTTTAATACAGAAGTAAAACTTAAAAGAAGCCTGTACATCTAATATACTACCTATCTTTAAATGCAGGGAGTATGTACACACTGCTTGGATCTTAGCTTAAGCACACTTTAGTATTACTAAATAAAAAGTATTTTAATACACCCACACAACTTCTGTTTAAATAAACTCAAGTAGAAAATGTATTTACTTTGCATTGAAAATAAAATTTCATCAATCGAAGTATTAGGAGTAATTTATTTTGCCATACTTCAAAGTAAGTTAAATCAGATTTCAAATCTCTTTAAGTTAATAGCATTTTTCAGAGTGAGTAAGACTTGTCTATGGTTCTGTACCACTTGTTATAAGAACTGGCTTGCATATGGTGAAGAGCAAGGGCCAAGGTTCAGATTATTGCTACTGATTCTGGGTACTTGATACTGATACCCCCTTTCTAATCCAGTTAAAATAGATTTCTGTGTATTTTCATCTATTTTCTAAGCTAGAAAACTAAGAACAACAGCTTTATATTTTAAGATAGTCCAGTGAAACCAAATTAACAGCCATGAGCCATTAGGCTTCTTTAATGGAAGCCATTACAGGAAATACAATGTAACATCATGTTTCACATAAAATGCAAAATTAGTATAGGAACCTGGCAGGTCTCATTTCTAGTCTAACATAAAGTATTCTTATAATTTTATAATATTTTCATATTTTCAGAGTAGCAGAAAAGCTGCACACTAAAAGAACCATGTCCTTGCATACATGATTGGTGCAGGGAGCAAGGGAAAAAAGAATATGATGGAAGTATGACTGCTGAAACACAAATGTAAAATTTTGGCTCTAATATATCAAATTACTTTTGGTTTTTTAACTACAATCAAATTTGACACTGCTGTGACACTTTGGATCTGCAGAACTGAGGCTATGAGATTTATTAAGCTGGAGGAAGTGGAGGAAGTAACTAAAAAACTCCCATAGTCCTACTCTTGCTTTATTGCAGAAGCTCTTCCTCTTTGGTTTGATTACCAATTCCAGAAGCTAATCACAAAGCAAAGTGAGGAGAAATGTGAGAGAACAAACAAAGGAACCCTGCAAAGAAACCCTGTACTACTGATTTGTATCCAAACAAGTAAGGATGGTTCTCATTCATTAACTATACAGTTACTCCTTCCATCATTTCTCCTTTAGGAGGATGACTGCTGACAACATAATGAGCCTCAATGTGCAGCAAATACTCTCCTGATCATCAGTGAATCTGGAGAGCTTCAGAGAGAAGCAGCAGTGGATACAGAAAGCATAAACATAGAACAATCCAGTCTGGAAGATCATCCAGGCCAACCTTTTGTGAGAAAAATCTGTTAATCAGTAAATTATTAGAACACATACCGATATCTGGATTGAAGATTTCTTCCACAACCAGTTGAAAAAATTCTTTGGAAACACCTCCTTCATCTACCCCTTGCTCTCCTTCAAATTCAACATACAATTGCTTCTTCAAGTCTGCAGGATTTTCCATGGCAATCATCTCTAGCTATTGAGTGAAGAGATAGAAATATTTCATTAGTAAATCCATTTACTAGCATAGTTTAGTATCAAATAATGAAACCAAAAGCATTCTCCAAATTTAAGAAGAAAGCAAGCACAAATCACGACAGTAAAATAAGAGAAATCAATAGTAACTCTAAACCACTCTAAACATGTTTAACAATCTGGGGATTAACAGCAAGAAACTTACCACAGAACTGATCTGTCAGCCCATTAAAGCTCACTGGCTGTTAGCATTCTCCATTTCTATTCTTTTAAGCACTTATTTAAAACAAGTTATCATTGTGTTGCACCCAATTCAGAGAAAAAGGAAGAAAACAAGATGTATTACTGGGATAATTAAATTCATCTGACAATGAAGATTCTGCAATATGATCTACATGTTTGACAATAAACAACTTTGTGAAGGGATACACAGATATCTTTTCAGAGGGGGAGACAGAAAACAAGCCTTTGATGAGTAGTTGCATCTCTCAAACAAAGAGCTGAGGAAAAAAAACCTAAAAACAAAAAAGACACTAGTATTACAGTCAACTCCCTCTTCTTGATCCTAATGAAGTCTCAACTCTCTTGCTCTTATTTCTTCAGTGCCTTTAAACAGATCTACTGCACTACTGATATGAAAGTGAAAATTCAGTTAAGACCAAATAAAAGTCTGACATCTTACAAGGGTTTCAAGTGTATATAAAGGCCATTAGAGGCCACAGAATCACAAAATAGTTTGGATTGGAAGGGACCTGGAAAGATCATCTAGTTCGAACCCTTCTGCTATGGGCTGGGACACATTCCAGTAAACCATCTTGCTCAAAGCTCCATCTAGCATGGCCTTAAAGAGTTCCAGGGATGGGACATTGCCAACTTTCCTGGGCAACCTGCTGCAATGCCTTACCACCTTCACAGCAAAGACGTTCTTCTGAATATCTAATCTAAACCTCTCCTCTGTCATATCAGGTTATTTGCCATTGTCCCATCACTACATGCCCTTGTAAAAACTTCCTCTCCAGTTCTCATCAGCCCTCTTTAGGTGCTGGAAGTTTCTATAAGGTCTCCCAGGAGCCTTTCTCAGCCTGTCTTTATAGGTGAGTTGCTCCAGCCCTCTGATCATTTTTGCATCCCTCCTCTGGACTCAACCCAACAGGTCCACATCCTCCTTATGCTGGGGACCCAGAGTTGGATGCAGCACTCCAGGGGGGAGTCTCACAAGGGCAGAGTAGAAGGGGACAGTCACCTCCCTTGACCTGCTGGCCATGCTGCTTTTGATGCAGCCCAGGGTATGGTTGGATTTCTGGGCTGAGAGTGCACATTGCCAGGTCCTTCACTTGCTTACACCAAAAATGTTTCCTTTCTGTAAATCAAAAGTTAAGCAAGGATATTTTGCAGCTGATAAGAAATATGCTACTTAAGAGCATAAACACACTGGTTACACATATGCAGCACAATTAGACTAAACATACCTATGCAGCAAAGAAAACTCAACAGCAGTAAATTAAGGCACAGGTGGACCTGTATGCTCCTCTACCAAGACCATATTACTTGTGAGATTTGTCTCTGATGTGGGTTAGTGCAAATTGTACTTACCAGCAGGTGTCTTTTACATGCTAAACCTTTTTATTTCACTCCCCTACCATATCCACACATGCAAACATTCTTTACAGCCCAGACTTTTACTACAGAAGTGTACAGTAAAAAAGGAACAGAACAGAGAAGGTAAAGGCAGCAGCAATGACACTATCAAGTCACAAAATCACACCTCTGGCAAGACACATTTTCTTCTGCTGACTGCCAAGCCAGACAGACATGACCCAAGCAGCGCAGCAGGGCAGGATGTGACAGAGTTAGGGGGGTTATCATAATGGGTTTGAAGACTTTGAAGCACCCCACACAAAAGGAGCACGTGGAGAAAAAAATTGCACTACCTGCTATTGAAAACTAAATTTGGAAAGAGAGGGAGTGTAACTTCATAGCATATCAATCTTAGTTAAAAAACACAAAGGCAAGCCATGAAGACCCCCATAATGACAGCAAGTGAGATTAGTCTATATTTCAATCAGCAAGCCACAACATTTTCAGAAAAACTTAGGTATGTACCACCTAAGCCATCTGTATAAAAAATTATTTTCCTAGGACAACAATGGAGCTTAATCCATGTTTCTAAGTAAAATTTGCAACTTTTGAAAAACAGAGAACTAGCATTTATTTTAAAACTGTAAATACAAGTTAAATGTTCAAGCTGGACAGACAGAAAGTCTCTTATTTGGATCCCTTCCACCTAAAACTGACAGCAATAAAGCTGTGGTTTTTTCCTCCCCAGTCATGACTTTGTTTGCTTTGTAGTCTTTACCACCAGTAATTTAATATATTGCATGATTTATGAATTTTCATGAGTTCTGAGAAAGCATATGTTGTCTTCTGCATTTCTTCTAGGACAGCAACCCTGTGTCATAGTGTGAAGACTATTGTGTCATGGAAATGCATTAAGGAAAGTGTTCATATTTATACATATAGAGCAGTTAAAGAAATTCCAGAATTTTTTCTTTGGCTGACAAAAATAACCTTAAAAAAAAAGGAAGGAAACAGTCTTAGCTGAGCAATGCTGGCTAGGCAGATTAGAATAGTGCACTGGATGTCTGCAAGGGAGTCAGATAAAGGATTACCCAAAATCCAGTATTTTGAGCAAAGCCTGATGCTCCTTGAAGTAGATTCTATAAGCAGGAAAATGCTGCTAAGCTGCTCAACTCAAAGTTGTGAGTTTAGCTGCTCCTCTGAATATCTGTGTCAACACTGATGCTTCAGAATAAAAACTGAATGCAGTGGGCAACAGCAGCAAACACAGCTGTAAGGAGGCACTGAATTTAAGCAGAACTGCAGCAGCGTTTCTATAGCAGGGAAGTATGAACTTCAGTTATGCTGTCTGGTTCTTGGGTTTTTTTGGGCCTTTCTTTGTTTTTAATAATCATAGCTACCTCAATTGTGTCAACATAGATGCTGCTAGATAAACACAACCCAGCTGTGTGAATTACCAAAGTTTTACAAGTTGTTTTCTGTCATGATGGCTTGACTGGCCATGTCATTGAAATAATCATTGCGTTTTCCAGGGACTTCCTAAAAAGCAGGGACTTCCTAAAATTCCTAAAAATGCCTAAAGCAGCACAAGAGTGCATGAATTGAAAAGCTGAAAGCTGAGCGAGAACATCATAAAGAATATCTGTATTTTGCTTGCTGAAACACAACAGTGTACCACAACCTAAGACACTGGGTGATTTTACTTTGTTTACAGAATAACACTGCTTTCCTGAAAGACAGGAATGTTCACTGAATGACAGAAATAAGACAACATTGAAAAGCTTAATGTAACACCAGAGTTTGGTGTCCTGCTTAAAATTGATAGCAACTGAACTAATTTCTATTCAGTCAAAAACAATCACAAACCACCTTAAGTTTTATCATAATGCAGAAGTTCTCTTTAAGGAAGAGGCAGGAATACTTTTCCATACTAGACAGCAAAATTGACAGAACACAGCTAATTTAAGCTTGAAAGTACCAGTGACATATCATGACATAAGTTGGTCAACACGTTTTTCTAAAAACCAGCATGGAAAGTAACAGTTACAGTGACAAAGCAGCCTTTGCTCCAGCTGTACTTCACAGTTTATGCATGTGGAACTTGCACACATCAACAGTCACATGCCCTGCATCCAACCAATGCATATCAGGACTGACATTTTCACCTGAACACACAAAACTTGGTCTGAAACAACAACAAATCTTGTGAAGTACTTTGCTGCTAATACAGGAGAGAATTTGCCTACTGGGTTCAGGTGTCACAGAAGAGTTTTGGTCATCATACACTCAGCAGAGACATTAACAAGCAAGAAGGAGGTGCTGCCCACTAGCTGTCTGCATTCCATGTGAAATTTGTCAGTGAGCTTCTAATTTGCAAGACTATTCTGCTGAAGGAATCAACCACGTTTTCACTTGAACAAGTTGTGTGTCATAACTTACACCCTTTAAATTACTGCTACCTGAGAAGAAAGACACATTTAACCTGGGCCATGGGGGTGGGGGAAGAGTAAATTCAGAAGAAGGGGATGAAAGAAATAGCTCTTAGGGAATGAAAAGGCAGAAGAGAGGATTTAAGGATGTATTTCCTTTCATTACTACCACACTCACACAACATGACTCAGCAGTACAGCTAACCTAGAAAACCTGCTAGACAGAAAAAAGCATGTTAACTGCCTTCAGGAACTGCAAACTGAGCTGCCAACTCCAAAATACAAGAATTCCTTAAAAAAAGTGGAGACTATAGCGTTAAACATTCTAACATTCCACCCTTGTCCCCAGGTGACTTTTCAGACTAACATACATACAGATAAGTATACAATAAGTATATACTAAAAAGAAAGATGTTTCATTAAATAATTTCCAATAAAGAAGGAAAAAAAGTCTCTGAGGCAAGTTTCATACATGCAAAGAAACTGAACAAGGAATTTGTAAATACAATTTTTTCCTTAGATGTATGTGTTTTGGGGAACCAAGATTCTCTCAATAAGCAACTTTAAACAAGATAATGCCTTAAAGGTATTCAAAAAGTACTGCCTCAAATTCTTAGTAAAAGGAAAAAAAGTCCTATGCTGTTAATAGTAACAAAAACAAATCACTTACCAGTGTTCATATGTGCTTTATTGAAGTCCAAAAAGCAAGAATATATACATATTGAATAATAAAAGCTAAAAATATCAAGTATTGATAGGAGATAAACAGCTTGGTAATGACTTTATCGGCTCAACTGATTAGCAAAACCACAGTATTTAGTGTGTTTGCAAGAAATTGCAAAGGATGATCAATATATTTGTTTGAAAAATATTCAATATTAATAAGGAAAATATGAGTAAGAATATCTCAACCTCATTTTAGTCAATATTATTGAAAATGCTTCTATCAGGAAGTTATCAGTTATTCCATAGATACTCAAAAAAGTCTTCACTGGCTTTTCAGTGAAGACACAGGTCTAATGACATAAGTAGTAGCTAAAATTTTTTAAAGTCTGTAAATATTCAAACCTCTGATGCTAAAAAAACATGAAATTCGAGGGTAAATATGTTGGTACTCACACTTAATTTCCTGTATATTAAGCATGTTCAGAAACATTTTGTCATTGAACAGATCTAAGAACATGCTTTCACTAATGAAGATTATTATCTTTGAAAGATCTTTTCAGTATTTTTCAGTGAGACTCTTCCTAAGTTCAGTACTGTACATCCAAATCTGCAGCCATCCCTGATGCAAAGTCATCCAGTGCAGCTTACACTTAGATGTCATGCTGTCAGTACTGCTACAGAAGCTCATGATACCCATCTTAGATTCCCATCAGAGACAGAGCAAACTGTTTTAAGGCTTAGGACATGAGACTGAAGAGCTTCCTCCAGAGCTGTTTCAGACCAATTAGGAAGTAATTGTGAAAATTACTAAAATTGCTTCCCAGCCAGTTACAAAGAGTACCAGCAACAACAGCATGCAATTCTTGAACAGATCAGGCACTCTCTGACAAAAGACAAGTGTGGAACAGTATCTCCCCTGGAATAACTTCTCAGCTACCAGCACAATCGCAGCTTAGAGATTTCCTGAGGTTTGGTGTGTGGCTCACACCAAAATGCCTCTAATGTCCATTAGTTTTTGATAGATCTTTCAATAAGAGTTCTAGGTCCTGGGCAAAGACACTCACCATTTTAAAGTACACAGTGTGGAAAACAAAATGGTACTTTGCACATGTTAAGCCTGATTCCTGATAATAAAACTAGGGGCTACCAGTTGAAAAAAACTGTATTTCTCATTCACCTTCTCCATCCATCTTTTATGTCCTCTCCATCATTGTTTTTACCCTTAAGGGGACTTTACAGTTTCTTCAAAGAGAGTCAGAGCTTTTCAAATGTATTTCTGTTGCATCCTTTCTGATATTAAAACTAGAAGGAACACATGAAAGAGAATAGGCATGCTGTGGCCAATGGCGACATTAGAGCATTCTGATCACTAACACTTCCTGGGGAATATTTAAAATATATTCACTGAGCAATGACACTGTACCATCAGTTAAGACATACCAGTAGTTAAAAGGTGGATTTTGCACCCACTTCATACAGTACAACAAAATTTTCTCTAAGTCCACATCATCCCACAACAGCTACCTTGTAATGTCTCTTTGAAACAGCACATACTTCCTTCCTCCACTTTGGATGGCACGTCTGTGTTAATCTCCATTTCACTGAATATAATTTATTTTCGACTTCTGAGAAATGCCTGGGCTGCACTTGTTCTTTTTGGCTACTACTACAGTTTAGTTCAGACTATCTGAATTTAGAACAATTTTATCTTTTCCCTTTATTTTCTGTCCCCAAATAAACAGTTTAAAATCCTTACTTTCCTTGCAGTTCTGACAGTCTGGTCACCATAATTTAGTATGCTCTGACAGCTTAAATTAACAGCCATAGGAGGATCCATGGCAACTGCCCAGGCATGTAACTGAGGCTGCTAGGCTGAGCAAGTGCATAATAATTTAGATTAGTAGGTTTGAGCTTAATCTCATTTAAATTTCCTAAACTTCCTACAGGCCAAGAATGGGCACAGCAGTGACTGCTGTGGTCCTGCTGCAACTTGATGTTGCCCACAAGCTTTTTAACTTAAACATAATTTTTTTTGTCCTCAAAGATTTCAACTTCTACAACAAGCAGTATGTAAAAGAATGCCTTTTCTCATATTTATGGATTTTCCCTCTTATCAGATAAAGAGGAAGGTTTGCTTTTGCTCTGCTGGAAACAGAGAGATGAAACAGAGTTTGACATTGATAAGAACATCTATAACTAGCTTTTATGCTCTTTTACCTCTTCCTTTCCTAAGGGAAAGAATTATCCCTCCCTTTTTTCTGGTATTGATGTGCCCAAAGCTGAACATTCACGGAATAAACTCCATTAACAGTAATATGGCAAAATGTAACTGGACACTACTAGAAGTCTGTAGATAGTGAAATCTCAAAGAGTATTCTTAAATTAAAAAAAAAAAAAAAAGGTACACACTATTTTTACATTTATTTGCCTAATACAAAGTTGAGTTAACACACAAAAGCCATTTCTGCACTGCAATTCCATTTTTTCTTTTGGTACTGAAGGCAAATGTTTCCCTGACAAGTAATAATATCAGCAATTCCCATGAAACAGCTAACCCAGCTGGAAATTCCTAGGCATACAGAAAAATCAAGGTAGGAGGTAATTTAGGGTTTTCACAATTGACTTTCACTGACAGTTACAGTCATCAAATTTAACTAGAAGTAACAGCTGGGCTGAGAGGCAAAAAATTTCCCCAAAACCTCTCTAGGTCTTCAGCGACAAGTTTTAAAGTCATGGGTAAATTTAAAAATTTGCAAACCTTGTGCTTTAATAAGAGAATACAGGAAAATGAGTGTTTGAAAATTACCAGCCTTAACAACAACAAAAAAAGTCCTAAAATTAAAGAACATATTAAGGTTCCTATGCAGACCTATTTACCATAGAATATTTTATATCCTGTATGATTCCCCTCTTCCAAAAATGCATGAAGAAATGGCATTAAGTTTTAATTAAAGACAGCATATTCAGAAACAGGCTGCTCTCACACTTCTCTGCTATTAACAGGTCTGTCTTCCTTTCTCAGTCATATTAGTATTTGCACCAAATTAAAATAATGCTTTATTTCTAGAAAGTTGTATGTTCACAAGACGAGTACACAACTAAAATGTTTTAAATTCTAACTTCCATCTGAAAATCCCTACCCTCAGAAGATGATACAGAACAGTGTAGAGGACAAAGAACAGAAATTGATTACTCTCTCACCATCAAGATCTGTGCAGGATGTGATAATGGGGAATAAGAGCTATTTGACAATTCAAAACATCTAAATCTGCAACCACTCTGAGCAGAAGTAGTTCTGCTGAACATAGAAATCTTCAGCATCATGCTTAGAACTCAAATAATAAAGCTATTTGAGATTCTTCTAGAGGACATGTAGTACATGTGCACTCACACAGAGTCCTTTTCAGTATTCCAAGCCAAGTAGTTTGCACGAATCAGAGCCAACAAACCCACGGGCCACGTTGCTGCGGCACTTACCCGGACAAGCGCATCATCGATGATGTGATCACGCCTCACTTTCAGCCGCAAGTAGGGGTTGAGCTGCTGCCCTTGAACTAAGCTGTAGAGCACAGTAATGCGTCTTTCACTGTACATCCGGATTCTATTGTCATAATACAATCCCAGGTTCTTGGTAACAGCATTCAATATGAAGGGACAGGTCATAAATGAGAATTTATTCTCCGTTTCTACTTTGAAGAATGTGTAGTCTTTGTCCATTTCTAGAACATCATTCAGTGGTTCATTAATAAATTCTTCAAAAGGGATAAGTGGTTTTCTGCAATCTATAGTTTTAACACCAAGTTCAGTTTCCAGTGGGTCTACTCGAGGACCTTTTTTATTTCTTCTTTCCTCACCCAACAGCTCTTGAAGAGTTAGTTCACTTGATTCTGGGATGGGTTCTTCATCTTCCTCTTCGTTATGATCTGTATCCACATCCCCCCCTACTACATTTGCATAGTAAACCATTTTCAAGCACTTTGAAGCAGCAACAACAGCATCATCATCATTCACTAGGTTACGACTATTGAACTCGTTGCTTATGACTTTGTAAGTAATAAGCTGCTGAAATGTTTCCATCATTCTCCGAATTTGATCTGCTCTGTACTTAGACCACAATCTGACCAGTTTTGCTTGAGCTGCAAGGGGTAGTTTGCTCATTGCTTTGCAAAACAACGGTAGGGCCATTTCCAGATATTCTGGGCTATGAAGATTGCCATTCTCCATAACGATAATAAACAAATTCAGATAGTTAGGATCCCGAGAGTACACATTATGGTAAGTCAAGTCACATTCCACATTAGGTGACAAGTACACAAGTGCATTTAAAAAGGCAGTTTCTATTTTTTCATTGGAAAGTAACCTATCATAGACCCGTCTGACTGCTTCAATATCTACAGACACTTCATCTGGGCCTAGTTTTTGGAGGTTATTATCTCCCTGTGTGTTATCACCTATTCTTGATGATGAAGATGATGATGCACCAGAATCCTCTTCCATGGCAGCAGCCGAACAGGCAGCTTTTTCCTTTTCATCTTCATCTTTGTCTTCATCCTTTCCTTGAAGAGACTTGAGCTCCTCCTTGGTGTGCTGCTTGGTTTTTCGGAAACTCTGCACTAGTGCTTCAGCACTAGAAAACACTCTCCCAATCACCCGGATTAAAGGGGAATAATCCTCTTTTTCTCGACATAGTTCAAGAATTTCATATATCTTGTCTTCTGTTAGGAAAGTCACATCTATAAAAAGATAAATATATTAGTTTTATTAAGATAGAAATTAAAAAGATAATATACATCTGGTTTGACCTACCTAAGAAACCTGTGTGTCATATCATCATTAAAACTACAAAAACAGTGTCAGTGCTGCATAAATTCAAGACATACTTTATAATTTCATTAGCATGAAAAATCACAATTTCATTCACTGACTTAGTAAAATATTTTATTAATGGATGTCAATCAGAGAACATGCACAATACTGAAACTGTTTTGCAGTCGATTAACTACATTAGGTAGTTAACAGTACTGTATTGTCTAAACAAGTGCAATCAGTAAGAGGTTTAAATTTTAAAAGACTCAATGAATAAGGCTGTGACAATACAGTCTTCTGGTAAATCTGCATAATTAGTGTGCAAGTCATTAAACTAAACAAACTAGACTGTATCAGCTTCTTTTTTTCAAACCAGACCTTGAAGAAAAGACTCAATCACTTGTTTTGTTGCATGTTAATGGGAATATAAGATTTCTTATTTCTCTTTTTAATGCTTTCTGCAACTGTTTTTAGACTAAATTGATGCCTGAAAACCCTCTCAAACCCCTCAATATATGATCTGAAATTTATGCTGCCTTCTAAATTACATATACAAAGAGGCATGTAGATTATCTCTTTGTACATTAGGTCTCACTAAGATAAGCAACTTGGGTACACTAATCAACATGTTATTCAGAGGAACAAGATGGTTTACACACATCATCTGCTCCAAATACCTGTCTGCTCTCCCTCTCCCCAAACTCCTTAAAAAATAAGTCATTTGAAGGGTCTTTTTGTTATTTGAAATCTTTCTTTCTCTTAGAAAAAAAGAAAGAAAATTTATTTATAGCTTTCTACGTTACTTCTCAAACAGAACCCACAGACACTTTCACATCAGGTGATGATTTACAGTAGGATTACTGTAAACATGATCAGATCCTGAAAAGATATTCTAGTTTAAGCAGATTCTTCTCAACTGACACATAATTTAGAACTAAAACAGAATCTGTTTAATAGCATCTCTAGAGAAAACATCTCAAAACTATATTCACCAACCATGCTAGAACTACCCCCCCTCTGCAGAAAGAAGTGTATAATTTTAATAAAACATTTAATAAAGATGTTGTACATTAATATATTTTGAAATGTGATTACCTACACGGATACTCTACCAAGAAGTCATTAAATTAAAAATACATACTAGATGATGCAAAGACAGACAATGTATTGACTTTCACAGAACTCCAAGCCACTCTTAGAGCACATATAACACAGGAAAGGTTAGGCTTGTATCTAAGCTTAGACTGAATTCCAATCTGAAGACGCTGAAAAATCTCAAAACTAAAATCTGTCCTGTTAAGAAATCAGCTCTACTGAAAACATTCTGAAAAGATTCAAGCTTAGCACAATATCTATTTTTATCTGCTGCAGTGCATGCACAGGAAGCAAAACTTGTCTTAAAAGAAGTCCTCAAAATGAGGACCACAGTCTCAAGTTCATTGACTCTGGACCACAGACATTATTCTTAGTATAAAAATTATCAGCACACGCCGACAATTTAACAATATAATGAATTTTGGATTCCCATACTTAAACAGGAATTCTTCATTCACACTTTTAAAGGTTTCAGCATTTCAGGAACTCCAGAAAAGTAATTTAATTGTTTCTGAAGGATATTTCTTTCAGTTTATTTAGAATTTTCAATCTTATGCCAAGTGTACAAGCAAGCTACACATGCTTTTCCTTGGCTTTGCTAAACTTTGCTGCAGATTTTCCAGTAACTTGTAGCAGAGTGACCTTAAAAAATTCAGAGTGATAGATTCCTTAGACAATTTCAAAGGTAACTAAACCTCAGATGAGCTTTAAGAATGCATTAAAGACCTCTGTCTATACAGCTACACAGAAAGGTCAATATGTGTGATGCTCCAAGAGAGGAAGCCTGAGTCACTGATGTAGCCAACAGACTGTCTGTGGAGGTAGGTTCAGAAGACTCTTAGGGGTACCTGCCTTGGGGAGAGGGGATGGTTAGACAGAATAAGGAAAATTCTGTATCTGAAAAGCTCCATTAATAATACAAAAAAAAAAAAAACCCAAAAAAACCAAAAAACCAAAAAAAAAAAAAACCAAGAGAAAAAACTCCTAACAGACTTAATGTGCCTCTCACTCATCTAACACTACATTTCCTTCCCTTTCCCCTTCCCCTTCCTAGTGTTTGCCTCTCTGCTTATTCAGATCGTAATTAATTTGGGTGCAAATTTATTCTTGCATCAGATAAAGAAGAAACTGATGCTGCTATTGAATGGAACATCTTGGGTTGCTTATAACACAATACTCAATTTTATTACTAATTCTGTAGCGTTTTTTATATCTTCGCTGTGAGCAACTTCACCTTCTTTAGCTAAAATACATGAATTTGGACTTGTGTTTATACCACTTTTTGCCACAATACTTAAAGGTGGTCTGCTCAAAGGCCAATGGCTTTAAAAACCATTTGGCCTGGTTTCTGGATGTGTTCACATCGTGGATTAAGGTGACAACTAACATTATTCTATTAGTATGTATTTACTATTTCAGATTGTTTGAAAAGGTAAACATAAGTTACAAAGTATATATACAGAGCAGTATTTCATTTTACACTTAAAAACGCTTAAAAATAACTGCTCAAAAATTTTTTATGTATTAGTGAATGTATCGCCTATCACTCACTGTATAATTTTTTTCATCTGTTAAGTTTCTTAACATAGAATCTGAAAATAGTTAAAGTATAATTTTTATAATTTATTAGCTGCAGAATAATTATGAAACTACCAAAACTCAAACAGTCATACAACAGCACTTAAAGCTTTTCCATATTTGCAAAAATCATTATTCTTGTAAGACAACAAATGCCTGTTGATTTTAACAGAGATGTGGTCAAAATCCAGATTTGGAAAATCAGTGTTGAGCATTAATCCATCATTTTTTCTGAATCCATAGTAAAATACTCAATTGTCTAATACTGTATTTTACTGAAGTCAGCAGAAGACCACCAGAGTGAATTATGTTGGCTTGGACTCCTGCATATGAAATGTGCTTGATTTTAGAAAATTTTAAGAATCTTACCTTTAAAGTCATCTCTTGGGCCTTGCATTTCCTTCTTGTTCATTTTTCTGTCAGTGCAGGAATTGTTATGGGCACCTTTGGAATTGTTTTCTAGGTAAGCTGAGCTCGTTCCTTTCTTGGAGGGATGAGGATCACAGAGTTTTGCATTAATCTTATAAAGCTCGAGGGCCTTAATGGCTGCTGCATTGTTATCCATACGGAGAAAAGTTGGACAGGAAGCACAAAATTCATTCGTGCAGGCTTCATTTCCACAGCCCTCGGTTAACTGGTGGTAGTAGCGCTCTATTAGATGCTTTGCAGCTGCTCGCTTCCTGTAGCAAACATCCAAACAGTAAGTACAAGGATTAGTGGAGCTTTCACATACAAAGCTCATTCAATAGCATCAGCAAGGCAGAGATTAGTCAGGCACTGAAACACAAAATTTCTGTCAGAGAGAACACATCAGAAGATTTTTTAAAATTCAGGATTCTCATCTTGACAAATGCAAATATATTTAACACACAATTTAATTTGTGGGTCCTATGTAAGTAAAAGATAAATCCTGTTTATGCAGTTTTCAGCTTTATGTGGTAGTGCTACAGTGGAGACAGTCTTGTACAGTTCTGAACAATCTCCACTGTTGCTAAAAAAGAGAGCAGTTTGGATGCAAATCAAGGCTGCAACTGAAACAAAACTGGGTGTTGTACAGGTGTGGAATCTAATATATAGTACTGAGGCATGGTTGCCACTGACAGATGAAAGAAGCATGAAACACAAACAATTCAGACATTTACTTAGCAATACTATCAATACTATACTATTTTACCCATTTTAACAAGATTCCAGATGACTAAATTATCAGTCAGTCTATTTAAATCTGTTCAAAAAATTATTCCTTGATTAATTTAGCTGATGCTAAACCACAATTACAGATGAGCTCAAGGCTGGATATATTTCTCCTCAGCCTAAATAAATTATATGGTTGTCTAAATAAAATTTAAAAATCACCCCCAAAAGTGCTATCTGCCAAATCCTTCTGTTTCTCCTGTCAATATAGGTGCCAAGTATGTATTCTGTAAAATCACAGATGAATCGCTGTACCAATCTAGAGCTCAGTACTATATATATGCACAAAAGAAAATGTAACTGCCTTATTAATAAGGTCACAGACTTCTACAGAAACATGCAAATAATAAAGAAATCACTGGAAAACTGCAGGTAACCAGGACAGAAGCAGCTGCATGCAGCATCAAGAGCAACATGTTTGACCACATTTCAGGAAGAAATCCCCAAACCTTGACTGCATTTAAGATAATAAGTTATTAATGAAAATTACCAACTAGGAAAGATTTCAAACATTCTGACTAGGTTTAACACACAGGCTTTTTACAGAACTTTAGTGATACAATACTACTAAGATTAAACATCAAAAATTGTGATATTAACTTAAAATCGCCCTTCCTGATGTCAATGTATGCACAGCTTCTGCACAAAACAAGTACTTCAGAACTGAAGTGCTAGACCCACTGGTACTACTCAGCACTTGATGCACCTCCCTGTTAATAATGGCTGGTTAAATTGCAGTTTCAATGCAGTTACTTCAAAAGGGAAAATGTTCTGAAAGTGACTACTGAGGTCTATATTACTCAGCAATAAGACCTCTGCTTCTTTCTTTTCACCCATTAAGATCTCATCATCCTAGAGAAGAAAATACATCTTACAAGGAAAACAATTACTTTGATGTCTGCCGGAGCCTTCAAATGCCCCAGTATGTTTCAAGGAAACGAAAATAAACAAAAAACAAACTGAGGAAGAAGGTTTCTGTGGCACTTTGAGATGGATGTGGAAAGAAAAAGCATCATGAGCAATACCATTAAAACCATTACTGTGTAACAGGGAACAGCTCTATTCTAAGCTAAGTGTTCTAGTCTCTCACATTTTTGCATGTAGACTTACAAAATTCTGCCTCTCTCCATGCACATCTAAAAATAAGTGGTTTTTTTAAATCTTGTCTTTCATATTTCAGCCATTAGTATAGAGGTTTCAAGAAAAATCACCCAAATCCCCTCAAAGCAACAGCATTTTAATACAACTTGGAACAGTAAATTATTTCAGAGATAAATGCAAAAATTCATGTTTTGACCATTCCTCACCTTCAATCATTACAGACCTTCAGATTTAGAGTGTGAAATATTGTAATTTGTAAGCAGGTTAAGTATTTGTATATGTAAAAGCTGAATTTTTACACCTGAGCTGTGGCCATCAACATACACACCCTTCCAGCTCACACATCTAGTTTGAATAAAGTTACATAATGTATAAACACTTATACATTAACAAAACATTTTATCATCTTAAAAAAAAAAAACAAACAACCAAACTCCACTTTAATCAGGGCATGTCTGAGATGCCAGTAGATAAAGCTAAGCTTAGACTGGCCTCTAACAGTTAACTTCTGAAGGACTCAAATTTTTTTTGCTCTTAGTTTTTAGCTACCAATTACTTCTCAAACTTTGCCATGCCTACAATAAGTCCGTTTGTACAAACACTTATTTTGACTTGTGGGTGGAGACTCTGACTCAAGTCCTCTGAAACTCAATTAGAAACAGAAGGTCTGACAGAAGGTTGTATTTTTAATTTTTTTTAATCAAGTGTGGAAGCAAACAATATGGTGTACAACACCACTAGAATACAGCAGTATTAGAATTTCATAGAATATCCTTAGTTGGAAGTGACCCACAATGATCATCCAAAGTTCAACTTCTGGCCCTGCACAGAATCATCACCAAGAATCACACAATGTGCCTAACAAACACTTTTGAATTCGGGCCTGGTGCTGTGACCACTTCCTTGGGGAGCCTGTTCCAGTGCCCAACCACCCTCTGAATAAAGAACTTCCTAGTATCTAACCTAAACTCTTCACTGACAGTTTCTTGCCATTCCCTCAGATCCTGTCACCACAGAGAAGAGATCAGTGTCTGCCCCCTGCTTCCCCTCATCAGGAAGCTGTAGACCATGATGAGGTCTCCCCTCAGTGTCCCTCTCCAGGCTGAACAGCCCAAGTGAACTCAGCCACCCCTCATATGGCTTCTCCTCAAGGCCCCTTCACCATTTCTGTAGCCCTCCTTCAGACGCTAACAGCTTTGTATCTTCCTCATATTGTAATATCCAAAACTGCATACAATATTCAAGGTGAGGCTGCCCCAGTGCAGAACACAGTGGGACAATCCTCTCCCTTGCCCAGGTGGTGATGCTGTGCCTGATGCACTCCAGAGCATGGCTGGCCCTCCTGGCTGGCAGTGCACTGCTGGTTCATGTTCAATTTGCCACTGACCAGGACCCTCTGGGGGCCTTTCTGTGATGCAGGTCCCAGGAGCACTTGTATTTGTTGAACTTCATGTCATCGGTGGTTTAACCCTCTAATTTGATGAGGTCTCTCTGCACAACCAGGCTGCCTTCCAGGGAGTCAAAACACCTCTCATTTAGTATCACTAGCAAACCTACTCGGTATACCTTCGAGACCTGCGTCCAAGTAATTTATGAAGATGTTGAGGAGGGGCAAGGCTGGAGCCCTGTGGAACTCCACTAGTAACAGGTCACCAGTCTGATGTCATCCCATTTACTGAAACCCTGTGTGACTGGCCTGTGAGCCAGTTGTCCACCCCTCACATTATGTATTTATCCACCTGTGTTCTGGACATTTTATTCAGAAGGATACTGTGAGAGACAGTATTGAAAGCTTTATGGAAATCCAAAAAGATTCCATCAACTGGCTTCCCTTGCTCAACTAGATGGGTTACCTTGTCATAAAAAGAAAATAGGTTTGACATGAACCAACTGGCTATGACTGATGTCTGTGGTGTCCTTCAGGTGTTTTTCAGTAACTCCCAGAATAATCTTGTCTGTAATTTTACCAGGCACTGATGTGAGATTGACAGTCCTGTAGTTTTCAGGGTCATTCTTCCTGCCCTTCTTGAATATAGGACCGACATCGGTCAGTGTCCAGTTGACTGAGATGGCTCCAGATTCCCAATATCATTGAAAAATCTTTGAGAGGCCTTGCAGTGACATCAGCCATCTCTTTGAGTATTCTTATAAGAGTTCCATAAGTCCCCATAAACTTACAGGGATCCAGCTGAATCCTCCCCCCTCTCCCTGGCTGCTACTCTACAGACTTTTCACATTACCTCAGACAAATTATTTAGGTATATAAATAAATTACATAAATTTATGTATGTAAATGAGGATACAGACCTTAGAAGGTAGAATAGAATTTACCAAGCCTTCACAAGAGCTACCCTTACTGAGGTTCATCGATAAGAGGACTTAGAACAGAAAATGCTGTCCTGAGTAAGTCAGTATGTGATTTTTAGACACTCCATACCACATTCCCACTGGTGTACTTCAGGTATTATCACTGTTCATTGCCAAAAGCGCACATTTCCTATTTCAACATTATTCATCAAAAGAACTTGTATCATACTCTCTGTACTGTCCAAAAGTGAAACTCTTTCTACATTCCCCTGCTCATTTAGTATGCTGAAAACTGAAGCTCTTGGCCTGAGGCATTAAAATGGGTTCATCAAGCAAAGTAACATAAAACCACTCTCTATTCTTAGCTCATGCTATACCCGTGAAGACCGCAGCTCTCTTTAAGTTCTATAAAGGGATCTGGTCAAGAGCAACTAGTCCCTTAGAAAACCCAAGGCCTAGTTCACGTCCACGAGCTGTGTGTACAGTTACTACTGTAGCTCAGGCTGTAGTGACTGAATCCCATATACATTTCCAAATACTCATTATTGTTGCACATCCAACTATGAAACTGCACCGGTGTGGCTGAAGTTGTAAACATTTCACAGGCATATTCTTATGATTGAAGGATAACTTCCCACTCAGTGGGCCTTGTATAACCTCCTCAAGCAATATGCACTGCTTCAGTGAGGAAGAGAGGCACCTAAAATAGATACCCAATTTCTTTCGTTGAAGTCCAACGATTTCACAAGCACAGTTTTCTGTTCAAAATGAAATTAGCATTCACTGACTTATTTTTTCTGTAGCTACTACAAACTAATTGCTTTTAGGCTTTCTCTGTGTTCTTTAGCTAATAAAAAGTCAGATAATAAGTACTTTGCATTTGTAGTTTAAGTGGTGCTAAAATTGTGGAGTATCACGAGAAACATGAACAACCAAGCCAAAGGTGAACTGGGCTGCATTTTCTGTAGTAATTTTTGAATGGCTAAAACCTGTAAAAAACAGGGATTCAGTGTACAGGTTCAAAAGTTCCTATGAAACAGAATGTAATTTGCATTTCTCGAATACCTTAAACTAAATACAGGAGAAATACCATGTAAAGGATTCTCTTGCAACAGAGAAAATCAGAAGTTTAAACATAAAAGGAATTTTTAAAATATTTGAAGCATGTAATAATTTAAAGTTCACCTACAAAACATTTACATTCAAGTTTACATTTACATTCAAAACGTGCCTGAAATTTAAAATATCTACATAACTGCATCATTTTTGCTTGTAAGTTTACCTAAATTTTAGAAATACACATGGATGTTTCATACTTGTCTGGAAATGCCAACACGAATGGTTTTTGCTTAGGACACAATAACTGTTATATTATTATTTTCAAATAAATCTCACGTCGGACAGGAGTGTTGATCTGCTGGAGGGCAGAAAGGGATCTGGACAGGATCTGGATAGGCCAAAGCCAACAGCATGAAGTTCAACAAGGTGAAGTGTCAGGTCCTGCATTTGGATTACAACAACCCTGTGCAGTGCTACAGGCTAGAGCAGAGTGGCTGGATAGCTGCCCAGTGGAAAAGGACCTGGGTGTGCTGGTCCACAGCTGCTGAACATGAGCCAGTGTGTGCCCAGGCAGCCAAGAAGGCCAGTGGTGACCTGGCCTGTATCAGAAATAGTGTGGCCAGCAGGATGAGGCTGTGATCTCCTTGTTCTTGGACCTTGAATCCCATCTCCAGTTTTGGGCCACTCACTGCAAGGAAGACATTGAGATGCTGGAGTGTGTTCAGAATAGGGCAATGAAGCTGGTGAAGAGTCTGGAGCACAAGCCTTAGGAAGACCAGCTGAGGGAGCTAGAAGTGTTCAGCCAGGACAAAAGGAGGTTGAAAAGTGACCCAATCACTTTCTACAGCCACCTGAAAGGAGGGCACAGCCAGGTGAGGGTTGATCTCTTTTCCCAGGCAACCAGTGAGAGGACAAGAGGAAAATGGCATCAAGCTGTACCAGGGGAAGTTCAGGCTAGACATCAGAAAAAAATTTCTTCACTGAAAGGGCTGTCAAGCTTTGGAATGGGCAGCCCATAGAGGTGGTAGAGTCACCATCCCTGCCAGGAATTGTTCAAGAAACAAGTGGACACGGTGCTCAGTGCGATGGTCTAGTTGATAAGGTGGTAATTGGTCAAGGGTTGGACTCCATGATCTTGAAGTTGTTTTCCAGCCTTGATGATTCTATGATTGCTCCAAGATAGCTGGTTTTATTAAATGGAAATCTACAACAGCCTGTTTTATAATGGCTAATAGGAACTTAGAAGTGCCTAAATGTTCATAAGCATTTTCTTAAAAAACATATAAAAAAAAAAAAAGCAAGCATTAATACGTATGGCAACCCAGGAAACAGTTTTTTAGTACTAATTGCAAAACAACTTTCAACAAATGTGTTTACAGAGGCATAAAGAGATACACCTGTAACAGTTATAGTACTACACTATGGAAACAAGATAACCAGCATATCAAAAACTGTTAAAGAAGGTGCTGCAGATGGTCATCTTTGTGAAGTTAAATATTGCTTCATGCAAGTTTCAGCTTCAAACCTTGCACGCTGGTTTTCCTGCTTCTGTTTAGTTAAGAGTAAGATGAGCAGTGCTAGAAAAGACAGGCTTCCAGTAATAGCACTGCCCACGCAGAGCCTTTTCAAGAGCCCTGCACACCAAACTGCCAAACAGTCCACCCACAGCTGGAGCCCAGCCCTTCGTTCCAGCAGTACTGTAACACCTTTTGCCTGCCTCAGCCTCTGGCATCACAGCAAATGTGCATCTGGCAAATGTGCATGTGCATGGAGCTCACACTTTCCAAACTCTATTCTTTCCAGTGTGGTGGACCCCAATAGCAAGGGTGGATTGTGAGCTCTGCTTGGACCATACTTAACCCAAGGGACCTCCCTTCCCACTGTGTATTCTAGATCCAGAATGCCTCTGGGAACATCATGTGCTGACAAAAGCATGGCACTTCCTCATAAAGGGCCACCCTGAGAACTGAAAGTCTGTCCTGGCTATATGGAGCAATGCAGGAAGACAGAGAAAGGGAGCAAAGAACATAGTCAGCAACTATCTTGCAATCTTGTCTTGGAAAAACTACCTTGTTACAGTCATATTAAAAAAAAAAGAGAAGAGTTTCAAAATTGTCAAGAGTCCCATCCTCAAAAGTAGAGAGAAGGAAAGATGAATGCACAGAAAGCCGTGTGAAGACAGCCATACCTTTGCCTTGATAAAAAAAGGTAAGAAAAACAGAGAGTGAAAACACATGAACATGTAAGAAGCTATTGTTAAACAATCAAGTTATGTGATTTAGTGCTAAAGAGGTTTTAAGAAAGCAATACTAATCAAAGCTGAAAGTCAATGGAGATGTGTGACAGGAGCAGTCAGAAAATGCTGACCTTATAAATTCTAAGATAAAAGACTCCTAACTTTGAGCTAGCACCAAGATATTCATCACATGGAGACCCAGAATTTGAAAAGGCTGGGATAAGCAAGACTTACATATAGAAGATTTTGCTGTGTAAGAATCTGAATATTTTCTTTAAATTTATTTTTATTCACACACGTGAAACATATGACTATGCTCTTAAATGAAGCTTTGCAATTCAAAACATGGAAATAAATAAAGCAATTATATCAGTCAACCAGAGCAAAACCAACCATTCATTGTGCAAACAAAAAACCACTTGCTTTAGTCCCTGCATTTACTAACAAATTTTGGGCATGTAAATAACACAGTAACTATTTTAGCAACACAGGAGGCTTGGAGGTCACAACTCTACCACTTAACCTTGCCACCTTATGTGTCAAGAGCAGCTATGCAGGATTGCAAAAATTCTCTGTAGTAGGTATAGTACACAGCACATTGTGATACAGTTTCAAGAACATTTAGTTTTGCAAATATACTGTATAACTACTAGTCAAATATGTGAATTCCTACAGCTTGACTGGTTCACATTTATTTTAGACGGATAGCTAAAATTTATGAAGTCAGGGCCACTCTGATCACTGGTCTACATAAAAAATAAAAAGTATTCAGCTATAACACATAAAGGCTTACTTTGTAAATTTTTAAATGTTTGGTTATAAGGAGAAGAATCATCAAACTTCTAGAAGGATAAAAGCTTTACTGCCTTTTCCTTCTGATTTATGCTAGGTTCTTTAAGTCTTTGTTTCACACCAGTCTAGGTGAGTGCTGCTGATACATCTTTGCTTAAAATGCATAAAAAACAGTAATCCAAATGGTAACATCCAGAGTGGACTACAGCCAGCCTGCAGCCTATTTCCTCTGTTTGGCTAGGCCAGGGAACTAAAGGAACAATAAATCACAATGCAGCATGGACCACTACTGGAGCAGGAATAAGAGACCATGGCAGGGCTTTTGCCCTGTGACCACTAATGCAAAAACACTCAAGAGTCCACGCACCAACAGGAAGAGTCACCTTTCAGGCCAGGGTCCCCGCAACCTTCACTGCATTCCTAAGAAAGCAGCTGGACAGCATTTCTGTAGCAGATGGTATGAGTGAGGGAAAAGAAATCTGTCATACCAGGAGAACTGCTTCTTCTAGTGCAAGAAAAGGCTTCACTGCAGTGAATTGCTAATAACACATCAGAAAAACTCTTACTGTTTCCTCCTCCTCATTTTTTAGGTTCACAGCCCAACGTACTGGGGGGCTCACCACAGTTTTGCTCCTCCTTAAGTCATGCAGCTACAGCAGAAAAGTCCCTGAGCAATTCACACTATGTCACTAGCCTGCAAAACATCCTGAAAATGGCACCCAGCCCATGGCATGTACAACACTAGACCGCTTGGGGGGAAGGCGTGAAGGAAACAGTTTAAGGTCAGAGAAGAAGTTTGTGGCAGAAGACAAATGAACCCAGATCCTTTGAAGCCTCAGACAACACACCAATTACTGGGCTACATTCCCTCTATTATTTTGGAACTTGTGCTGTTATCCAGAAGAGCAGTTTGTGGTTTGTTTCCCTGTTTGAGTACTATGACAGGACAGTTTGAATCGCTAGAAAAGAATTTTGTTTCCTAACTCACAGAAGAATAAAGTCTCAAGAAACTTTTTTGTTTCAAACGGTCCTCTAAATTCCTGCAACCCCTTTGAATTTTGAATTGAATGTTTCAGTCCACCACAATCTTGATTTTAGTTCATCTTGGCTTCTAACCTAACAAAGACAGACAAAAAGTTTCAGACCTGTCATCAAGATGTTCTGTGAATACCGTTTAGTGAAAGAGAGCTAGCTTTCTGTTTCTAGAAGTAACTGGCATATAAATTTACCAAATCAAGTCAAAATTTCTTTTTCTTAGTTCAACAATCCATCTGCCACAAGAGATACCAGCAGGTATTGTGCCTTAGTACTGAAGTGTCTTCAAACTCATGTAAGATGTTAGTGAATGACAGAAATTATATCCCTTCTGTCAAGTCTGAATATAGGCTATAAGCTTTCTGACACTGTATTATGCTACCATCTACTGGTTCACGTTAAATTAAACCTCTGAACCTTCCCTCCAACTCATACACACCCTACAAAAAAAACCAACCAAAAACCAAAAACCAGTTTCTACAGATTCTTAAAATTGCAAAATATTAATTTGAAATTTTTTAAGGTAATTTCCCAGTTCTACTCAGCTTTTGTCTTCTTTTTACTAAGCAGATGCAAGAGTGACTGTTATATATGTTCAGAACATTTTTAATCAAGATAAACCAAACTCATCCACTCATTTACTTACATTCGGCTAGTTTCAATGTTCTCAGAGTGCGGTTCTCCTGGTGATCTGCAAAACCAGATAGAAAACCTTAAGCACTGCTTGTTCTTTTTAGTCATTACAATATGAAGTTATGAAAGATGGAATGTGATAACTGCATTATTGCCACTAAAATCATCAACTTTTTGATACTTGCAGATTTAATTTATCAAACTCTAGAATACAGTTTATTACATAAAACATGATAGTATAATAAAGCCAAATTTCCCTAAGAAGGAGAGCGCTTTTTCCCCACGCTTACGCAACAGGAGCCATTAGGGAAGAGATCTGCTGAAAGTACTTCCGCATTCAGGCTGCACAGTGCTCCAGTTCTGGGCTAATTCTTCATAACCACTTCTGTAACCAAAATGTGTACTCAAAGATTATCAGTGATCAACTGCAACCAACAAATTCTCTACAGAACTGGACTCTAAGAAGTAGCAGCGCAGAAATAGGGTCCAAAAGGATATCAAAACAAATCTTGCACCTCTCTCCACCTGAATTCATGGAGCTAATCTCACAGACAGCTTTCTGTTTTCTTCCATCCAGCCAAGACATCAGCCAGCAATATTCAGAATTAAGTGTTATTGCCTAGCACAAGCAGCACCTGTGTTTAGCTTGGCAACTCCATTGACTTAATTTGCAGACTAATTCAAGGGGTATAGCTCCATACTAACTTAAAGTAGACTAAATTATAGTTATTTAGCTCCTCCTTATTTCCATCTTCCTTAAGAGAGCAGTAATTCAACTGCTAACATTTTTTCAGACAGTATTTATTATTTTTTTTCTCTCTTTGAGGTAGAACTTCCCCCTAGCCAGTGAGTTTGTCCAGATAAGCCAGAAGATAAAGCAGTACAAATGCAGCAGTTTTGATTCCCATCATCTTAGGATGCCTTGAAAGCAGACCTTATGGAACCTTTGCTTGGGAACAACCTCTGCTACAGTTGACCAGAACTGCCATGCTGGAAATACTTTGCAAGGAGTGGAAACAAAGCACGACCACTACAGTAAAACTCTGTAGCTTAGATGAACAAAAATGCGTTTCATGACAGCTGTCTAAAAACAGAAGTGAGCTAAAATCTGCAAACACAACTAACTTTTTAGGTTTCACCAGAGTCTGCTGGGAGACTTCAGTTAGGACAGCTAAGCAGACTTTCCCATAGCTTTACAGGGAAAAAAAAAATCTTTATTTATAGGAATGCAATTTCAAATTTCTCTATTTATTATATAGCTATCTATAATATTCTAAATGCTATTGGAAATCTCTACATGTAACCTGATACATTCCTTTTTTCCTGTTTCATTGTGCTATTTTACTGAATGGTCTCTGCTACTAAAGCTTGGACTGCTTTCCAAACTCTCTACTAAAATTTTAGTTCCTTTTCTGAAATACCAGATCTTATCTTTTTGGATTCTACTAAACAGACCCAGTGCCTAGAAGGCATTTCTGGAAGATAACTTATAATTCCGAGGTTAGATGGATACTGTGTGGTGACAGATGATGCAGAACAGCAAATTATTTGTTTGTACTTCACTAACTTATAAAATTTAACAGACACTAGGGACAGAATTCTGAACTTCCTATCCAACTAACATTATACTCATACTTAAAATGTAAACCCTTTAACTGGAAAATAACATAAAAACTGCCCAGTCTCAAAATTTGGCCTCTATTTATTACCTCCAAATTATGCTTCCCTTACTCATTTAATTCAGGATTGACAAGGCAGTTGCTGACAAAAATAATGCTCACAGCAAAACAAATAAGAATTTCCCTTTAACTTCTGTGACCAAAGCAAGCCTCTAAATGCTTAGTGAAAAGAATCTCAATTTTTTTCCCCACTCATTCACCTGAGCACATAACTGTTAGAAGCTGGAATAGTAGAAAGACACATGTTTATATTCATACTGGTTAGCTCTTCTATTTACTTCCATGACTTCAAAAAGCAGTAGCAAAATGTCTGGACATTTAATGCTTTGCTTTCTTAATTCTAGTATTGGGGCATACAACACACTGAGGCTTTGGGAAAGAGTAGTGCTTTTAGTTGCTATGAAAATGCAAAGGAAATAGTGGTGTTAAAAGAAAAACATCAAGAATACTTAAAGCCTTTCAGCCCTTAAAATAAACAGCAGTATGAAGAATTATAGAAAAAGAGCAGACTGGCATCTGCATGTAAAAAAAGCAGCCTGGTGATCTGCAGTACAGACATGAAAACAGCTAGCAGTATATCCAAAATCTTTTTCTATTCTCACTATTTGTGAGACTGTTATTAGGGCTATAAAGAGACAATACAGTTCAGTATATGTTACTCGAAAAAAAAAAAAAAAGGTTGCATCTATAAGGTAAACAATGTAAGAAAAAAAATACCATCTAGCTGTGTCAAAAAAGGTTTGGTCCTCTAAGGTAAGTGGTTCTGTAGAACACAGGGTGAAAATTCCTTCAGCTTATTGTTTTCTAAAACATGAACAGACCTACTATAACTATGAATTGCAGAACTACTAATGGACGTATTAACTCGATTTTAAAAGGTTTCAAATGACAACATAAGCACCTAATAAAATGAGCTTTCAATACTCAGTAAAATGAAGTGGAAGATCAATCTAATTACAGGAATTGTACTTGTTTGCTGAGATGGTATTTATTTTGCAATACCCAATTGTTTATAAACAAGATACCTTGTTATTTCCTGTGAGCAGGCAACATTATTGAAAAAGAACTATATAGTATGGCAAGACGTCCTTTCATCATGCTTAAAATCTGAAACAAGAGTTCTGTTCAGAGAAAATCTCAGAGCAAATGCTCTTAAAAATTTCAGCTTTGATTTAGATTGTAGATACTGATCACAAGACACCAGCTAATCTGAATACTGCAGTATGAGCTCGCAAATTCAAATGGTGGCTCATTTCCAGTAACACAGGGAGCAACTTCTCCATTCTACAAGCCACTCCTTTTACCTCCAGTGTACCTCTCTAGATGAGAAAAGTAACGAATGGTATGCAAGTTTACACACACTTTTAACATCATCAAGCCTCCCAGATAAGTACTTCAAAACAAAAACTGAACACGTGCTTGGATAAGTATGCTAAACAATTTACACAGAAATTCAGTATGACAGTAAAAAACTACCAGAGACTTTTAAGTGATAGTATTGTTCTTAAGAGGGATATCATGGAGCATCACAGTGCTTGCTTGTATTTTAAAAAGCAGGCAAGGACAAACTAAGCGAGCTTTGAAATCACTGTCAGCAAGAGTGTAAGTCAACTTTGCCAGCTGACTTAAACAAACAACGTAACAATATTATTTATAAAACTAACTTCAAGCCCTACAAATTAAATACCTTAAAATAAACATTACAGTAGAAAAACTCCTGAGAAACAACCTGATATGCTTTATGCTTACCTTTTACAAGCTGTGGCCATTCGGTGACATCAGGGTGATCACAATTTTGAGTCACTGATCTAAACAGAGTTGTCGCACCAGTCCTGTATCACACGCTGGGCTAAGCATAAGCTTAACAATTCTAAACAAGTAAAAATAATGTAGTTAAAAGTTCTTAAAAATATTCAGCCAATTCTCTAAATACAAAAAAAAAAAAAAAAAAAAAAAAATTGATGCTAAGCATTGCTTTATCAGCAAGATTAAGACTTACATTCATTTTTTGCATGGCATTTTAGCTTCTAGAGTAACTCGCTACAGTACAATCAACTGGTAAACTTGAAAATTCAGCAACTTATTTTTAGACTTTCTAAAATACTGAAAGCCATACACATCTCTTGGACCAGTGCAAAACACCCAATGTCAAGACAAGCATTCGAGGATCTGGAAGCGTGTGCATAAATATGAACTGTAATTTCTAACTACAATAAAATTCTGGTAGATGTGTTGCTGCTACAACTTGATTAACATTGTTTCTTAGCAAGGCTCTGTTCCCAGGGGAGCAACAAGTAACCAGAACTTGGTTGTGTGCCTCTCCCCAAAAAGAAGTAAGCTATAGATACCTCAAAGTTTCAGAGGAGCAACCTTTGCTCTCTATGGCAAATATTTTAGGTTCTTTGCTCCATTTATATCATGTGTCCTCTCTTCTCTCCCTTAAATTTTCAAAAGTATATTTTACCTGTCAATTGTTTCCCGTGATCTGGCTCCACTGGTATAAATTGAAGGGTTGGTCCTTTACTTTGTCACGCAGGTGGCAGCCAATGATCACTCAGCAATACTCGTGCCCAGAGCGCACTGGGACCACCCCAGCTGATTACTTCCATGGCTGAAAAGGAACCAGTTAGTCTCTTACCTACTGCTGTTATCTACTCTGAACTAAAGTTAATGGATAAAATATTTCCAAACATAATCCTCATCACTCAATTCATCCCATCTCTCTCCCGCCCAAGCTCCTAAGTGCCCTGGAGAAAGCCAGAAAAGAAAAAAGGCCTCTGAAGGAGAATCAGATGACAAATAGCATTCGCTTTCTGCTAATAAAAAGTTTTGATAAAAATTGCAATGTTAATATTGTATTTAGTAAATAAAAAGTCATCTTACTTTCTCTTAAAGCAGTAGCTATGGAGACAGACCTCTGTATAGTATCCTGAGAAGTTTATTCCTGTGATAACCCAGATGAAACCCTGCATTTGCAGGTTGCCATGCAGCAAAAGCCTCACACAGAATGAACGTGCACAAAGCTATTGAGGGCACAACTGCAGCTCTCTGCAACACGTGCAGACATAATAATCTGGTGCAAATACTAAGAGAGCACATCAGACAGCTTTAAATATTTATTAAAAACCATTTATTTATTTCTTTACTGCACCTTTTGTGCTTCAGTCCAACCTATTACACAAGTATTGCAGTAAGATCTTAGCAAGGCTCAGGATTTTCTAAAGTTAGTCAGAAAAGCTGCCCAGTTTTGCCAGTCTACTACAGTTTGCCATTCTGCCACAAACTCTGCACAGAACAAAATTTGGCTTACTTTCAGAATGATGCTCATTAGTTTTATCATTCATTGAGGTAGGTAAAATGTCATCTGTTGATTTTAACATCAGTAATACTTGAGTGTTCCCACTGTAACACAAGTGCAGTTGACACAAGTATAAAAGTAGGCTACCAAAAATCTCCAAAACAAAACAGAGGTTGCCCAGTACTTATGTTTCATAGGTGTAAATTGTCAAAGTTTAACTGAGTCAATGCTAGGAACACAGAACATTGATTAAAAGTCAGTTGGAAAGGTTCCTCATCTGTCAACATTGCAGAACAGGGTAAAGACTTTCCATTTAATGTTTGCTGACCATCAGCTGTACTGAAAGGCAACAACCCAAGATGTTGATGCAGAACTAAGAAGCTGTAAAACACTGCTCTGCTTATGACATTCTGATTAAGACCTGAAAACGTCCACTTTCAGGCAAGCCTTGGTTTTGAGGAAACAGATGCCTATTCTAACACTGCTTCTAGCACCTTGCCCAAGTAACTTTTAGTACTCTGGTCAGAGGACAGTGGTATCATCTCTAAAGCCTCATTGGTCAGGAAATCTGCATTCTGACTACTGGAAGTATCAGCTCATGTTCTGGAGTGTGTCTGACCAATGACCCCCTACCTAGATTTGGTCCTATATCACCCAGACTGTTGACAAAAACTTATTACAGTAGTCTTCCATTCAAATGGAAGCATGCTGGAACACCAGGTTGCCATCAACCTTAGTAGAACAAAGTTTTCCTGAGGCTGTTTCATATGAGAGAAGTCACGAACACGACTGACAACAGTGAAGGAGCACATGAAGTGCTGGTGTTGGATTCAAACACCACTAGATTTTGGAATGTTAAAAGATATACTCTAAGTTGGCAGCTCCACAGTCATAATCAAGACAAGCTTGTGCCAAGGCCTGATACAGAACCAGATCTGTTAGTCTCATTTACCACACTACCAAACATAGTATCTACAGCAGTTCTGTGATGGGAGGCAGTGTCTCAACTGCCACAAATCTCACTGAGCTGAAGTTAACTCATTTAAGTTTTGTTGTGTATCTACAAACTCATATCTACAAACTGAATTTGTCATGTGTCAGAGCTTTGAGTCAGGTAGTTTCAGCATTTCTGATTTGTTGCACCATACCTTAAAACCAGACTTAATGTACTGTGGTCTAAAATTGTAATGCTTCTATTCAGCAGTCTAGATGCAAAAAACCTTAATGAATAATTTTTCTCTTTTATCTCCTCCTCATCCTACCTTCCCCACCTATCTTGCTGCCACTCCTGTGGGACAGAATATGATTGGCAAGGATTCCCTAGCACAGATGAAGGAATTAATTTTTCTAAAACCTTACTCACTAATGCATCAGCAGAGTAGTGTCTGCTGGCAAAGTGACCAGCACATTGAAACACAAGGTGGGTGGTGAAGGAGACAGACATCAAAGACTTATTCTGAATATATTTCAAAGGACATTCTGAGTGCTTGACACAAACAAGGGCACAAAAACCTCCAACCTGGTTAAGAGAGTTGAAAGATACTACTTGATTAGGAAAGGAAAACCATACTGATGAATACACTAAGATCCTTGAAAACAGTATTATGAACTGTGAATTGGTCTAATCAACTGCTTTTCTGTCACAGGAATTTCTCTACAAAAAATCTCCTCCGTAACTACCTTAAAGAAGATAGAAAGAGTAGCCTCAAAACACATATTTATTCACATTACTCAAACAAATTTCTCTGGTCCTCATGTTATGATCAGCATGGCTTACAGTTTAGGCTTTTACAGACACCCTGAGCAGCTGAAGATATGAAAGGAAGTTTGTGCCTATGGAGTATGTCCAAAAAACCCAAGACAGCTGCCAGGCTCTTTGGGACTGGCAGACTCCAGTACAGGCCCATCTCTGTCTGCCTAATGACTATTTAGTAGTGGTAGAGTCAACTAGGGCTGCAACTACACCTATTACAGTCAGCAAGACATGAAGACATGTCTTCAAACCATCTATCTGAAAAAACTTTGTGATTTGAACTAGCCTTCATGAAAAAAGAATGGGATAAATAATGTTTATGCAGTGATTTGGAATGATTTGGAACAACACCTATTTCTCCAAGATGGCACAGGTCAGTACTTTCTTAAAAGAATGTTCCTATCAACTCAAGGAGTTAAACAACAAATAAAAGAACAAGATGTCAGAAAGCAAGTTCAGAAGCATAAAAAGGGGCTAAAAGCAACTTTGTTGCATAGTTTGATCAAAGAACTCAGCACATTTCCTTAAACCTTTAAAGTCTACAAGAATGAGGCAAGAAGAGGTCTCCAGCTTCAACATACAGAACCTAAAGCCACACCCCGGAGATTGTAAATACTTATTTTTCAGCAACCAAAACAAAAAAAAAAGATAGCAAATAACTTCCAGCCAAAAATCAAAAATCACTTATTTGAACATTGTTACCTACATAGATTCCCTGAACCTACTATTTATTATCCCTGAGTTATTTGTTGGTCACTTTCCATGAGAGAAATGCAATCTGGCAGTCAACACACAATATCTGAGGCCTGAAAGATCCCTCAGAGGATGAACACTTTCCTTATTTAAATTATAACTTCTTATAGTTTATAGACTTATTGAAAGAGTGGCACTTGTAAGAATTAAAGTTTCCTTTACAAAGGAATTTTAACTATCTACCCAAGTAATCTTTGATCCAAATTTAAGATTCTCTTTTTGATTTATGATGAAAATAGGGGTGATTCACTGTACAGTGAAGTGCCATGATCTACCTTTACCTTTCAGTACCAGAATTTTAGTTGATTAATTAAATATAACCATCTCTCTCAAGAATATACCACTAACGACAGTTTTTGAAGGTCTTCTGAAGAGGCCCTCTGAATGCCCCAAGAATGAATTTTAGATATTTCCAGAATAACTTTTTGAGTACTACAAGAAAACAATCTATACAGTAAAAAACTGACACATAATAGGAGAGTTGTCCTTTTATAACTTGAGATTGAGGCAAATGTCCTGGAGAATATTCACCAAACCCCTAAATTCAATTTTAATTGTCATATACAGGGAAAAAAAAAAAAAAGGTAATGCAATAGGCATGTTTGAGCCTATATTTCTTCATAAAGTTGGAACTACAAATTACTTTTCTTGCCTGTATGCTGCTTCCAATGCACAAAACATAAAAGTTTTTTCATCTAATTAGTAGGCAAAATTATTACTGATTCTAGAGTAAAATAAAACAGCCACTAAAACAACCTGATCATATAAATCCTAATGGAGCCCAAAAAAAAGCTCCAACTAAACACTGACCTCTATATGATTTTCTTTCCCACTGCCTGGTAAACCAAGCAATTCAACTAGTAACAGCAAATGCAAAGTCATATTAGTTAGTAAACCAAAAGAATTGGGTTCTATCCTGGAAAATGCCAACCTAAAGTGACTAAAGCAGTCACAACTGATGTACAAATCTACACATGCTCCCATGTATTACAAAAAGAATGTCAGACTTGGCTCATCAAGGGTCCCTGGAAGAGTGTCTGTTCATCCGCACAAAGTACTTCACACATCTTCCAAACTTAAACCCAGTTCTCCAATTATTCAATATTCTTCAAAAAAGTTCCAGAAGAGGTAGAAAAGAGCCACAAAGGCATCACGAAAATAGACAAAAATGCCTTGTGATTAGACAATGGAAAGAGTTCAAAGTTAATCAAGCCTATCAATATAGATACTGGAAGAAACTAAGTCTTCTCACAGCACAAAAAGAATACATAAAAATCTCTGAACTGAGAGAATGCATATAAAATCCCTATTAATAGAAACTGAAGGCCCATAAATTCAAATTAGAGCATGAACACAAGCATGCAGGATAATGAGAACAATTAACACTAGACTAAATTATTTGGGATGGGAATCTGAATTTGTTACTATCTTCAATTTAAAGTTAGTGCTATTCTGGAATTTACATTTCAGTAAAATCACAAGTTACTGAGTTTCATAAAGGTAGAATTTTGTGTATCTCAATACAAAGAGATCAATCACAGATTTATCCATCCTCTAATATCTGTGCACTTACTTTTCCTTGATGTCAATACTCCCCACTGTACAGGTTTTGGCTGGAATAGAGTTAATTTTCTTCATAGTAGCTAGTGTGGGTTGTATTTTGAATTTGTGTTAACACAGGGATGTTTTTGTTATTGCTGTTTTTGTTACAGCTTTCATAGAGTCAAGGCCTTTTTTGCTCCTCACCCCACCAGGGAGGAGGTTGGGGGTGCACAGGGGGTGAGGAGGATTCACAGCTGGGACAGGTGACCCCAGCTGACCATAAAGCCATTCCGTATTATAAGGCATGATGCTCAGCGTATAAAGCTGGGGAAAGAAGAAAAAAGGGGGAATGTTCGGACTTATGACATTTGTCTTCCCAAGTCACTGTTACATATATGGAGCCCTGCTTTTCTGGAAAGGACAGAACATGTGCCTGTCCACGAGAAGTGGTGAATGAATTCCTTGTTTAGCTTTGCTTCATGCACAGCTTTTGCTTTACCTATTAAATTATCTTTATCTCAACCCACAAGTTTTCTCACTTTTACTCCTCCAATTCTCTTCCACATCCCACTGTGTGGGTAGGTGAGAGTAGCTGTTTGGTGTTTAGTTGCCAGCTGGGGTTAAACTATGATATCCATAAATCACAGAGTAACAGAAAAATATCTAATGTTTCTTCCCATTCCCTCCCCTCAGGCCAAAAGCTAGAGGCCTGCATGTTAGTCCCATTTTCTACAACTGCTCCTGCAACTTTGGATTTTGCCTTCGTATCTGGTTTTGGTTTAATATTTCAGTGAGATTATATACATATTTTGTTCACCTTTGTAAAAGCAGGAAAGATCCAAAATTATCTTTAGCTTTTATGTTTTACACTTGGACCACAGTTGATTTTTTTCTTCCACTACACACACACCTAATTTTTTTTTTTTTTTTCAGAACCATTTGTTTCTATTTGTGTTATATTATACCTGTTACTTCAGGCTCCCTCCAGAATGATACACAGCCATGAACAAAATGCCCTTTCTACATCAGCGGGTAGTCTTTTACTAACTTTTTTATTGGCTACTCATCATGTTAAGTTATTTTGCAGTCAGGTAAGTTTTACAGCTTCACTTCAGCTTAACTGCTTAAACTTTTTTTCCGTGTGTCCTTTTGCTTATTCTCTCTTTTGATTTCTTTTGCCACCCATCTTTCTGTTCACCAAGTTCTTCGGCATGTTTGTTTAAATATAATTGATATTAAAACAAAGCAACCATGCAATTCTGTACTATGACATTCAGCTTTTCTGATGCTCCATTAGTATTTATTACTCGCAATTTGTGGGGGATTAGAGTGGAATTCTTCATCAATTTATGAAGCACATACCATTACAAAGACTCTATGCACACATACAGTGGCAAGCAGTTAAACATCCAGAAGAAAAGCAGCCAGCAGGCATAATGGCAATAAAGAAATAATGGCTTAGGTTTAAAGAAGAGCCATCATACACAGAACTGGAATTGACACTGGAGAGCAAGAAGCAGGTGGGTGGTCCCAGTGGTGCTGTGGGTGCAAAAATGAATAACACACTACCTTCCAGATGCCTGCTAGAGTAAAGGACCAATCTATACAATTCTCTCAGGAACATCTGGATTGTGACAATGTAACATTGTAGCTTTTTTGAGAGACTTACAATTTTTAATTAGTACACACTACCACTAAAGTTTCAGCTTAGAATTAACAGTTTTATCAGAGCCTGTCTACAGCTTCCTATGAAACAGAACTTAAAAAGACATCAAACAAGTGTTCTGCAAATTTGAGATTTCTAAGCTTTAAGTATATTTCTAAGTTAATTATCTTGAAAATAAAAATTCAGACATAAACCCATGGCACAGAAAACTCAGATCAGTTTCCTCACAATTTAAGTGGTTAAAAGAGAAAGTACACACATGGCTTAGAAACTGTTATTGAAATAACTACATGCAATCTTGTCTATGCATTAACAGACCTACTTAATATGGCAGAAAAATTAACTTAATTGTTGTTTTTCTCAATGTAGTGATGCTGAAAGTTTCAAAAATTATCAATGTACCAAGTCGCAGAACTACAGAACTTAAAAAGACACTACAAAGTAGTGCAGTAATACCAGGTATTACTAGAGAACTACACTAGAATTAAGTTAGGAAATGGCAATCAAAATAGCTACAAGTTCAAGTTCCAGCCCTGCCACAATACATGTACATACTTTTAAGCTGGCTGGACATTTAAGAGCCTAGACAAAAAAGTGGTACCACGTGCTATGGGTTTATGTTAACACCGCTACTAAAGATTGTATTTCTCTATTTCCCAGCATTCCTATTTGTAAACTTGACTTACAGTGATGATTGCATAAATTTTCTGCAAGTTCTAAACTTATTTTTCAAGTTATAGCCTCACTATAAATATGTTCAGTAGTGAATTAAAAAAAACCATACAGCTTGCAGAAACACACCAGTTCTTATCCAGTCTATGGAGAAATAAATGGATGGTAGCAGCATGATGATGAGCTTGTTAAATCAAAAGGGAATTCACCAATGTGATATCATCAGTACTTATTTTCCCGAAGAAAAATCAAATAAGCTATTTTCTAGAGAATTATGACTAAGTAATAGATATCATAGTTAAAAAAGGGAAAAATTGATGTGTGTTTCTCCCTGAATTAATTTTCAACATTTTTTTAAATCTCAGTGAAGAAAAGTATAATTATTTGCTATTACAATTATTAGCATACAAACAATGTAAGTGAAAATATAAACATACCATATCTTTCCAGAGCTGCAGAATCTTGTTCTTTCAAATTCTAAAATGGACTTCTACAGTTCTTGTACCTATAATGCAAAACATTTGAATTCAGTTCTTGCACTATGCACTAATTTGAAGCTCAACACAACTTCAAAACAATACATTCAAAAGTGCCTATTTGATTAGTCACAAATCTGCAACTAAAGGAAACACAGAATCATAGAATACATCTAGTCAGAAAGGACCTACAAGGATCATCATACCAAATAACCCATTCTTCACAGGACTACCTAAAACTGAACTATATAAAACTAAATCACACCTCTCACAGAAAAGCACAACAGAAAATAATAATTATGTTACATGAGCTACAAAAGCATGATGTTCATCACATAGTGGTCCCTATTCTTTCCCCTGTAGTGATGCAATAGAGTTTTATAATTCCATTCATCCAGTTCATTACAAATACCAATTTCCTTTCTCTTATTTTGTCCTTTTTTTTTTTAATTTGCTTTAAGAACTGGCATTTATACTAAGAAAAAATAAATACACACTCAGGAGAAGTCACAGATAGAACCAAATCTTTGTTCTCTGTGCATAAAACTGCTGGAGTTCAGTATGCTTTTCTATAAATTCATTTTCAGAGAAGTCATAATTAACAAGGGACTAAAACATACTTGAAATATTTTCAACAAACACCTAAAAGCACAACCAGCCTCGAGGGAAAAGATGACAGAAACAGACACATATGCATATACCTAAAGAAAGACAGGGGTTGTGGATTCCCCATCACTGAAGGTGCTCAAAACCAAGCTGAATGGGGCTCTCAAGAACCTGGTCTAGTGAAAGGTGTCCCTGCCCACAGATGAGGCTTGTAGTTAGATTTTTTTCTTTAAGGTTCCCTACCAACCCAAACTATTCCCTGATCCTATGAAATCTACTAATTATTTTCCAAAAAAGTTAGTAATTTGGCACAAACTATCACATTTTCAGCACTGTGAAGATTTGATATATAATTTCTTGGCTTAAAACTATTAAGAACAAACAAATCCAACGCAGCTGATTTAGGCTGATCTCCAATATAGATCAGGGTTCCCACATAGGAAACCTCAATCTGGTTACCTTAGTAGCACATTCAGTTTTGTTTTAGAAGATGTCAAACCAGTGAGAAATCATTTGGTGTCAGGGGCCAAATTTGTTACTAGGGAACTGTAATGGGGTGATCCTGGACCAGTTTTGTCACTAAAGCTCCAAGCACTATCAATCTGAGCACATTCTTTTGTATTAAAAAAAAAAAAGTTATATTGAGCAGCCTTTTTTTTGTGAAAAGAACTGCTATTTCAACAAACAATTCTACTAATTATGTAGTTTTCTGTACACTTAGGGTTACTGTGTTAATGATACGTAACTGTGTCAATAAAACTTTGCTACCATTCAGAAAAAAAAACCAGAAGAAAAACTCATCTGAACAACATGAAACAGTAACTGATGATTTTTCTATTTGCAAGTTGCACTACAACTCCATATCCACAGCAGAAATCCAAAATACCTTATATTCGATTAAAGAATAATTCTTCATTCACTGTGGTGTCATTAGACAAATTCAGAAGTATTCTGACAAATGCAACCAATATTTTCACACCTTGTGTTGCAGGACTTCCAGATTCAATGTATACATTTGTACAGACATAGAGCAGTGTCATCTGTATAAAATTCTCTCATTCTCCTCCAAGAAACAGAAGCACAAATTTTCAATATGCACAGAGTAGGAGGAGAGCACCAAGTACAGCTTGAAAAAGTATTGCAAATACATCTACCAGGGTTCTTATGATTATTGCCCGGCAACAGAGACAAAAAAAAAAATGGTTCCCAAAAGAACTGAAGCTATGGAGTAGCTTAGGACCATACAACTGATAGAGGAAACAAGACCACAACAGAGGAGATGTAGACAGGTTATTTGCATAATAATACACTGCAACAGAAGAGCACATTCAACAACACAAAACTGAAGTTCCTGGACTTCCAGTTCTTCTCCTTCAGTCTCTCCCCAACAGCAGAACATAGTTCAGCAGTCAACTAAGTCTAAAGTCTACATTCGCTCAAAGACTACATAACAACACAAAAGGAAATAAAGTTCTGTGATCCTTGTCTAAAAGGAATGAAAATTATTTTATGAAGTCAGATGTAATTCAACATTCACCTTGAGTATACTTAATTAGCACTAAGACACATCTGCCTAAAAAAATGCAAATGACAATATAACTAAAAGCTAACTGCTTTTAGTCATATTGTCAACCTTACTGCTTCCACTCCACATTAAAAAAAAAACAAAAAACAAACCCTTGATTGATCATGTGACCAGAGCCAAAAAAACTGCTTGCTTACAACCACATCATACATTTTCAATAAGGAGACTTCAAGGCACACTGAATTGTATTAACACAGACAGTAAAGCACTGAATTAACCGCCCTGTCACATAAGGAATTACAAAATATTTAAGAAATTAATTGTAAAGTATAAAAAATATTTTGCAACTCTTATGTCTGGCCCGATAAAAAATATAATGAAATTATCTCTATCAGGTGCTTAGATTAGGTTTTCCACTTGTGGTTTTGAGTTGTTCTGTTTGTCCGGTTTTATCCAGTAACTGTAATACAACAGGAACAGAAGAAAAAATTCTGAGAGCACTACCCTAAAAAAATAATACCCACTATTACAGATTTTCTGACACAATTTCAAATATGTAAGGTAAATTAAGAACAATTTTCTTCCATAACTAACATTCTTAAGAGTAAACAAAATCACATTAGCCAAGGAAAAAACAAGTATTCACAAACATCCTTCTTTCAATCAGATATTCGGGTTATAGGAATCATTCAAATGGAGTATTTTTCACAACTTTACTATGGAAAGGGCTCAATCTTTGCAAGCAAGAAATACCAGTGTTTCACAGAAGTGATACACTCAGGAGCTCCCTTGTCCTTGAAATCTGATGGGCTTTGCAGGTTGTGTGGACTCTTAACTATGTATTTCTATTGGCTACAATAAGCAAATTTTGCTACACGAGCTGAAATACAAGGTGTTGCTACTCAGCCCAGTGTACGTTCGTGTACCTTAGACTTTCTAAAAATAAACCTGGGTGTACACACATAGTAAAACACAATATTCATCACCAAGACTTTGGACATGAGATTTCACTATGAAAAAATAAGCAATCATTACCTGAATACAACTATACAAATAAGAAAAATGAAAGATTGTATTGGAAACAGAAATTTTGAGGTAATAACAGACCTCTTCAGTATTATCTAGCTTTGCAGAAGTTTTTGATTCCTTTTAAGAAAATGGCAAATACCACATTGTAAAATAAAAATATTTAAAGTATTAGTTAGCTCAAATATACAACTAACCATAAAGCAAAACTCGTCTACAACTATGATAGACATTCTTGAAGTATTTTGACCTATGTCCCATTTGAGAAGTTGAGTTCCTTTAAGAGCCACTCCACCACCCACTAACAGCCCAAGCCTGCTGAACTGCAGCTGCTCCAGCCTGGGTCCCAGGGAGCATACCAGAGCAGGAGTACACAAGTAGTGCCAGAGCCCGGCTGCCTGGACAAGCCTGGCATCTCTCAGCGCCTTGCAAGCTTGGCAACACAAGATAGATCACTCCTGTGCCTCCCTGGCACAAAGCTCCTAAGGGCAAGGGAGAGCGTGTCTGTCATCCAGGTCTCCTCATTTTATCGACTTCTTAGGTGTAATGATTATCAGGGAAGTATTAAAAAGACCTAAAAGCAGTCTGCCAAAGGAAGCAAAGAGCATGGTCTTCTCTGTGGAGAGATGAACTAGCTTCACACCTAGAACTCTACCTTGGTCAGAAGTCCTGTCACAGTAATCAAACAACACCAGAATGAAACGCAAACTATGTGGACTAATCATTGCCAGACCATTATGCAACAAACCCAAACAGAGGTTCTGTAATTTTCTGCTTGTGATCCTACCAATCCACAGGCCACCAAGATCAAATTTCCTTTGGGTTTCAAATCACTCTTTAGTTTTTGATACTTAGATTTTGTCTTTAGTTGTTTAGGCCACAGCTTTGACATTCTGTCACACAAGGAAAATTAAGGCACATGGAGGACAGAGAGATCTGAGACCGCCAGCATGGCTTCACCAAGGGCAAGTCCTGTGGACCAACCTAATGAGCCAGCTGCAGTGAGTGTTGAGTGAGGGTCTGACTGTGTTGCCTAAAGGTTATCTCAACTTGCTTTTCCACAGGAGAGGCTTGTGGGGGACAGATTTTAGGCAGCAGCAACCACTACTCCAACACCCACATTTTTAGCCTCCTATGACAGAGCGACTGCATCAATGGACAAGGGAACAGCTACTGATGTCATCTATTTGGACTTCTGAGGCCTTTGAAACGGTCCCCCACAACACCCTTCAACCTAAATTGGAGAGATAATGGATGGACTCTTTGGTGGATGAGGAATTGGTTGAATGGTTGCATACAGAAGATAATGGTCAATGACTTAATGTTCAGATAGACATCAATGACAAGAGGTGTCCCTCGGGGGTCCATATTGAGACCAGTTCATCAATGACAGACAGTGGGACCTAACTAACCCTCAGGAAATCTGCAAACAGTATTAAGCTATGTGGTGTGACTGATATGCCTGAGGAATGGAATGCCACCCAGAGGGACCTGGACAAGACTGACAGGTGGGCTCATGAGAACCTCACCCAGTGAGTCCAAGTGCAAGGTCCTGAACCTGCGCTAACAACACCTGGTATCAGTACAGGTCAGGGAATGAGGAAATTGGCAACAGAAGTAATTACAGAAGAACTTAGAGATCCTGGCTGTTGGAAGGACAGTTCTGTCCCAACAATATGTGCCCGCAGTCCAGAATGTATCCTTGGCTGCATCAAGAGCAGCATGGCCAGCAGGCCAAGGGAGGCCAGTCTGCTGTTCTACTCCTCTGATACCCCACCTGCAGTGCTGCATCCAGCTCTGGAGTCCTCAGCACATGACAGGCACAGACCTGTTGGAGAAAGTCCAGAGTAGGGCCACAAAAATTATCAGAGGGCTGGAGCAACCCTCCTATGAAGAAAGGCCAAGAGAGTTAGTGTTGTTCCATCTGGAGAAGAGAAGGATCTGAAGAGACCTGATTGCTTTTGTTTAATACTGAAGAGGAGCTTACAAGACAGAGGAGGACGAACTTTTTACAAGGGCTTCCTTGAGAGGATAAGAGGTAATGGCTTTTAACTAAAAGAGAGTAGATTAAGACGATATCAGAAAGTAATTTTTTACAAGGAGGGTGATAAAACATTGGAACAGATTGCCCAGGGATAGGAGATGTCCCATCCCTGGAAATATACATGGTTAAGCCGGATAGGGCTCTGAGCAACCTGATCTATTTGAAAATGTCCCTGCTTATTGCAGAGGAATTTGGACTAGATGACATTTAAAGATCCCTTCCAACCCAAACTATTCTAAGCCTGTGGAAAAAAAAAGTAATGCACTCCATATCAAGCAGTCAAGTAGTACATCAAATAAAAGTTGTCCTATATCCACCACCACCACTGTAATCCACCTCTGAGTGACAGTCCCACTTCCATCATACCACATAAAAATATGATTCTCAGAAGCAAGTTATGTTAGTACACAGAGCATGTTTTTAAAGTTATTTGAATGGATGCAAACAGCAATGCTTTTCAATGAAAAGTACTGGGACAGCTACATACTGTGAATGCCCTTTTCAAGCCAATAGACCAAAAAGAAAGAATTCAAAGCTCTGCTTTGCTAACTAGAAGTTTCTCTAAAAATATCCATATATACTTCTGTTCCAAGGAAATGCAAGTAGCTTCAAAAGAAGCAGATCACCCCTCTTACCTAAGACAGTGAAGTGATGGTCCAGAAGGAAGCCACCCATTTAGTTGCACTCAGCAGAACAACTGCAGCTTCTCCTAATTCTTCACCACTCTGTAAAACATGGGTAAAGAACCATGCAGGATGGTAACGGAAAGAGTATCGGTAAAGACTGACTTCCACCCCCTTCCTCCATTCAGCAGTTTGCATAATACTGGGAAGCAGGCTCAACCTATTAAAGTAAGTAAGAAGTAGTTAATGCTTCCTTTAAGAGATTCATTCATAAGAGTATTTGTTAGACAGAACTATGATAATATTTAATTCATAATGTAATTTTGCACCCAGCAAGTTATTGTCAATAAGCTCTATCCCTCCTAACCACAGGAAGGTGCAGCTATTCAAAAACAGCAATTTAAAGTGCTATTTAGTCAGATGTTACATTGCCAAACCTGAATCCTGAATCTCAACATTATTTGATTTTCATATTTTTCCTATGAGGTTACTTTCCTGAAGAAATGTGTCACCAGCTGCTGTAGTTACTGAAGTGTTGCTTCATTGCAAAATGTTACCTTTAGACCGTATTGCTGACTTTCTGCTAACCAACCAGATACATTACACACATTAATTACTATTCCTATGAATCAGCTTTTTTTCAAACTTTAATTCATGGGCAACACAGCTTTATGAAGCTATCAGGCAGTGCCTGCTAATACAAGAAGTTAAAGCAGTAAATGTTAAGGTCAAAGCATTTAAGGTGACAAAATTCACTTCAAACATGAGATTTGCTCACTGCTGTTGTCTCTGGGAACCAGCTATTTAGCACAGCTTATAGAACTTCTGGGAGGGGGTAAATTTTTTTTTTTTTTTTAGAAAGTAAACAACATACTCTAGATTTTTTCATTACGCACCCTGATAGCAAATGTATTACTCTATTACTCCCCTCTTTCCAGGTACAAATCAGAATTTGATTAGTGACAGAAAACCTTTCAATACCACCTCTCTAAAAAATTCACAGCTGCCTTAAATACACGGGATACTTCAGAAAAATTGTAAAACACACCTCCTTTGTTTAAAAATCAATATAAATTCATTAATTAGAGTGAAGACTTGGCCCACATTACCAGAAAGGAAGATTGATGCTGGAAATGAGATCTATACCTACATACTTTATGAATTATATTCCTTTTTCCCTCAACTACATGTTCTATTTTTAAAAATTGGTGGCTTTCATCTTCAGGTGTATGAGTACACTGGTGTGGGGAGGGAGAAAGACATTTCCTGCGTTTAAAAGAAGATGAATTCTCTCTGGACAGCCACTAAGTACACTAAAACAAAAAGTAACAGGAGAAAAAAAAAATCTTTCCTGCACAGCAAAAATTAGGAAGATGCATATTTACAGAAACATAAAAACTGAACTGATTCCAGGGTAACTGCCATATCATGTACTATACTAATTACTGTTTATAGAAAATGTTATATGTTTAAACATGTTCACAATTAAACATGTTTATAACTTAAAACTCAACTCTGGTTAAGCAGAACCTGTGAATTCTGAGAACTAGCGAAGAATATGTCAACAAAGGACATAATCATAGTGAAACAAGCATGATTTTATACAGTGCATGCTGGGTCGTGGTGGTACACATGACATTTTTAAATTTCAAACGAGAAGTTAAATGATATGAAAAAGAACCAGGCTTATTTTCTCAAATTGATTAAAACAATTGGGGACAATTTCCAGGTGCTCTAACACAGACTCCAGAACATCCCTATATGTATTCAAAATATACACACAGTTTTCAATCCCGTTCACAAAAGAACCATCGTTCCCATGTTTTTAAACAGCAGCAGCAATTAAAAAAAAAGGAAAAGACCAGAAGTCTTGTTTGTTATTTAAAAAAAAAGATCAAACCCACACAACTTTAGAGTTCTGAAGAGGACTTGGACTGAGAAATCTCAGGCTTTAAAACACACAGTTGTTCAAGCCTGACTTTTTTTGCTAAGTCACAGAACCATACCCTAAAATAAACCTGAACAAATCAAACACTCATCTGGGCATCTCACTTGGTGCTTTTGTTTCTATATTCTTGGGAGATGCGCAGGACAATCCAAGGAGGAGAAACAGCAAACACCTCTGATAAACAAAATGAACTTCTTAATTCCAGGAGGAAAGATGCTACATTAAAGAGTAAACACTTAGAGTGGAATGGAAGGTATTTGTAAAAGAGAGATAAAGCAACTGTAACATTGTACAGAAATAATTTCAATTAAAAGTATCAGCTCTGTAAATGTAACTAGTGGACTAAGTTTTCTTTCACTATTTTTCTGTACTGAGTTGACAGAATGATACTATACTACAAGCTGCATCTGTTTTAAAAGACAAACACATGTGATACTTTTCTCTGCACATCCATATCAATTTAGCAATACAGATTTCCTATTTTCAATTCTACACACTTAGTTAAACTGAGTTTTGCTGTATTTTCAAATTTCTAAAAAGTACCTTAAACTGTTTCCACAATGAAAGGGCACAGCTATTCAGAGCCAACATCTAAACCAAGCAGTTTGTGAGAACGCTAAGCCTATTTCCAACAATTTTCATTCTTATCAAGTGGTACACCTCTCACTATCTCCAACACTTCCCTCTCCCCCCATCATAAGTGTCTAACACAGTACAACTCAGAGCATGGCGTTTTCCTTAGCAGGTAATCTCTCTAACTGGATGCTATTTGCATGAATTAGGAACTTAATCTTATCTTTTAGACCTCTCCCTTTCAAACCAGTCAGCTAGTCAAAAGAAAAAGAGAAAGAAGATAAATTGATAGTACAATCATACAGGTCTTACTTTGTTAAGAAATCAAAGCTAAAATCGGGTACAATTTTCCACTGAGAAACTTTCTGCTAGACATGCAAGAAGCATGGCAAAACCACTCTGAGAAGCCAATTTCTCACAGGGCTTCAAGTTTGCAGACTCTTACTGAAGCAGGTATGTTTTCATACAGACAGAGGGCCCATCCCTGAAGTGATGTGTAAGAAACATGCTTAGTCCCAGAATTAGACCAACACATTACATAGAAGGAAACATAAACAAATATTTCCATTAACTGGAGAAAAAAGAAAAGGAATGACTACATGTCTATAAATTACAGGTTCTTGTCACTTAGAATTGTGATACATGTTTCGTTTCTTAAGCAGTAGTAACTTCTGAATGACCATAACACATCATCTCAGATATCTGATTTAAAAATCAATAGTCAAGTGTAACATGCCTTAACAGAAATACTGAAGGTATGCTTAAAAACTGAAGCCCAGAAAATCCTGCAGTCAGGAACGACAGATCACATACATCAACAAGGCAGCCTGCTCACAGGTTCAGATCCAACTCTTCAGACTGGACAGAATGCAACACGAGCAAAGTGATCAGACCCACTTTGTCAAGCAGGCCTTGGCCACTAGTTAAGAGACCCTCGCAGTACTTCCCATTCCGGCGGCCAGCCGCGCCGACAGCACCGAGCAGTCCCTGCCCACAGCTGCCCCAAAGAGTAGTCACCGAACCGGGAAACTGAGGCAGAGACAGGCTGGGTTCACCCAAGGTCGCCCAGCGAGCCCGGTCTCCCGGGGGGGCGGGAGAAGCTCGGAGCCCCCCGCCCTCCCGGGGCGGCCCCGCACCCGTGTGTGTCGCGGCGCGGAAGGACGGGACCCCCGGGGCTGCCGCCTGCCCCTCCCGGCGCGGGGAAGCTGGCAGGGCCGCCTCCCTCCCCTTCAGGGCCAGCGTGCACCGGGCGCCATTCCGCTCCCGGCCCTGCGCAGCGCTCACACCGACCTGGCTACCTCGGCTGCTGCTCCCGGGCGCTCCCGCCGCCGCTGCCGCCCGGGCTCATGCGGGGGCCGCGCCGCACTCGGGGCCGGGCCGCGGACGAGAAGGAGGCGCCGCCGCTGCTGCTGCCGGGGCCGCCGGAGCCGCGGCCTGGCGGGGCGGGGAAGGCGAGGCGGGCGGACGGGCCGGGCCGGGCCGGGCGGGCGCGGCTGCTGCTCCTGCTGCTGTTGCTGCTGCTGTGCCGGCCGGGCCGCGCTCAGCGCGAGCCCCGCGCCTCCATCTTGGGACAGCGCGGATGTCGGCGCGGCGCAGGCTCGGGGCGCGCGGGGGGGCGCGCGGGAAGGAGGGAGGGAGAGAAGGAGGGAGGACCGGCCGTGTCCCGGCGTGCAGCGCGGGCGGGGGCGAGGCGAGGCGGCGGCGGCGGCGGCGCGCTACCCACCGCGGGCAACCATAGAGAGCTGCCGGGCCGCGCCTTCCGGCCGTGCGCGCTCGCGGCGGCGCCTGCGCGCCCGCGTGCGCGAGGCGAGGGTCGCCATGTTGGAAGTGGGCAGCGCGGGGCCGGGGGGTGGGGGCGCAGGCCAGGCGGGCGCGCGGGGCGGGGCTCGGGGGTGCGCGTGCGCAGGGCGCGGGTGGGCCGGTGTGAGGGAACGGGGGAGTGCGTGTCGGCTGCGGCTGTGCGCACGTATGTATATACACACATACACATACGTGTACGCAAACACCTGCAAATACAAACACGTACACGCGGGTGCACACGCACTGACCCACGCACAGGCACACACAGGTGCCCAGCCGTACACGCAGCCCTGGAGGCCAGCGGGCAGACCAGGGGCTGGTGGCACAGCAAGGGACCATCGCTGCCCTGGGCAAAGAGAGTGGCCGCCACCAGCTTTGAGTCCCTCGGCAGGTCCCCGCTGAGCTCCACCGGAGTCCAGCATGTCTGGCAGGCCACATGGCAGCCCGCCCGGGGTTTATCGGGTTCGATCTGGGCAGGGAGCCGTGGCCGGCCGGCAGAGGGGAGCGGTGGAAGGGGAGCGGCCGGTGGGTGACCTCTGGAGGGGAGCCCGTGCTGGAGCCGTGAGTCAGCCAAAGCAGCAGAGGACAGGCAGTGCCAGGCCTGGCCAGCCCTGCCGTGTCTGGCCCCTCCCAGCAAGGGAGGAGAGCACGGGGAGACCGGGAGCTGGGTGACCCATAGGTGGCAAAGCGTAGGGACAGCCTTGCTGTCCCCGCCTGCCGCGCTGGGCAGAGATCCATCACGGTGTACGTTTAGGTCATCAAATGCCTGGTGGTGGTCAAAGCTAGCACCCTGCGGGGCACACAGGGCAGGGCTGGCTGGTGGGGCTGGAAGGGTCAGGGACCCGGCCCGGGGATGCAGCCTGAAGAATGAGCAACACACCCCCTGGTCCTGTGCAGCCCTGCCTGACGCCTGGCTCTCCCCTCTGCCCCAGGCATAATTTTTCCATGTCCTTTTGGGTCTGTTCCTTCCCCTACCTACACCCAGGCCTATGCGTTGCAAGTACACTTTTCGAAGTCAAAAGCACGAGTAAAAGCTATGTTTTGGCGGGTGAATGTTAAAAGCAGTTTGATAAAATAGTTTTAAAACTGGGCAATGCATGCAAAATTTTACTTTTTTTGGGCATTGACTTTTTAAAGCTTTAAATATATGGAGCTACAAGCATAGAAGGGGGAAAGGAATAAGTAAAAAAATAAAAGGAAAATAGACTCTTTCTTACATTATCCCTTAATAAAGGCAATTAAATCGATGTGCTACTATCCTGGTAGACATTATGCTTTTTTGTTTTCTTTTGTTTTGAAAAGCATAGACTAGAAAGAAATATGAGTAGTTCTCAACTGTTAGAATAAGCTGTTAAAACCATAAACACAAATTCTCAAAAATATGATCCTAAAGCCAGATTCTGGGCTAGGAAATAGGTGTTTAAGAGGACATGTCTTCTTGGGCACAATTTTGCAAGACATATTGTGTTTGTTGCAGGGTAATAGCTGGTAAGAGCAGTGCACTCAAATGGCATTATTACAAACCAGTGCAGAGAGTCCTGGTGCTTGCAGACAACATGGTAGGCAGATGTATCATTGAATTATTAAGACTGAATGAAGTATTCTTATATTTCAGTGTGGTCTGAAAGCAGGGTACATTGCTGTGTTCAGATGGACATTGGTAATCATCTAAAAATAATCACTGGCATGAACACAGCTTTCTGCATCTGGAGGCTCCCTCCCACATAGTAGCAAAATCTGCCAACTTTGATATATTAAAATTTCAGATTCAGGCCAAAGTTTATTGTGCCATGATCTTTTCTGTTACCTCAGAAGCAGTAATATTGAAAAAACTGCATCTGAAAAATGCAGTGTCTTGCTTCTTTTCCATTGCTCTGTTGCAGAGCCTATGTGTCCAGTCCTTATCTCCTGCTTAGCTGTAAGGATGCTATGGGGCAGCATGTCACAAGCTAAGTCCAAGTAAACATCTGCTCTCTTCTTACCTACAGAACCTGCTCTTCTCAGCTCAGGCTGGTCAGGCATTATATGTTTTGGTATATCTGCTGACTGTTCCCAGACTGGAAGTTCTTGATCTTACCGTGTCTGGAAATAATCTCCCAGACTTTCAGGTGAAGCTGCTCAGCTGTATCCTCCTTGATCTCCGTACCTCAGATCTCCTTGCCTGCAGCCCTTGGGGACCTCTCACAGACACTGTGATTATTGAGAGATGGTAGAAAGTGGCCTCACAGTGACATTGGCCAGCTCTGTGTCATCAATTGCCATCTGACCCCATGAGCTTACATATGTTCAGTTTACCTAAGTAGTCTTTAACTTCATGCTCCTCATCCAAGAACAGCATCTTTCTTCCTTAAGCTTTGCTACTCTCCATGAGGATCTGGGAGCTCCAAGATTACAGCATGCAGCAGTAATGGCACTGATATACAGTTTTCTGTATACCATGCTGCTGGTGCTTTGTTCCATTTAGGAGCAGTACCACAATTTCCTTAGTCCTCTTTTTGCTGCTGATGTACCTACTGATGCTCTTACATGTCCATTACATCCCTCATCTGTTTCAACTCCAGTTTAACTCTGGCCTTCACAATTTTATCTCTGCATACTGAGATGATAGTCCTAAAGACCTTCCTGGAATTTACGGCAGTTGATCATTACATGGGAGCTGTCTCCATAACTTTTATCCAGACATTGGATCATCATCTTGTTTCCTTATAGCAGAAAAGACCAGTATGCAAGATAGGACACAATTAATTTATATATTGATGGTGTTTTTAAACCCTCAGTGTTTCCAAAGAGTAGCTTTGGTAGGTTGTTTGGATTTTTTGGCCATCAGAGACCATCAGTTGCATTTTTTTCCATGGATTGCAATCCTGAGAACTTGTCCCATGTTAAAAATGAGCAGTTCATAACTCATCTCTGTTTTGAGGTAATATAGTTTAGATGTGTCACGTTTTCTTCTGAAGAAACCAATGCAATTATGAGGAAGGAGCAGATGATAACGGATGGAGGAAATGTGCAGGATGGAATGAGCTGCTGTGGATGCTGGTGGTTATTTATTGCACTGGCTAGATGCAGAGGTAGGGGAAGGAGACTTTTCTGAAAAGGATGCAGGTGTAGAAAGACTCACCTTCTGTTTTGAGTTGTGGGACAAATCACATTGGCATTGAACAGGCAAAGAATGATACATTAAGGAATATACCCCAAATTAATTGCAGTATAGCAGTGTTGTACGGGTGACCAAGCTGCATGGCAGATTTTGCTTTGATTCTACCGGGGACAAGTTGCCATTTTGGGGAAAATAATTTAGGTTTTGTAGCATGTGCTTAGGGCTTCTTTTTTTTTCTTTGAGATAGTGTGACTAGCAGTAGACTAATTGTGGCCATTGATGTACCTAAGTTGCTTGTGTTACAATGGGGATGATTGTACTTTCCTGCCTCATTTCAGTGTGTTACATATTCTGAAGTGATGAGATACTAGGGTACAGAAATGCTTTTGCTGCCACAAGTGCTTTCAGCTACTTTACATTGGTATAGCCAGCTGCTGGAAAGCAACTGGATCTACCCAGCTGAGCAGGCTCTGAATTTGTAAAAATGTGACTGAAACTCCCAGTGGAAAGGCCACCACTCCCTCCCTGTTCCTTGCTAATCCCTGCAACTCTAGGGCCTGGTATGGATTGCAGCTGAAGAGAACAAATGGTTTGACTTTTCTTTGCAGTGATCCCTTCACAGAGCAGGCTCTGTGAAGCAGGCTCTTCTTCAATTACATTATTGAAGTAATGCTTGGTAAAAAAGTAAAAATCAACTATTATGGCTAATAACTTGGTCATGAAGTGGAAGTCCTGCAGAAAATCTAGTTTTAACATCTGAATATTTGGAAACAAACAGGTTTTTTTAACTGCTGAAGGGAACAAATACATAGACAAGTTGTATGGAATAGGCAGTGGCTCCCAGCTAAAAATAGAATCCCAAGCCTCATCCACAATTTACTTATGATGCTGGAGAAATGCCATCATGAACCATGTCTGCTGCATATTATTACAGTAATGTTGATATCTCACTTCAGAACTTTGTAGCAATTTGTTTCCTGTCTTTGTAAAGACACACAGAGTGCTGTGTGTGTTCTGTTCTCATTTAATTTGAAAACCTCAATATAAATGGTTTGATAATACTTTTTTTGGCATTCATTTCAAATAGTTATGTGAGTGAAAATTAGATGGTGAAGCTCTGTAAGTGTAACCCCTTAGGAGACAGGGGTGTGCTGAAGCATACAGAGACTTTGTGAGTCAAGCCAAATGCTTCAGCATCCCTTTGCAGATAAAAAGATAAGGGATGGGAAAAGGTCATCAGTGATGGAATGAAAAACTGAACTTTTGAGTTAGGGCTTAGTCTGTGCAACTGGAAAATTCAAGAAATCCCCTTTATGCAGGCATTTGTGAATGACTATGCATACTTCTGAGTCCTGAAAAGCATACTTGTTCTCCCTCTTCTCCACACAAATAGATGATTTGGTTAAGCTGTGATGTGAAGGTTCATGTCATCTTGAAGTGGCTCCTGTTTCTGAAGACTTGTCTTAATTGAGTGAGGTTGTTTCAGTTTCTCCCTGTAAGCTGAGGGAGGTTTCACAATTCATTTGCTGAAAGAAGCTTGTCAGGCAGAGTCTTGTTTCCCTGAATGCTTTGCCCAGCCCAGTGGCCTCTGGAAGGAAATAGGGTGAAAGGAGAAGCAGCTCACATGCTCCTCTTTTTCTCCAATGTACCATCTTTCTGCAAGCCTTGCACTTAGGTCATCCAATCTTCTTGTAGACAGAGCAGAACACGGACATTTCAGTTCTTTCTCAGGGGGTGAGAGGTTTGTGGTTTGCTGCAGGTTTTCATCAAATTTCCATTGGTCACCTGT